AAGCCTAAGCCTAAGCCTAAGCCTAAGCCTAAGCCTAAGCCTAAGCCTAAGCCTAAGCCCTAAGCCCTAAGCCTAAGCCTAAGCCTAAGCCTAAGCCTAAGCCTAAGCCTAAGCCTAAGCCTAAGCCTAAGCCTAAGCCTAAGCCTAAGCCTAAGCCTAAGCCTAAGCCTAAGCCTAAGCCTAAGCCTAAGCCTAAGCCTAAGCCTAAGCCTAAGCCCTAAGCCTAAGCCCTAAGCCTAAGCCTAAGCCTAAGCCTAAGCCTAAGCCTAAGCCTAAGCCTAAGCCTAAGCCTAAGCCTAAGCCTAAGCCTAAGCCTAAGCCTAAGCCTAAGCCTAAGCCTAAGCCTAAGCCTAAGCTTAAGCCTAAGCCTCAAGCCTAGCCAAGCCTCAAGCCTAAGCCTAGCCTAAGCCTAAGCCTAAGCCTAAGCCTGCCTAAGCCTAAGCCTAAGCCTAAGCCTAAGCCTAAGCCTAAGCCTAAGCCTCAAGCCTAAGCCTAAGCCTAAGCCTAAGCCTAAGCCTAAGCCTAAGCCTAAGCCTAAGCCTAAGCCTAAGCCTAAGCCTAAGCCTAAGCCTAAGCCTAAGCCTAAGCCTAAGCCTAAGCCTAAGCCTAAGCCTAAGCCTAAGCCCAAGCCCTAAGCCTAAGCCTAAGCCTAAGCCTAAGCCTAAGCCTGCCTAAGCCTAAGCCTAAGCCTAAGCCTAAGCCTAAGCCTAAGCCTCAAGCCTAAGCCTAAGCCTAAGCCTCAAGCCTAAGCCTAAGCCTAAGCCTAAGCCTAAGCCTAAGCCTAAGCCTAAGCCTAAGCCTAAGCCTAAGCCTAAGCCTCAAGCCTAAGCCTAAGCCTAAGCCTAAGCCTAAGCCTAAGCCTAAGCCTCAAGCCTAAGCCTAAGCCTAAGCCTAAGCCTAAGCCTAAGCCTAAGCCTAAGCCTCAAGCCTAAGCCTAAGCCTAAGCCTAAGCCTCAAGCCTAAGCCTAAGCCTGCTCAAGCCTAAGCCTAAGCCTAAGCCTAAGCCTAAGCCTAGCCCAGCCTAAGCCTAAGCCTAAGCCCTAAGCCTCAAGCCTAAGCCTAAGCCTCAAGCCTAAGCCTAAGCCTAAGCCCTAAGCCCTAAGCCTAAGCCCTAAGCCTAAGCCTAAGCCTAAGCCTAAGCTCAAGCCTAAGCCTAAGCCTAAGCCTAAGCCTCAAGCCTAAGCCTAAGCCTAAGCCTAAGCCTAAGCCTAAGCCTAAGCCTAAGCCTAAGCCTAAGCCTAAGCCTAAGCCTAAGCCTAAGCCTCAAGCCTAAGCCTAAGCCTAAGCCTAAGCCTAAGCCTAAGCCTAAGCCTAAGCCTAAGCCTAAGCCTAAGCCCAAGCCTAAGCCTAAGCCTAAGCCTCAAGCCTAAGCCTAAGCCCTAAGCCTAAGCCTAAGCCTAAGCCTAAGCCTAAGCCTAAGCCTAAGCCTAAGCCTAAGCCTAAGCCTAAGCCTAAGCCTAAGCCTAAGCCTAAGCCTAAGCCTCAAGCCTAAGCCTCAAGCCTAAGCCTGAAGCCCTAAGCCTAAGCCTAAGCCTAAGCCTAAGCCTAAGCCTAAGCCTCGAAGCCTAAGCCTAAGCCTAAGCCTAAGCCTAAGCCTAAGCCTAAGCCTAAGCCTAAGCCTAAGCCTAAGCCTAAGCCTAAGCCTAAGCCTAAGCCTAAGCCTAAGCCTAAGCCTAAGCCTAAGCCTAAGCCTAAGCCTAAGCCTAAGCCTAAGCCTAAGCCTAAGCCTCAAGCCTAAGCCTAAGCCTAAGCCTAAGCCTAAGCCTAAGCCTAAGCCTAAGCCCTAAGCCTAAGCCTAAGCCTAAGCCTAAGCCTAAGCCTAAGCCTAAGCCTAAGCCTAAGCCTAAGCCTAAGCCTAAGCCTAAGCCTAAGCCTAAGCCTGCCCAAGCCTAAGCCTAAGCCTAAGCCTAAGCCTAAGCCTAAGCCTAAGCCTAAGCCTAAGCCTAAGCCTAAGCCTAAGCCTAAGCCTAAGCCTAAGCCTAAGCCTAAGCCTAAGCCTAAGCCTAAGCCTAAGCCTCAAGCCTAAGCCTAAGCCTAAGCCTAAGCCTAAGCCTAAGCCTAAGCCCTCAAGCCTAAGCCTAAGCCTAAGCCTAAGCCTAAGCCTAAGCCTAAGCCTAAGCCTAAGCCTAAGCCTAAGCCTAAGCCTAAGCCTAAGCCTAAGCCTAAGCCTAAGCCTAAGCCTAAGCCTAAGCCTAAGCCTAAGCCTAAGCCTAAGCCTAAGCCTAAGCCTAAGCCTAAGCCTCAAGCCTAAGCCTAAGCCTAAGCCTAAGCCTAAGCCTAAGCCTAAGCCTAAGCCTAAGCCTAAGCCTAAGCCTAAGCCTAAGCCCTAAGCCTAAGCCTAAGCCTAAGCCTAAGCCTAAGCCTAAGCCTAAGCCTAAGCCTAAGCCTAAGCCTAAGCCTAAGCCTAAGCCTAAGCCTAAGCCTAAGCCTAAGCCTAAGCCTAAGCCCTAAGCCTAAGCCTAAGCCTAAGCCTAAGCCTAAGCCTAAGCCTAAGCCTAAGCCTAAGCCTAAGCCTAAGCCTAAGCCTAAGCCTAAGCCTAAGCCTAAGCCTAAGCCTAAGCCTAAGCCTAAGCCTAAGCCTAAGCCTAAGCCTAAGCCTAAGCCTAAGCCTAAGCCTAAGCCTAAGCCTAAGCCTAAGCCTAAGCCTAAGCCCAAGCCTAAGCCTAAGCCTAAGCCTAAGCCTAAGCCCTAAGCCTAAGCCTAAGCCTAAGCCTAAGCCTAAGCCTAAGCCTAAGCCTAAGCCTAAGCCTAAGCCTAAGCCTAAGCCTAAGCCTAAGCCTAAGCCTAAGCCTAAGCCTAAGCCTAAGCCTAAGCCTAAGCCTCAAGCCTAAGCCTAAGCCTAAGCCTAAGCCTAAGCCTAAGCCTAAGCCTAAGCCTAAGCCTAAGCCTAAGCCTAAGCCTAAGCCTAAGCCTAAGCCTAAGCCTAAGCCTAAGCCTAAGCCTAAGCCTAAGCCTAAGCCTAAGCCTAAGCCTAAGCCTAAGCCTAAGCCTAAGCCTAAGCCTCAAGCCTAAGCCTAAGCCTAAGCCTAAGCCTAAGCCTAAGCCCTAAGCCTAAGCCTAAGCCTAAGCCTAAGCCTAAGCCTCAAGCCTAAGCCCAAGCCTAAGCCTAAGCCTAAGCCTAAGCCTAAGCCTAAGCCTAAGCCTAAGCCTAAGCCTAAGCCTAAGCCTAAGCCTAAGCCTAAGCCTAAGCCTAAGCCTAAGCCTAAGCCTAAGCCTAAGCCTAAGCCTAAGCCTAAGCCTAAGCCTAAGCCTCAAGCCTAAGCCTAAGCCTAAGCCTAAGCCTAAGCCTAAGCCTAAGCCTAAGCCTAAGCCTAAGCCTAAGCCTAAGCCCTAAGCCTAAGCCTAAGCCCTAAGCCTAAGCCTAAGCCTAAGCCTAAGCCTAAGCCTAAGCCCAAGCCTAAGCCTAAGCCTAAGCCTAAGCCTAAGCCTAAGCCTAAGCCTAAGCCTAAGCCTAAGCCTAAGCCTAAGCCTAAGCCTAAGCCTAAGCCTAAGCCTAAGCCTAAGCCTAAGCCTAAGCCTAAGCCTCAAGCCTAAGCCTAAGCCTAAGCCTAAGCCTAAGCCTAAGCCTAAGCCTAAGCCTAAGCCTAAGCCTAAGCCTAAGCCTAAGCCTAAGCCTAAGCCTAAGCCTCAAGCCTAAGCCTAAGCCTAAGCCTAAGCCTAAGCCTAAGCCTAAGCCTAAGCCTAAGCCTAAGCCTAAGCCTAAGCCTAAGCCTAAGCCTAAGCCTAAGCCTAAGCCTAAGCCTAAGCCTAAGCCTAAGCCTAAGCCTAAGCCTAAGCCTAAGCCTAAGCCTAAGCCTAAGCCTAAGCCTAAGCCTAAGCCTAAGCCTAAGCCTAAGCCTAAGCCTAAGCCTAAGCCTAAGCCTAAGCCTAAGCCTAAGCCTAAGCCTAAGCCTAAGCCTAAGCCTAAGCCTAAGCCTAAGCCTAAGCCTAAGCCTAAGCCTAAGCCTAAGCCTAAGCCTAAGCCTAAGCCTAAGCCTAAGCCTAAGCCTAAGCCTAAGCCTAAGCCTAAGCCTAAGCCTAAGCCTAAGCCTAAGCCTAAGCCTAAGCCTAAGCCTAAGCCTAAGCCTAAGCCTAAGCCTAAGCCCTAAGCCTAAGCCTAAGCCTGCCTAAGCCTAAGCCTAAGCCTAAGCCTAAGCCCAAGCCTAAGCCTAAGCCTAAGCCTAAGCCTAAGCCTAAGCCTAAGCCTAAGCCTAAGCCTAAGCCTAAGCCTAAGCCTAAGCCTAAGCCTAAGCCTAAGCCTAAGCCTAAGCCTAAGCCTAAGCCTAAGCCTAAGCCTAAGCCTAAGCCTAAGCCTAAGCCTAAGCCTAAGCCTAAGCCTAAGCCTAAGCCTAAGCCTAAGCCTAAGCCTAAGCCTAAGCCTAAGCCTAAGCCTAAGCCTAAGCCTAAGCCTAAGCCTAAGCCTAAGCCTAAGCCTAAGCCTAAGCCTAAGCCTAAGCCTAAGCCTAAGCCTAAGCCTAAGCCTAAGCCTAAGCCTAAGCCTAAGCCTAAGCCTAAGCCTCAAGCCTAAGCCTAAGCCTAAGCCTAAGCCTAAGCCTAAGCCTAAGCCTAAGCCTAAGCCTAAGCCTAAGCCTAAGCCTAAGCCTAAGCCTAAGCCTAAGCCTAAGCCTAAGCCTAAGCCTAAGCCTAAGCCTAAGCCTAAGCCTAAGCCTAAGCCTAAGCCTAAGCCTAAGCCTAAGCCTAAGCCTAAGCCTAAGCCTAAGCCCAAGCCTAAGCCTAAGCCTAAGCCTAAGCCTCAAGCCTAAGCCTAAGCCTAAGCCTAAGCCTAAGCCTAAGCCTAAGCCTAAGCCTAAGCCTAAGCCTAAGCCTAAGCCTAAGCCTAAGCCTAAGCCTAAGCCTAAGCCTAAGCCTAAGCCTAAGCCTAAGCCTAAGCCTAAGCCTAAGCCCTAAGCCTAAGCCTAAGCCTAAGCCTAAGCCTAAGCCTAAGCCCTAAGCCTAAGCCTAAGCCTAAGCCTAAGCCTAAGCCTAAGCCTAAGCCTAAGCCTAAGCCTAAGCCTAAGCCTAAGCCTAAGCCTAAGCCTAAGCCTAAGCCTAAGCCTAAGCCTAAGCCTAAGCCTAAGCCTAAGCCTAAGCCCTAAGCCTAAGCCTCAAGCCTAAGCCTAAGCCCTAAGCCTAAGCCTCAAGCCTAAGCCTAAGCCTAAGCCTAAGCCTAAGCCTAAGCCTAAGCCTAAGCCTAAGCCTAAGCCTAAGCCTAAGCCTAAGCCTAAGCCTAAGCCTAAGCCTAAGCCTAAGCCTAAGCCTAAGCCTAAGCCTAAGCCCTAAGCCTAAGCCTAAGCCTAAGCCTAAGCCTAAGCCTCAAGCCTAAGCCTAAGCCTAAGCCTAAGCCTAAGCCTAAGCCTAAGCCTAAGCCTAAGCCTAAGCCTAAGCCTAAGCCCTAAGCCTAAGCCTAAGCCTAAGCCTAAGCCTAAGCCTAAGCCTAAGCCTAAGCCTAAGCCTAAGCCTAAGCCTAAGCCTAAGCCTAAGCCTAAGCCTAAGCCTAAGCCTAAGCCTAAGCCTAAGCCTAAGCCTAAGCCTAAGCCTAAGCCTAAGCCTAAGCCTAAGCCTAAGCCTAAGCCTAAGCCTAAGCCTAAGCCTAAGCCTAAGCCTAAGCCTAAGCCTAAGCCTAAGCCTAAGCCTAAGCCTAAGCCTAAGCCCTAAGCCTAAGCCTAAGCCTAAGCCCAAGCCTAAGCCTAAGCCTAAGCCTAAGCCTAAGCTCTAAGCCTAAGCCTAAGCCTAAGCCTAAGCCTAAGCCTAAGCCTAAGCCTAAGCCTAAGCCTAAGCCTAAGCCTAAGCCTAAGCCTAAGCCTAAGCCTAAGCCCTAAGCCTAAGCCTAAGCCTAAGCCTAAGCCTAAGCCTAAGCCTAAGCCTAAGCCTAAGCCTAAGCCTAAGCCTAAGCCTAAGCCTAAGCCTAAGCCTAAGCCTAAGCCTAAGCCCTAAGCCCTAAGCCTAAGCCTAAGCCTAAGCCTAAGCCTAAGCCTAAGCCTAAGCCTCAAGCCTAAGCCTCAAGCCTAAGCCTAAGCCTAAGCCTAAGCCTAAGCCTAAGCCTAAGCCTAAGCCTAAGCCTAAGCCTAAGCCTAAGCCTGCCTAAGCCTCAAGCCTAAGCCTAAGCCTAAGCCTAAGCCTAAGCCTAAGCCTAAGCCTAAGCCTAAGCCTAAGCCTAAGCCCTAAGCCTAAGCCCTAAGCCTAAGCCTAAGCCTAAGCCTAAGCCTAAGCCTAAGCCTAAGCCTAAGCCTAAGCCTAAGCCTAAGCCTAAGCCTAAGCCTAAGCCTCAAGCCTAAGCCTAAGCCTAAGCCTAAGCCTAAGCCTAAGCCTAAGCCTAAGCCTAAGCCTAAGCCCTAAGCCTAAGCCTAAGCCTAAGCCTAAGCCTAAGCCTAAGCCTAAGCCTAAGCCTAAGCCTAAGCCTAAGCCTAAGCCTAAGCCTAAGCCTAAGCCTAAGCCTAAGCCTAAGCCTAAGCCTAAGCCTAAGCCTAAGCCTAAGCCTAAGCCTAAGCCTAAGCCTAAGCCTAAGCCTAAGCCTAAGCCTAAGCCTAAGCCTAAGCCTAAGCCTAAGCCTAAGCCTAAGCCTAAGCCTAAGCCTAAGCCTAAGCCTAAGCCTAAGCCTAAGCCTAAGCCTAAGCCTAAGCCTAAGCCTAAGCCTAAGCCTAAGCCTAAGCCTAAGCCTCAAGCCTAAGCCTAAGCCTAAGCCTAAGCCTAAGCCTAAGCCTAAGCCTAAGCCTAAGCCTAAGCCTAAGCCTAAGCCTAAGCCTAAGCCTAAGCCTAAGCCTAAGCCTAAGCCTAAGCCTAAGCCTAAGCCTAAGCCTAAGCCTAAGCCTAAGCCTAAGCCTAAGCCTAAGCCTAAGCCTAAGCCTAAGCCTAAGCCTAAGCCTAAGCCTAAGCCTAAGCCTAAGCCTAAGCCTAAGCCTAAGCCTAAGCCTAAGCCTAAGCCTAAGCCTAAGCCTAAGCCTAAGCCTAAGCCTAAGCCTAAGCCTAAGCCTAAGCCTAAGCCTAAGCCTAAGCCTAAGCCTAAGCCTAAGCCTAAGCCTAAGCCCTAAGCCTAAGCCTAAGCCTAAGCCTAAGCCTAAGCCTAAGCCTAAGCCTAAGCCTAAGCCTAAGCCTAAGCCTAAGCCTAAGCCTAAGCCTAAGCCTAAGCCTAAGCCTAAGCCTAAGCCTAAGCCTAAGCCTAAGCCTAAGCCTAAGCCTAAGCCTAAGCCTAAGCCTAAGCCTAAGCCTAAGCCTAAGCCTAAGCCTAAGCCTAAGCCTAAGCCTAAGCCTAAGCCTAAGCCTAAGCCTAAGCCTAAGCCTAAGCCTAAGCCTAAGCCTAAGCCTAAGCCTAAGCCTAAGCCTAAGCCTAAGCCTAAGCCTAAGCCTAAGCCTAAGCCTAAGCCTAAGCCTAAGCCTAAGCCTAAGCCTAAGCCTAAGCCTAAGCCTAAGCCTAAGCCTAAGCCTAAGCCTAAGCCCTAAGCCTAAGCCTAAGCCTAAGCCTAAGCCTAAGCCTAAGCCTAAGCCTAAGCCTAAGCCTAAGCCTAAGCCTAAGCCTAAGCCTAAGCCTAAGCCTAAGCCTAAGCCTAAGCCTAAGCCTAAGCCTAAGCCTAAGCCTAAGCCTAAGCCTAAGCCTAAGCCTAAGCCTAAGCCTAAGCCTAAGCCTAAGCCTAAGCCTAAGCCTAAGCCTAAGCCTAAGCCTAAGCCTAAGCCTCAAGCCTAAGCCTAAGCCTAAGCCTAAGCCTAAGCCTAAGCCTAAGCCTAAGCCTAAGCCTAAGCCTAAGCCTAAGCCTAAGCCTAAGCCTAAGCCTAAGCCTAAGCCTAAGCCTAAGCCTAAGCCTAAGCCTAAGCCTAAGCCTAAGCCTAAGCCTAAGCCTAAGCCTAAGCCTAAGCCTAAGCCTAAGCCTAAGCCTAAGCCTAAGCCTAAGCCTAAGCCTAAGCCTAAGCCTAAGCCTAAGCCTAAGCCTAAGCCTAAGCCTAAGCCTAAGCCTAAGCCTAAGCCTAAGCCTAAGCCTCAAGCCTAAGCCTAAGCCTAAGCCTAAGCCTAAGCCTAAGCCTAAGCCCTAAGCCTAAGCCTAAGCCTAAGCCTAAGCCTAAGCCTAAGCCTAAGCCTAAGCCTAAGCCTAAGCCTCAAGCCTAAGCCTAAGCCTAAGCCTAAGCCTAAGCCTAAGCCTAAGCCTAAGCCTAAGCCTAAGCCTAAGCCTAAGCCTAAGCCTAAGCCTAAGCCTAAGCCTAAGCCTCAAGCCTAAGCCTAAGCCTAAGCCTAAGCCTAAGCCTAAGCCTAAGCCTAAGCCTAAGCCTAAGCCTAAGCCTAAGCCTAAGCCTAAGCCTAAGCCTAAGCCTAAGCCTAAGCCTAAGCCTAAGCCTAAGCCTAAGCCTAAGCCTAAGCCTAAGCCTAAGCCTAAGCCTAAGCCTAAGCCTAAGCCTAAGCCTAAGCCTAAGCCTAAGCCTAAGCCTAAGCCTAAGCCTAAGCCTAAGCCTAAGCCTAAGCCTAAGCCTAAGCCTAAGCCTAAGCCTAAGCCTAAGCCTAAGCCTAAGCCTAAGCCTAAGCCTAAGCCTAAGCCTAAGCCTAAGCCTAAGCCTAAGCCTAAGCCTAAGCCTAAGCCTAAGCCTAAGCCTAAGCCTAAGCCTAAGCCTAAGCCTAAGCCTAAGCCTAAGCCTAAGCCTAAGCCTAAGCCTAAGCCTAAGCCTAAGCCTAAGCCTAAGCCTCAAGCCTAAGCCTAAGCCTAAGCCTAAGCCTAAGCCTAAGCCTAAGCCTAAGCCTAAGCCTAAGCCTAAGCCTAAGCCTAAGCCTAAGCCTAAGCCTAAGCCTCAAGCCTAAGCCTAAGCCTAAGCCTAAGCCTAAGCCTAAGCCTAAGCCTAAGCCTAAGCCTGCCTAAGCCTAAGCCTAAGCCTAAGCCCTAAGCCTAAGCCTAAGCCTAAGCCTAAGCCTAAGCCTAAGCCTAAGCCTAAGCCTAAGCCCTAAGCCTAAGCCTAAGCCTAAGCCTAAGCCTAAGCCTAAGCCTAAGCCTAAGCCTAAGCCTAAGCCTAAGCCTAAGCCTAAGCCTAAGCCTAAGCCTAAGCCTAAGCCTAAGCCTCAAGCCTAAGCCTAAGCCTAAGCCTAAGCCTAAGCCTAAGCCTAAGCCTAAGCCTAAGCCTAAGCCTAAGCCTAAGCCTAAGCCTAAGCCTAAGCCTAAGCCTAAGCCTAAGCCTAAGCCTAAGCCTAAGCCTAAGCCTAAGCCTAAGCCTAAGCCTAAGCCTAAGCCTAAGCCTAAGCCTAAGCCTAAGCCTAAGCCTAAGCCTAAGCCTAAGCCTAAGCCTAAGCCTAAGCCCAAGCCTAAGCCTAAGCCTAAGCCTAAGCCTAAGCCTAAGCCTAAGCCTAAGCCTAAGCCTAAGCCTAAGCCTAAGCCTAAGCCTAAGCCTAAGCCTAAGCCTAAGCCTAAGCCTAAGCCTAAGCCTAAGCCTAAGCCTAAGCCTAAGCCTAAGCCTAAGCCTAAGCCTAAGCCTAAGCCTAAGCCTAAGCCTAAGCCTAAGCCTAAGCCTAAGCCTAAGCCTAAGCCTAAGCCTAAGCCTAAGCCTAAGCCTAAGCCTAAGCCTAAGCCTAAGCCTAAGCCTAAGCCTAAGCCTAAGCCTAAGCCTAAGCCTAAGCCTAAGCCTAAGCCTAAGCCTAAGCCTAAGCCTAAGCCTAAGCCTAAGCCTAAGCCTAAGCCTAAGCCTAAGCCTAAGCCTAAGCCTAAGCCTAAGCCTAAGCCTAAGCCTAAGCCTAAGCCTAAGCCTAAGCCTAAGCCTAAGCCTAAGCCTAAGCCTAAGCCTAAGCCTAAGCCTAAGCCTAAGCCTAAGCCTAAGCCTAAGCCTAAGCCTAAGCCTAAGCCTAAGCCTAAGCCTAAGCCTAAGCCTAAGCCTAAGCCTAAGCCTAAGCCTAAGCCTAAGCCTAAGCCTAAGCCTAAGCCTAAGCCTAAGCCTAAGCCTAAGCCTAAGCCTAAGCCTAAGCCTAAGCCTAAGCCTAAGCCTAAGCCTAAGCCTAAGCCTAAGCCTAAGCCTAAGCCTAAGCCTAAGCCTAAGCCTAAGCCTAAGCCTAAGCCTAAGCCTAAGCCTAAGCCTAAGCCTAAGCCTAAGCCTAAGCCTAAGCCTAAGCCTAAGCCTAAGCCTAAGCCTAAGCCTAAGCCTAAGCCTAAGCCTAAGCCTAAGCCTAAGCCTAAGCCTAAGCCTAAGCCTAAGCCTAAGCCTAAGCCTAAGCCTAAGCCTAAGCCTAAGCCTAAGCCTAAGCCTAAGCCTAAGCCTAAGCCTAAGCCTAAGCCTAAGCCTAAGCCTAAGCCTAAGCCTAAGCCTAAGCCTAAGCCTAAGCCTAAGCCTAAGCCTAAGCCTAAGCCTAAGCCTAAGCCTAAGCCTAAGCCTAAGCCTAAGCCTAAGCCTAAGCCTAAGCCTAAGCCTAAGCCTAAGCCTAAGCCTAAGCCTAAGCCTAAGCCCTAAGCCTAAGCCTAAGCCTAAGCCTAAGCCTAAGCCTAAGCCTAAGCCTAAGCCTAAGCCTAAGCCCTAAGCCTAAGCCTAAGCCTAAGCCTAAGCCTAAGCCTAAGCCTAAGCCTAAGCCTAAGCCTAAGCCTAAGCCTAAGCCTAAGCCTAAGCCTAAGCCTAAGCCTAAGCCTAAGCCTAAGCCTAAGCCTAAGCCTAAGCCTAAGCCTAAGCCTAAGCCTAAGCCTAAGCCTAAGCCTAAGCCTAAGCCTAAGCCTAAGCCTAAGCCTCAAGCCTAAGCCTAAGCCTAAGCCTAAGCCTAAGCCTAAGCCTAAGCCTAAGCCTAAGCCTAAGCCTAAGCCTAAGCCTAAGCCTAAGCCTAAGCCTAAGCCTAAGCCTAAGCCTAAGCCTAAGCCTAAGCCTAAGCCTAAGCCTAAGCCTAAGCCTAAGCCTAAGCCTAAGCCTAAGCCTAAGCCTAAGCCTAAGCCTAAGCCTAAGCCTAAGCCTAAGCCTAGCTAAGCCTAAGCCTAAGCCTAAGCCTAAGCCTAAGCCTAAGCCTAAGCCTAAGCCTAAGCCTAAGCCTAAGCCTAAGCCTAAGCCTAAGCCTAAGCCTAAGCCTAAGCCTAAGCCTAAGCCTAAGCCTCAAGCCTAAGCCTAAGCCTAAGCCTAAGCCTAAGCCTAAGCCTAAGCCTAAGCCTAAGCCTAAGCCTAAGCCTAAGCCCTAAGCCTAAGCCTAAGCCTAAGCCTAAGCCTAAGCCTAAGCCTAAGCCTAAGCCTAAGCCTAAGCCTAAGCCTAAGCCTAAGCCTAAGCCTAAGCCTAAGCCTAAGCCTAAGCCTAAGCCTAAGCCTAAGCCTAAGCCTAAGCCTAAGCCTAAGCCTAAGCCTAAGCCTAAGCCTAAGCCTAAGCCTAAGCCTAAGCCTCAAGCCTAAGCCTAAGCCTAAGCCTAAGCCTAAGCCTAAGCCTAAGCCTAAGCCTAAGCCTAAGCCTAAGCCTAAGCCTAAGCCTAAGCCTAAGCCTAAGCCTAAGCCTAAGCCTAAGCCTAAGCCTAAGCCTAAGCCTAAGCCTAAGCCTAAGCCTAAGCCTAAGCCTAAGCCTAAGCCTAAGCCTAAGCCTAAGCCTAAGCCTAAGCCTAAGCCTAAGCCTAAGCCTAAGCCTAAGCCTAAGCCTAAGCCTAAGCCTAAGCCTAAGCCTAAGCCTAAGCCTAAGCCTAAGCCTAAGCCTAAGCCTAAGCCTAAGCCTAAGCCTAAGCCTAAGCCTAAGCCTAAGCCTAAGCCTAAGCCTAAGCCTAAGCCTAAGCCTAAGCCTAAGCCTAAGCCTAAGCCTAAGCCTAAGCCTAAGCCTAAGCCTAAGCCTAAGCCTAAGCCTAAGCCTAAGCCTAAGCCTAAGCCTAAGCCTAAGCCTAAGCCTAAGCCTAAGCCTAAGCCTAAGCCTAAGCCTAAGCCTAAGCCTAAGCCTAAGCCTAAGCCTAAGCCTAAGCCTAAGCCTAAGCCTAAGCCTAAGCCTAAGCCTAAGCCTAAGCCTAAGCCTAAGCCTAAGCCTAAGCCTAAGCCTAAGCCTAAGCCTAAGCCTAAGCCTAAGCCTAAGCCTAAGCCTAAGCCTAAGCCTAAGCCTAAGCCTAAGCCTAAGCCTAAGCCTAAGCCTAAGCCTAAGCCTGCCCAAGCCTAAGCCTAAGCCTAAGCCTAAGCCTAAGCCTAAGCCTAAGCCTAAGCCTAAGCCTAAGCCTAAGCCTAAGCCTAAGCCTAAGCCTAAGCCTAAGCCTAAGCCTAAGCCTAAGCCTAAGCCTAAGCCTAAGCCTAAGCCTAAGCCTAAGCCTAAGCCTAAGCCTAAGCCTAAGCCTAAGCCTAAGCCTAAGCCTAAGCCTAAGCCTAAGCCTAAGCCTAAGCCTAAGCCTAAGCCTAAGCCTAAGCCTAAGCCTAAGCCTAAGCCTAAGCCTAAGCCTAAGCCTAAGCCTAAGCCTAAGCCTAAGCCTAAGCCTAAGCCTAAGCCTAAGCCTAAGCCTAAGCCTAAGCCTAAGCCTAAGCCTAAGCCTAAGCCTAAGCCTAAGCCTAAGCCTAAGCCTAAGCCTAAGCCTAAGCCTAAGCCTAAGCCTAAGCCTAAGCCTAAGCCTAAGCCTAAGCCTAAGCCTAAGCCTAAGCCTAAGCCTAAGCCTAAGCCTAAGCCTAAGCCTAAGCCTAAGCCTAAGCCTAAGCCTAAGCCTAAGCCTAAGCCTAAGCCTAAGCCTAAGCCTAAGCCTAAGCCTAAGCCTAAGCCTAAGCCTAAGCCTAAGCCTAAGCCTAAGCCTAAGCCTCAAGCCTAAGCCTAAGCCTAAGCCTAAGCCTAAGCCTAAGCCTAAGCCTAAGCCTAAGCCTAAGCCTAAGCCTAAGCCTAAGCCTAAGCCTAAGCCTAAGCCTAAGCCTAAGCCTAAGCCTAAGCCTAAGCCTAAGCCTAAGCCTAAGCCTAAGCCTAAGCCTAAGCCTAAGCCTAAGCCTAAGCCTAAGCCTAAGCCTAAGCCTAAGCCTAAGCCTAAGCCTAAGCCTAAGCCTAAGCCTAAGCCTAAGCCTAAGCCTAAGCCTAAGCCTAAGCCTAAGCCTAAGCCTAAGCCTAAGCCTAAGCCTAAGCCTAAGCCTAAGCCTAAGCCTAAGCCTAAGCCTAAGCCTAAGCCCTAAGCCTAAGCCTAAGCCTAAGCCTAAGCCTAAGCCTAAGCCTAAGCCTAAGCCTAAGCCTAAGCCTAAGCCTAAGCCTAAGCCTAAGCCTAAGCCTAAGCCTAAGCCTAAGCCTAAGCCTAAGCCTCAAGCCTAAGCCTAAGCCTAAGCCTAAGCCTAAGCCTAAGCCTAAGCCTAAGCCTAAGCCTAAGCCTAAGCCTAAGCCTAAGCCTAAGCCTAAGCCTAAGCCTAAGCCTAAGCCTAAGCCTAAGCCTAAGCCTAAGCCTAAGCCTAAGCCTAAGCCTAAGCCTAAGCCTAAGCCTAAGCCTAAGCCTAAGCCTAAGCCTAAGCCTAAGCCTAAGCCTAAGCCTAAGCCTAAGCCTAAGCCTAAGCCTAAGCCTAAGCCTAAGCCTAAGCCTAAGCCTAAGCCTAAGCCTAAGCCTAAGCCTAAGCCTAAGCCTAAGCCTAAGCCTAAGCCTAAGCCTAAGCCTAAGCCTAAGCCTAAGCCTAAGCCTAAGCCTAAGCCTAAGCCTAAGCCTAAGCCTAAGACATGTTATAATAAAAAGTGTTACGTTCGGTGTCAGTTGATAATTATAATTTTAATATTTTCATGTCAAACACGCCACATCCTTGTGCCGGCAACATTGCGCATTCAGCTTAAATGTTTTTTGCTATTGTTAACTACTATGTTATTGGTAAGTTTTAAACCATTTAATTTCTTGTGCTACGTTGTTTACATTGTCCAAGAAAAGCGTTGATTTTAACTTTAACAAACCTTAACTTTCTTAAACAATAATTTTATTAATCAAACTAAAACTAATACTAATCAGACTAATAACAGGTTTGATACATGTTTCGCAACGTGCAACAACTCAAGTTTAGTTCTATAGATGGAACTGGTCCTTTGGTGGTTGAAAATTTTGGAGCCCGGGATTAGGTCGGGCTCCGAACTCATGCCGATAGTTTCCAGGGGCCTCCTGGAAACCATGGCAAGGTTAAATTTGGTTCGAGATCACGCCCACAAAGACCCCCAATTTATATCGCATTTGTTTTTCGAATGGGAAACGCGCTTTTTTGGAGGCGTTTTCGCACTCTCGCACTCTCTCTTTTTTTCGCAATTTCTCTCTCTCTCTTCGGTCCGATTCTCTCTCTTTTTTTGACTGCGTTTTTACAGTTAAGCCTAAACTTAAGCCTAACATGCTTACAGTGTAGGTAAAAGCACGAAACTTTCGGAATAACCTTATAATGTAATCAATAAGCATGTTTTAAAACTTCAAACTCATACGTCAACTGTAACATAGTATAGTAAAAATAAAGTACATTTATAGCTAAGCCTAAAGTTAAGCCTAACATAGTTCTAAAAATAAGTTTACAACAAAATTTTTACAGTACGTTTGTTATGGTCTATAAAGTCCATACACAAAAAATTTTGAGGTTGGCATTACAACTTTACTACCATATTAAAATGGCACTACTTAAAATGCAAATTTCAAACCCTTAGGGCAATTTTCAGAAACCGCAAGTACGATTTTTGAAATCAGCGTAGTCGATTTGGTTTATACCAATTAAAAAAATGGTATGTTAGGGCTGCCTCAGCCCGAGTATATATATACTACATAATAAGCCTAAGCCTAAGCCTTTGAACATGCTCCACTAAACTTTTTTTTATTTTGATATTAGCAAACGTTGTTTCATATCGTTTATTACAGTTATTATTTTTTGTATCGCTTCAAAAGTTCTTTGTTGATCTCGCCGCGTACCCGTTCGTACTTGCTCACGGTATTTAGCACTTCTTGTTTGTATAGTTTTCTTAAAATGCGGTCATATTGCTGTAGTTGAGGTAATTTGAACATGCTCCACTAAACTTTTTTCTTTAAATGCAAACTTTGGGCTCAAAAATACAAGATAATTAAAAGCTTACTTTTAATAAATGGTCAGAATGAAAGGGGGCTTTGCCATACAAACGTATCCACTCAGGAATTTCTAAAAAGCGCAATTTATTTTAAATACTATAAGACAATATTAGTTTTTATGATTTTCTCTACGTCCCATTGACAAAGTCGTAAAAGAATGTTAAAAAAATAAAAAAAAACTTTGTGTTTTTTAAATTTTTTGAACTACTTAATGTTACCTTCGTTTATAATGTTAAGTGTTGACGTATACTCTGGATATATGGTATCAAAGTCGCTATTATTGTCCTTTATTTTGTGGTGTTCGACTATTGACTGCAATGATGCGGATTCTTGAATTTGCTTTGCAAGTTGTTGATGTTGTGTCTGCCGTTGCTGTTTTTTGCAGTTCGCTGCGGATGCACTACGGTGTGGCAACAAATCGAGATCTTTATGGAATTTGTAAAAAGGTTGTGTTTTTTGACTGGTCTGACTATGTGTAAACAAATTGATCATACCAGGATGTTCAAATTGTGATCGTTGTTCTGACTCACTGTAATGTAATGCTTGTTTTTTAAATAATAGTGTTTTACTATTTTTACTTAAAAAATTTAATGGTTTTGTACGTTTAACTGTATAATTTTAAGCTTACTTATAGTACACTACACCGTGAACTGAATCAAATATTTTTGACCATCCGCAAGGTAAACTTTCAACAGCTAAGGGATGAATCCATGTTGTTCTTTGGTTATTGTGATCGATAAAAAATTTGTAACCTTCCGCCGTAACGTCTACATCCCAGCCGGTAGGCAACGGCAATTCGTGAACATCTGGATTTATTAAAACGGATAAACTTGGTGACGCGGAGTCTCGTTGTTGAGAAAACGTAGAATTTTGGTTCCGAAGCGATTGAAACGATCCGCTTTTTTTGAAACTAAGAAAAAAAGGTAAAAATAGAAATATTATGAATAAATTTAATTTCATTTAAAAGTATTAAGTTAAAATACCACACAAAACATACTTTTTTAGGTCCTCCTCCGCATCAAAATTTTCCAAAAAGCCATGGGTTGAAGGGGGCTCAGACAAAATGTCATTTTTGGTTTTATTTTGAATATTATTATTTGAAAGCGACGAAGTAAGTGATCTTTTTTGTTTGGTTTGTTCATTAAGAGCACTGTACCGTTGAGAAGATTGAATAGTATTTTGAACGTAGACTTGACGGTTTTTACTTAATTGTACGTTATTTTGTCGCGAACTAGAAAAACTGTGAGAAGACAGCTCGGATCTGGATGAAATAGTTCGACTTCCGCGTGGAGTATGACTCAATCGCCTTTGTTGCTGCATTTTTTGGTCTTTGTAAGAGTTAGGTTGTATGTTGTTGTAATTTATTCCAGGAACCAGCCCGGCCATTGGCAGGCTAATCGATGACACAGACGGCTTTGGATGACCATTAAAAGGCGCAAACTCTGTCTGGTAAGTAGTAGCAGGAAGTGTTTTTGGTACGGAAAGATTTGAAGATGCAATAGATGGGTTTTGAACCAAACCGGTAGCTTGTAAAGACTTTGTCGAAGAACCAGTTCTTGATGAATTTTGAAAAGGACAGATGTTGGCTTTAGGAAATTTAAAAATTACTCCTTATAAAATTTTATAATATAAAAGATGTAATAGTAAAATTAAAATCATCTAGCCTTTTCTATTTTTGCTTTCCTTAACCAAATACGTTTTTAATTAGAATTTTGTCTTACTTGTGTTTGGCATCGGTGGAGGACTGTCTCTGCGTTCGTAGTGACCATTTAATCCTTCTAAAAACGTTGCAGTTTGTTCGCGGCGCTTTCCTTTCAGCATATCTCCTAAAATCAGAAAAATCCGCTTAAAAGAAAAAACTCTTCTTTTACATTTAATATAATTTACATTCATTATACCATCTATTTAGTTGAAAATTTATGTAACGTAACAACGACATATATTGTTAAAACATTTTTTTATGAACAATAAAGTTTTATTTTTTAATGTTGTATGCAGGGACGTCGATTGGGGGAGGGGGTAAGGGGGGGGGGTACCCCCTCCCCCCAGAGCCGATCCGAAAAAAAATTCCACAGGTACCTGTACGCGAAAAAACAAAAAAAAATTTTTTTTTGGAAAATCGGTCCACAGGTACCTGTACGCGAAAAAAAACAAAAAAAAATTTTTTTTGGAAAATCGGTCCACAGGTACCTGTAAACGAAAAAATTTTTTTTTGAGCTCCCCCCTCCCCCAGAGAAAATCCGTAGCGACGTCCCTGGTTGTATGGCTAAATAATGTTTAAATATGGGTTTCCAAAATATATTAGTAGCTGTGATTACCACTAATTTTCATAGTTCTAAGCGGCAAAACAAATTTATTCAAATATAAACAAAAATACATGTATTTGAGGTTATTGATAGCAAATGAGGACATATTCTATTTAAGCTTAGTTAAAGATATATACAGGTTAATTCTTAATAAAAAATACCAAAACTTGTTTGCAATTTAACACTATTTTTCAGAGCTACAGATAGGTGTAAAGCCTGAAAAACTATTAACTTTTTGAAACATGTGTAAATGCCACCATTAATTTTGCTTTTTACTAATCCGCAAGAACAATCGCCTATGTTTCCCCTATCTCCAGTTTTGACGAGGTTGTCGCTGAGCTTGGTTTTGGCATTTTTTTCAAAATTAGATCTTCAATAACATCTTTTTCCTTATACGTTTTTTCTAACCTATAATAAGCTAAGACCATTTGCTGACATTCAAAAATTTTTTCGTAGTCCATGTTAAGGTACGATAGCCATTCAACCAATTCAGAATCGCGCCGTAAAAACAGAGCGGCTGTCATGATGGACGCTGCAAACAATTAAATAATATTTTTTCTATTTATTTACGAGTAAGGTCACTTAAATTGAGAATGGCCTTTTGGATAAGGTATACGTTTCTGTAAACGTTGTAAGCACTAATCACAAATTCGAAAATCGAATAGCCATGTTCTGTATAGCTCTTCTTGTTAAAAAAATTGACTAAACTTCTATAAATTATTAAAAATACGTCTAAAACTTCTAAATGCCATTTGCGATTTCTTCCAAAAAATACAAAAAAAAGGCTTCTGCGCAGGCCAAGATCCGAATCAAAAAGCGTGACTGCGCAGTCAATCTCGTTACAAACTGGCCCATCTCTATCAAAAACGAGTTACACTGTTGGAACCATTATTAAAATTAGGTTGAAAATACATTTTTTCTAGCATGCGGAAAGCTTATGTCAAAAAAGTTATGGCCTACAACAGTTTAAACCTCTTTTATATAAAAATTTGAAGAGTGAAGCCACCTAGTTCTATCATAAAATTTTTATGAGCTAGTTGTGATTGATGGATAAGGCATAACAAATTCTTTTAAAAAAATATATTCCGTCCATATTAGACTCGCAAAACCAAAAACCCTACTAGTAATCAAAGTACACGCCTTTCCATCCTAAAGTTGACGCTCAATTTAAGTGGCCTCCCTTATAAATAAAAAAAATGTACAACTTCTAGGTTAAATTGTATGACTTACATAATGCTATGATATGTGGCGGATATAACAATGAAGTATCCGTTCTCAGCGAATCGTTAATAATGCGCCAGGCATCTTGATATAAAATATCCACAGTTTTTTCATTAATTCCAAAAGACCTCATGTCCTGCATGAAAACATTCAACGGACGGTACGGATGATATATAATCAAACAACAATCCATTATTTCAGACAAAATAAATTCAGCTTCTTCAATATGCTGCTTTTGAATTTGATACTTTTCCAAAGACGGATATTTTTGAACTAAAAGAAATACGTAAATGAAAATAGAACAAAAAAAATTTTACGTTTAAACAACACTTACGTAGACTTTGTAGAGTCATTATTGTTTTGCTAACTCCTATCATACCAAATTCATCGACTTTTGTCGCAAATACTATGCACGTTACAACTAGGCAAAAAGGATCTATGTCTTTGAACGAACGCCTAAACATATGTAATTACAAAATGTTAAGATACAACAATTAAGGACACACAAATGAACGTGATAATACCAAAAAAAAATAAAAGGAACCAAAATTTTTACAAAAAAGCTGTTAATATAACTACTGCCTGAGTTACATGTAATCGTTAAAATTTAGTCCGTAAAAAATAGTGACCTTGAATAAAAGCGCCTAAAATATGTACAAGCAGTAGCAATTGCATGCTGGCGTATTCTGCTATCCATTGATCGACCCAGTTGATGAATAACTAAAAGTATCCTATTGTTATAAAATCAATAATATTTTGATTTAGGAAATTAATTTTATGGTTTTCAAACGACGTTGTGTCAGTGTTTTTAACTTACGATTTGTAAAATATACCATAATTTTTTGATATTCCTCTTCGGTATACAATTTTAGATCAGCACCTCGGTCTCTTAACAAATCACTTTTTTCTAGCACCCATTGCTGGCTTAAACAATAACATTATATTGTATCTAAAAGCAAAAAAAAGAAACAATCTTACTTGTGGGAGCTATTCCAAAAATTTCCGGCCATGTTGATTTTTAATATATGGAAAAGTGGCAATTAAGGGCTTTGCCCGCAAATGTCGCCCAAATGGGACGCTGCCTTTACAATCTTCCACTTTGTCCTGTAAAACGCAAAATTTTATTAATTTATATTATTTTTTATAGCTGTTTAACAAACGAATAACTCAAACGTTAATTATTTAAAATCAACAATATCTGCAAGATGTTACGTTAAAAAAGAGATGCTCTTAACCGCTTTTAAAAAAGTGCATTAAAGCAGATGGAGGCAAGGTCTCACTAAAATAAAAATAATGGATTTGCGACAAAATGCCACGTTTTTGGTTTTGTTTGTTTTCGTGCAAAGACAAAATGTTTTATGCGTAATAAGTTTTAACTTTTTATTATTTGTAAACTGACCTTTTGCTTTTTAGACATGAGCAACGGGCCGGGCCCAACTTTCCAGCCCGCCCCGCGGGCCGGGCCTAACTTTTAAAACCGTCCCATTTTTGAGTTTGGTCAGGCCCGACCCGGCCTGATCAGAAAATTTTTAAGCCCGGCCCGTTTTAAAAAATTTTTAAGATTTTAAAATTTAAAAAAAATAAACGAAAATTTGCCTTTACATGGTTTTTTCAGATCATTTATGGATCATAGTCCCCAATATAATCGAAAAACATAAATCGGATTTAAATAAAAAATTTTTTCCGGGTTCGGGCCCAATTTTTAAGTCCGGCCAAATTTCCGTTTATTTTTTTTAATTTTAGAGCCTGACTTTCAGGCCCGGCCAGTTTTTACTTTTGGTCAGGCCCGGCCCGTTGCTCATGTCTACTGCTACTGCCAAATTTCAATTACTTTTTTTCCAAAAAACTATTTTCTTTAATTTTACCCAAAAACTAAACACTTTATTTCGTTGCTGCGTCACCTTTCAAGTCTATGCAATACATTTTTTAAAGACAGATGTTATGTCCAAGAATTATTTTCAAACTTAAGAGCTACATTATCGTTTCTTGTAGTAGTAGTAAAAAAAGATCAACAAATAAATTATCGCATCATTTTTATTATTTTTAAGCAATTTTTGGTCATGCGAAGTCATTGGTTATGCGATTGCTTTTTTCATATTTCTTTTCACCGAGTTCATCAGGTATTTCGAGCGGTACCATTCTTTTATAATATACAAACCATAAAGAAAGCGCGACACTTAATACTATAATTTCAAATGTCCATGCAAGTTGTGGCCCATATATGGTGTACAAATTGCTAAAAGAAAGAGGTTTATGTAAGTAAAAAGTTGCAGAAAATATAATAATTTTATGTGTGAGATAAGAAATACTTTTTATTATTCTTAAAATCTTACCTCATAACAATTGGACCCAACATTCTTCCTAAACTTCCGCTGGCTTGTAAGTAACTTTGTTGTCGCGGTTGCCTGCGTGGTCCAAGAACTTTTGAAAACAATGTGCTCAGTGTAACAGTTAAAGCGTGGATAAAACATCCTAGAGATATAATAAATGCGAATGCAAACATGGTTTCGTTAATGGCAGGCGTTGTATGACACCATGTAAAACGTTGTTTAGGACATCCAACAGGTTCCTTTGTAGTATTACCAGAATTATACATCAGTATATCTGCTGCGTTGTATGTGTCTAGGTGACCAGCGAAGAATGGCCACGGGAATGTCATCAGTGGATATAAAAGAAATCCAGCTAAACATACCATCGCTAATTTGCGAAATTCAATGCTAAATAATTGAATAAATGCATATAAAAATAATTTTGCATAATATTTTGCGTGGCAGGTACACGAATAGTATAAAATAATCTTACATTTTTTCCATTTTGAAAAACACAAACATTAGGTAGGTAATTAAAATTAGAACGCCTTGAATTGAATAAATTTTGGCTAAATAACTGACTGCTTCAGCGTTGGTTTTTGCAAACATGACCATCAAAAACGTTGCACCAAGCCTAAAACCAGAAAGTATCTTATTATACATATAACTTCGAAACGGAAGTTAAAAACATTATCAGATATGCTGCAAAAATCAGCAAAATTTTCACAATAGTCTACTTCCAAAACTTACGCTTCTGCGTTAGAAAACGCAAATAGTTGACAAAATCGAGTCAAATAACATAAGAAGACGGCCACCCTGTCAAACTTTGGTATTTTTAAAAGAACTTCAGAATTTCTTCTTGTATTTAATAAACCAGCATACTTTTCTTCAAACGCCAATGCAAGAATTAAAATGCTAATAATATTCATCAAAGCACACAAAATTGGACCAGCAGTGTACATGTTTAAATGGACTCCAAAATATAAAGGTCGTCCGGGATATCCTAAGTAGTCAAAAAACAACTGAACTACAGGACCGCTTATGAAACCAACGCCATAGCCAGTAGAGCAAATACCAAATACTCGCTGGCGATCTTTTTGTATGCTTGCCGTTGCCGAATAAGTTCTAGTCATAGACATTAAACATTCACCGCATCCGGCCAATATTCTAGCGAATAGCATTATATATTTCCAATGATTTTGGAAATTGGGAATAAAGATGTAGAGTATGTTACTAATTAGCGTTAGAACAAGACATGTTTGAGCTGGTAGAATTATAGAATGCAAAGTTTGCGACCAATGACCAATGATTGGGCCAGTCAATGCTTGAGCTAATGAGTACGCCGCTATAATTAATCCAAAAAAACTTTCTGTTGCAGATTTGTCAATCTATAAAAACTGCCCAAGTCGTTACAATTATTAATAAAAACATGTTGAAACTTTTAAGATTAAAAAATTTTAAGTATTTTACCTTTTCGAGATAAGGCCATGACGGCCCAAAATACATCGACATTTGAAGGCCAAGACAACATTCTAGAAATGCGCCAATTAAAATTGATTTCCATGGGGTTAATTGCAACATATGTTGGTCTACACTGCCGGCATCAATATCACGTATTCTGTTAAATCCCATGCTACAGAATAGATTACTAAAAAAACATTTTTTGAAAAATACCAAAATTGTGAGAAACGGAATGGTGTTTACTGTATGGTGTTAACTAAACACTCATTAAATTACAAAAACAATGCAAAACTGTTAAAAAATAAGTAATAGACATATAACAATTTCAAACAAAACCAAGTAAAAAACCAATTTTTAACATATTTATATAGTCTGTTTTACTGTAATCAACAAGTCTCGATGTTCTGTTGATTGCTTTATGAATTAAAGCATCAATGCTGATAAATTATTAATTTTAATTTGTTTCATTGCTTTAATATAATACAAACGTTTTTAAATAAATAAATCTTATAACAAAAGCAGCACATAATGACTTCAGAAATATTAAATTACAAATAAATTTGTTTAAATCCACCGTTATTCCAATCTACGGTTATATAGCGTTTTTTATTATAAAAGTATAAATTTTATATGATGGACACAGGTGTTTAATCGAACTGTTTTATAACCTCTTAAAATGCTATGAAAACCTAAGTTTGTTCCATTAATGTCGCCAGTTTAAGTAAGGCGGAGTTAATAATAGCGACAAAGTTCGTTTATATAATTGATTTATTGAATTTTACCTTACCATTAATCAAAAGAAAATGAATGATCGGTTTTACAAAGCAAAAAAAATTATTTTTTAATTTTAAGCATACTAAGTCTGGTACTAAAGTTGGAGTTTCTTGTTATATATAATAAAAAACAATAAAAAGTTTTGTTCAATACTAAAATTACATTATTTATTAGCGATAATTCATTGTAAAGCAAACGTTTATAAAAGACGTGCAATGAAATAAATTATTTTTTATGTACTTAGAAAAAAGGGTAAAAGCCCTATCTTGAACCTCTTAGTTTCTGAAAATAAAAAAAAATCGATGTGCAAGGAAGGTACTCCACCTGTTCAGCTTTCGTTCAAATTTCTTTTATTAAAAGATCATGTAAATGTAATACCTTATGCAAAATTCTTTATTGCGGTTTGCGGCCAGACTTGAGAAGATCGAGATCAAAAATTGCGTTTTGAATTTCTCGCCATTTATTTATTTTTATGAATTTCCCGCCATATTGGCATAATGTTTCAAGCTTTTAAATTTCTAATTTTTCAACTTTTAGCTATTTTGCTTTAATGCAATGTTAGAAAATCTTCAAATGAACCTGCAATTTGAACATTGTAAGCCTACCTTTCCTGAAATATCAAAAAAAGTTTTTGCAATTCCCGAATTTGCCAAATTGGCGGAGAATTTAAATGTATTATATTTAAAACTTAAAGCCGCAAGCTAAGATTTTTTATCTGTGCTGCTGATACTACAAAGAAATCGTATAAAAATTTTGAACCAATTCTGAGTTGCAGATTGGGTACTTTCCTTGATAGTTAGTTTGAGGCAGCAAAAATTGTGTGTTGCCATTTACTGTAAATTTACAGAAAAGTAATTCCAAAATCTTAAACATTTTAATAACAGGTAAAAGTTTATGCTTAAGGTTGTATTCATGATGAGCGGGCAGCTTCAAGCGGCATTATTAGTTCTTAAGGGTCAGGTCTAATTCCGACACCCTTCCCATGTTTTTGATCATTTAGAAAATTACTTATTGAACGTTTGAACTATTTTGTTTTACTGTTCATGAATTTATGAAACACCTACCTATATGCATAGATCAATCATTAACAGAAGTTTTTTGTATCAGTGTAATGTCTTAAGCAATTAATCTCTTGAATCATCAAAAGGTTGCAACGAATCGTTGCTTTAAAGTTGTTAATAACCAAAACCGTAAATGTCTTTTAATATTAGTAAAAAAGTGGCTACATTATTAACGTTTAATTACTAAAAAAAATTATTTTAAAAAATATTTTTAACTATCGTTTAAATACCGAGTCATAAAGACTGACAATTTTTTTGAAAAAAGGGAAAATTTAATTTCAAGTTTGAATTTAAAAAACCATAATGATAATAATTTGTTTCAAAAATACGTATTACACAAGCTTTAAAATTTAATGAGTAAACGCTATTAACGAGGAAAATACCCAACCTGCCTCGCTCTGAATCAGCTCAAAATTTTTATATGAATACTTTGTACCATCAGTAGTCTTCAAAAAAATTTTAACTCGCGCTTTTGAGTTTTTAAATTTGAAATATTTGGGTTCCCGCTGATTTGGGAAGTTTGGCATTGTGTTTCAAGCATTTTTTTCGACTTTCTATACAAGCTACGCTTACAATCAGTGTTTTGCCCGGACCGGTCCGGAGCGTTTTTCACCGGTCCGGTCCGGTGATTTTCTGGTCCGGTCCGGTCCGCAAAAAAATTTTTTTTTATTTTTAAAAAAGGCAAGGAGCGCTAAAACTGCTTTCTTTTTTGCTTAAAAACTCTTAAAAATACATTTTATTTGCAATTTTTAAATCATTTCTATTAAAATAAAAAAAAATTTTTTCTTGCGGACCGGTCCGGAGCTTTTTCTTCGGTCCCGTCGCAAAAATTTTTGTTTCGGTCCGTCCGGTCCGGCAAAACACTGCTTACAATATTAAAATTGAAGGTTCAGTGCAAGGTTTCCTACTAGTATATAAAAGAAAACTGCTTCAAAGTCAAAAAATGGCAAAATGTTATAAGCTTAAAACATAATGCCAATTTAGCGGAAATTTCAAAACATAATTTTTTGATCTTGATTTTCTCGAGATTGTCTGGAAAGTGCGATTTAGTGCTTATATTTAAATGAACTTGTGTATAAAAAGTTTGAAGTCAATCAGAGCGGTGCAGGTCGGGTACTTTCCTTGTAATTTATACTAAGATGTATGTCTTAAAATTAAATAAATTTTGCACTTTTTGCACTTTTTGCAAGATGAAGGAGAAATTAGATATGACTGACTAAAAAAATAAAATTTAAACCTATAAATTTCAAAACGATTATAAATAAGAACAGTTAATAATACAGTAATAGCTCTAGTTAATACTGGTATAGAAAGAATTAAAAGAAAAACAGCGACTGAGAGAATAATATTGGTTCCATAAATGTTTCTTTAATAAATCGTCGTATTGGTGATTATTTTATGTCTTTTTCTTTTATTTTATTTTGTTAATTTGAAACCCATGACATTTTGATTTTCAATTCATCTCTTTTTGTTTTACGTTTTAGACTATATTTACCTTAAAAGTAGTTTTGTTTGACTTTCTAAAATAATTTTTATACCACAGTGAAACCGCTTTATGTTTGCTCGCGGTAGCACAAATGGCTGGGTTAACAGCTTATATCGTGTATCTTGTCACGTCTATTAAATGTTTGTGATCATTGAATGTAAATGACGAAGATAAAATAGCGTCATTAATTTCAATGAGGCAAAACAAATTTTTTTTTTATCAATATCTTTAAAATTTTAGTTAAAATTTGGCAGATGTTTGTTGTTTTTTAATTCCTTTTTAATTCACATTTACAATTTTTTCAAACTTGGTTCAATAAATATTATATTAAATGTAAAGTTGTTTTGCATGGTCAATTTGCTTCCGCTTTTGTTTCACGTAATTTTCGTATTAAAAATTTAAATATGAGCTATATAAATCCGTCTTTTCGAAACGTTTTGGCCACCTCCGTCGCGCGACTTACCGTTTCGGCAACACGACAAAAATAAAAAATTATATTTAAAAGATAACATAATTTTAGAATCAATCATTTTTGTTTGTATATTCTACTATGTGTATAATACAACTGCAGTTGTTAAATGTTATCAAGGCAGATTAATTATATGTTTTTTTTTCAATTTTTACCATTTTTTAAACCATAGGTCTAACAATTAGTGCTTTAGAACTGAGAGAAAAATTTAAAGATCTTTTATAAATATGTTACACTTAAATTTAAAGGATATACGACATTTTAAAAGCATCAGTCAAAATATATTGGTGGGAAAGTAAATTGAAGCGTCCCAACGGAAATTTAATTTCCGGCTTGCCTAAAAAATTTAAATTTTCTTGTTTATATCAAAAAATCTATGCGTTTTATGGCGCTAGGACAAATGCGGTTTTTGGACATTTGCGGATCTGCGGTTTTTAGACACTTGCGGATTTTGGACATTTGCGGATTTGTTAAAGGGGTTTTTTTATTTTTTATTTAATTTAGTTGTAGTATGGTACTAAATGGTACTAAAGTTTAAATTGGCACTGTCTTAATATTTCTTAATGTTAAATAGTAATAGATTTTTAATCGTTACTGTTTTTATATTTTTGGTACTAAATAGTACTAAAAGCCCAAAAAGGTACTGTTATGTTAAAACCGTACCAACTCAAACTTTAGTACAATTTAGTACCATAATACAACTAAATTAACTAAAAAATAAAAAAAAAAACCTTTAAAAAATCCGCATATGTCCAAAAACCGCATTTGTCCTAGCGCCCGTTTTATATATTTTGCTTTAAAAAACTTTTATTAAAAAAACGCACTATTTTTAAAAAACAATGATTTTTACTTTAACAAATTTAAATTTAAATGTCCTATTTATACGCGTTTTTAATGTAAGACCAACCATTGCTATAGTTCTTTGAAAGCCAAAATCAACTTGTAAGCTATTTCGTTTCCTACATGTTTGGACCGGAAAAGGCGGATCTCTTGTTTCATTTGTATAGATATTTTATCTGGAAATGTTTCAGCTAGATCGTAGATCTTTCTGTTCTTTGAACATTTTTCAGGCAGTTGAAAAGGATATAAATAAAGTTTTGCCATTCCACAGATGCGTATTGTTATGGACAAATTCTTGCTGCTTTTGACATTTCTAGGGATTTTTTAAGCACACTGTTAGTAATATTACCAAATCAAAATTTAAAAAATTTAAATTATTTCCGTAATGTGTATAGCTTGAAAAAGTTATGTTTTTATTCTGTACGGTTGCTTACTTTTAATACTTTTAATAGTTTGTCTTGAAACTCTGTGTACGGCATATTAAATTGATTTTTTTTTAAATTTAGTTCAAAATTTTATAATTTGAAATATTAAACTCACTAAAACGATTTAAAATAACTCAGCCTACTCTATTTCAACAGATATGCATAATAAGACAGACAAACAGCGTTATTAATAACCTTATATATTATAGCTTCAGTTTTTAATGTGTGTTTGTTTTTGGCATAAAAGTTATTTTTTGAATGAAAGAAACTTTAAATCACCCATTAGAATTTTTTATTGATTGTTGTTAATCACTACAGATTTTATTGTTTATTGTATATTACCGGTAATGTACAGCTGTTGTTTTACACCAATAAAATCGTTTTTGTTGCACTGGATAATATAAATATATTTAGATTTTGTAAAGTATAATGTATATATATAAAAGGTATTATTCAATAAAAAATTGTAAAATAGGTAGGTCGACAGCAAAGAAATTAATTTAATGTAGTGTGACAATTTTTGTTGAATTATGCCATTCTTGTTAAAACTTATTCATGCTGATTTTTACTGTATGTTTTGCACAGTTTATTAATTTTTGTCTTTAAAAAACTCCGTATTTTCTTACGTTTTTACCATGGAAATCATGCGAAAGCAAGAGGGTAGTAACTGTTTGCTGTAGAAATTGATCGCATTTTCGGTTTGATGCGTCAAAAGTTCAAAAATTGAATTAACAATAAAATGCACAAAGTACGATTTACATTGTATTAAACGTAGCAAGGGTCTTGCGTTTAAAACGTATGCATTTAATTTCTTATATAAATTATTCTAGGACGTTGATCTCGTACGTTATGTTATTTGCCAGCTTGCAAAAAAACATTAATTTTATTTACTTTAAATATAAGTTTTGTTTCTATTGCGTTAAAAAGGATTGATTATGGTATTACACAAATTTATAATCAAAAATAATATAGTATACGTTTTTTTTGTAAATTTTATATATATTTTTGCAAGAGAGACGTTAGTATAATTCCTCATCTTTTCGACGTTAAGAAGTTGTAACAATTGTTACGAGGATCTATTTATATTTGTAAAGCGCGATTTGATCGGTTGAACATAATTTCAATTACTAAATTCAATTCAAATAATTGTTGTTTAACGCTTTTTTACGTTGGTTGCCAATACAAACTGTAGTAAAGTCTTAGGAAACAAAAAGCGATCTTTGTAGCATACCAAAATTACTATAATAATTTGTAAACAACGGTGATATTAATTGATTTTGTCATAACAAATGAAGTCGTTCTAAAACATTTTCATCAGATATTACGTTGATTGGAATTTTTGGCGGAAAAACAATCGTTGATATATCCAGTCTATACACATCTATGTTAGATTTTTGTGTATCCGTAGCATTGATTTTTTTATTTTTCTTTGTTAAAACGCGTTGTAAAAGCTTGTAGTTTTTATGCAATTTTAATTCAAGCTTCAAGCTTTCTCTGTTGTTGTGCTCAACTTTTATGAACTATTCATTTTTAATATAAGGGTCGACTTATCAACATCTTCTGCTTAATCCGGAAGTAAAGATTTCATTCGCTGCTTTAACGATATTTTACTTTTATTTGTACACTTTTGATTGTAATGCTACGTAAGACTAAAATTTTTGAAATGTTTTGTTTGTTATATTTTTTAATTATGTTAATAATAAATTTTAGGTTGGGTATTAAACCGTAATGTTTATGATTGTTATCCTTACATTAACTGCTGCTATAATAAACGCCAATGATTGGGGTTACGATTCCCATAACGGTCCAGAGTCTTGGATTGAGAATTGTGCTAGTGGTCGAAAACAATCACCTATTGACATCCACGCCGCTGACGTTGACTATGCTTTAATAAACAAGATGCACTTTGCTAATTACATACGAACAGGGAATGTATCTGTCAAAAATAATGGTCATTCAGGTTTGTTTGTTTTTACATTTACAACTGAAATGACAGTTATATATGTCAGCTGAAAAAATTATTAAATGTTTCTTAGCTGTACGTCTTAAACATTCAGGAAAAACATTCGCTTTTGATTTTATGTAAAATTTCAAAATGTAGAGATTTTCTTAAAAGTTGCTTTTTTAAAGGGCACTATGACTGCTCGGGCGATTATAGACCCGGACGGTCACTCGGGGAAGAAAATTTTTTAAAATACCACACAATACCACAAAGGTAAACTTTAAATAATTTTAACAAATCATAAATACAACACCTATTTTAATTTTTAGTATTATTTGGTATCACCATTTACATATATTATTATATTTTAAAATTTTAGTGCCAATTATATAAATTTAAATTGATTTTAATATATGGTACCACTCAATACTATTTTAACCTCAGGCCGACCATAAAATAACGTGGGCCAAAAATCGCCCGAGTTGAGGGAGTACGTAGTTTAACTACAAAATCTCGTTTTTTCAGACAAATATGTTTAATTGAAATTTTCTGATTTTCGTCGCAGAAGATCAATGTTTTTCGAGGACGTTTTGTGATTAAACTACGTACCCCTCTAAGGTCCTTTAAAGGATTTATATTTAAAAAATTAAAAACTGTTTTGCAGTGATGATATCTGGATTTGCTAACTGGGGAGAGCATCAACCTTATATTTACGGCGGCGATCTAGAAACAAAGTATCATTTGCTGCAAATACATTTTCATTGGGGTCCTACAAACGATATCGGAAGTGAACACACAATAGGAACTTTGCATTATCCCATTGAAATTCATTTAGTACATCAGAAAGATGGTACCAAAGATCTTACGGTTTTGCCAGGTGATGGTCTTGCTGTTTTAGGAGTTTTTGGATATATTTCTCAAGAAAGTATACATTTCAATACAATAGAACCAACATTAAACAACCTCATACATCACGGAAGTGAAATAAAAATTGAAAAATATCAACCAAAAGAATTTTTACCAGTAAATGCAGACAATTTCTACCGTTACCAAGGGTCGTTAACAACACCAGGATGTGGTGAACAAGTTATATGGACTGTGTTTGCTGAACCTCTGCCAATTACACAAAAACAGGTATATAAAATTAAATTTTTTTATTTACAAAACAATTTGAGAAAAAATAAATTAGTTTTTATACCAATACAGTAAGTACATTAGTAGAAAAAATGCGTTTTTAATATTGACGTTATTACACATGTGTAATTGTTTTTATGCGGCATTTTTTAAAAAAATACAATGATACCGATGTTATTATTTGAGAAAACCTTACGCCTTTTGATCTTGTATAGCGAATTTTTACTTTAAAAAACTGTGATTTCATTTTTTAGCTGACAATGTTTCGAAAATTGACTTCTGGTTCTGGAAACACTTTTGATTTGGGAAATTTTCGAAACACTCAACCGCTAAATGGCCGTAGAATTAAATACCGTGGCGGCGCTGACAGACATGGCATTTGTGGACACAACTTTGTAATGATCTTGTCGCCGAACTACTTATTGTTTGCAATGTTCATTGCGGCATACAATGAATTTTTTAATTGATTTTAATTGAAAATTTTCTTGCAATTTCATTGATCTCATGTAGTTTTGTTGGATTTCTTATAAATAGAATAAAAGTTATAAAAACGTAACAATTTGACAAAATGTATTTTCATACTTTTTTTAACGACTAGACATTTACAACCTTATCATTTAATACTTGTGTCAGTGTTAATTTTTATCAAGCAATCAAGGTTTAATTACTTCAAAGTGCACTTGATAAAACAGTTCACCTACATTTCATACAGTTTTTTTATTATCACAATCGAATCATTAGCATAAAAAGTAGGTGAAGTGTAAAAAAAACTATAATATAAATATTAAAGAACGCGCATTAAAATATAAACGTTTTTATAATAAGTGCAGTTAAATTGAAGTTTTTATATTTATGTTATCCATTTTTTCCCTTTTGTTTTAATATGTCGTAAAAAAAGTTTTTGATCGTAACACCCTAAACTTTTAACTTTAAAGAGCAACGACGTATCAAATGTTATTGGCTGGTAAAGTTGCTTTAGTCACTGGGGCGTCACGTGGCATTGGTAAAGGTGTTGCTATTGAGTTAGGTAAAGCAGGAGCAACTGTCTATGTCACTGGTCGAAGTTCAAATAAGCGTGACAACACCACCAATCAAACAAGATTGGAAGAAGTGGCCAACACAGTAAATAAATATTACAAAAAAGTTTTTAAAACTAACTTCGATAAAACCTGTAACTTTATAGAATGTATTCCCGATATAACGAATTACAAGGGGATTGAAAAATCGTTCGCTGTAACCGGGTTTCGTTATAACCGAAGTTCTTTTATTAAAGAACCAGTTCAAAATTTGTATCTAGGGGATTAAAAAAATTGTTATAAAGGAGATTTCAACCTTAACGAGGTTTTACTGTAATATAATTATTTTATTTAGATTAAATCAGCAGGTGGTAATGGGATTTGTGCTTATGTTGACCATTCAGACTCAAACGAAGTAAAACGTTTGTTCGAACGCATATCTGAAGAAAACCATGGTCAACTGGATATTTTAGTTAATAATTCTTATGCCGCTGCAAATGTAAGTACAATGTAAACTATTTTAAATTTTTTTGCATCAAAAACGTTAATTTTGCAATATCGATGTATAAATGGTTATTTTTTAGTTCATCCTCAGCAACAGCCAAAAAAAGTTTTGGGAATACGATGTGAACCCAGAAGACGCGTATGACATTGTCAATAACGTTGGCTTACGAAATCACTACATATGTACTGTCCATGCCGCTCGGCTCATGGTGAAACAAAAAAAAGGGCTTATAGTCAATATCGGAAGTTTGGGAGGGATTAATTACTTTTTAAACGTCGCTTACGGGATTGGAAAAAGTGCTTTGGATCGTTTAACGTCGGACTCTGCTACTGAATTAGCTGGTACTGGAGTAAGCGTAATTTCCTTATGGCCTGGCGTTGTAAAGACGAAAATGGTTCAAAAATGCGTACTGAATGGAGACAGAAAAGACGTAACGAAAATAATTTACAATTTTTAATAAAAGTAATTTACTACAAAAAATATTCCCTATTCTTTCAGAACATATACAAGTACTTTAATAAAGGAGAGACAAGTTATTACCCAGGAAAATGCATTTTAAAACTGTTCACGCTTGAAAATTTGCACAATCACACAGGTGACATTATAACAACTACTAACGTGGCTAAGAAATTCAATATACTTGATACTGATGGGAGTAGGTTGCTTAAAAGCATTTATATAACGAATATTTAAGTTAAAAAACGATTTAAAATTTTTTTAGATATTGTTTATTTAGGGTTACCGGAAGACCCGCATGTTGTACGATATTCTGAATACATTACTCAAATGAACATGGTGCACACAAGTGAAATAAAATCGGTATTAAAATTAAAATAAAATTATGTAAACTTGAAAAATAGAACGTTATGAATAAATACTTTTTTACAAGTTGTTTACAACTTATCGAATTAAATTAATGGATTGGCCGTTACGTCTTGAGGCCAATTCATTAATCTAAATTGTCTTTTTTTGTTTAATTTGTAACTTCATAAACACATTGCAACTTTTTAGAACATTTTTTTATGACAGTTGTATAGCCTACTTAATTATGATTTTTTTGGTTGATAAATGGTTTTTGTCGGTTCGTTTATTTGATCCGTAAAATTAAAAAGTCGTTAAATCTATTTTATTATCGGTGAGTAAAAGTGTATAAAAAGGTGTTTCTAACCATTAAAGCCAGTATGTGCAGTTTTAAAAATTAAAAAACGTACTGCTTATAAATTTAAGCTTTTGATTGTTTTGGTTCCAAGTTCAGTCTTAATCAGCTTGAATTTTAGCTGTTTAACACTTTATTTTCTAATTATGTATTATATTTTTTGTTCAATTGAACAACTGCTTTAAAAAATTATTTAAAAATTGGGATGTGTCTAATTTTATATAGAATATACTGACACAAAAGTCTCAATGTTCTTGTCAACAATTGAAACAAAATTTTTTATGACGTTTAAGAAAGATATGTCATAAAATAAAATATATCGAATAAACATTAACGTGTTTATAGGAAAAATTTAAAAAGTACTACACTTTTAGCAATACTTTTTATTTAAGCAGAAAATCTTTTTATACGTTGTTATTTCTTTTTTTAATAATTTTTTACTTGTTAAGAATTAAAAAATACTTTTACAAATTTTTACTTATCAGACCTTAGATTTAGATTTCATTTACTTTTTGTTGGAATATCTTATACAAGGCTAAAATATTTGGCTCTTTATTTGATGGTTTATTTAAAATCATATATTTTGGGTGTGTGGTCTTTTCTATTTGATTAGCTGTATAAATTGTCAGCTTTAACAATGTTTGTCTCTGCTTTATGACTAACAAAATCAGGTATATAAGCGAAACTATTTTTCGTTATTTTAGCATCCCCCGGGATTTTAGTAAAAATTTATTTTTAGTCTTTCCTTGTATTCACGTGCATTTTTGTATTCTTATTTGAAGTTTTGGTTTTTTAATAAAACTTTTTCTTTAAGGTTTTATTTGTAATAATCAGTTGTGCAAACGAAATTTTGAGAATTGTAGGAAAACTGAGAACTGCTACTATGTCGTTAGCTGGAAAAGTTGCTTTGGTCACCGGGGCATCTAGGGGTATTGGCAAAGGCATTGCACTGGAATTGGGTAAAGCTGGTGCTACAGTTTATGTAACTGGGCGAGACCCAAAGAAAAGCGACAGAACTGAAAACCAATCAACTTTGGAAGAAGTTGCTAATGAAGTAAAGTTTTAATTTTTGAAAAGTTTTTAAATAATTATTTTTTAAAACAGTTTTATGCTTAAATACTCTGAAACTTCGGATCAATTTTGATTTAAGCTGTCTAAATGGTTAATTTTAAGGTGACATTAGTAGGTGGAAAGGGTATACATTTATATGTTGATCATTCTGACCCTCAAGCAGTAAAAAGTTTGTTTGAACGCATCTCTCAAAATCATCAAGGTCAACTAGACTTACTTGTCAACAATTCTTATGCCGCTGCTACGGTATGTCATACATTTAAGTATATACAACTATTTTTTAAAATTTTGGTAAAGTATTACATTGAAACTTTATAATTTAAAAACGGTTTTAGTTTATCTTGAGCAATAGCGGAAAGAAATTTTGGGAGTACGAAGCTGATCCCGCGTACGCTTATGACATTGTGAATAATGTTGGATTACGAAATCATTATATATGTTCCGTCTATGCTGCAAAACTAATGGTCCCAAGAAAGTCAGGACTAATTGTTAATATTGGAAGTCTTGGAGGACTTTCGTACTTTTTAAACGTATCTTATGGCGTTGGAAAAGGAGCAATTGATCGTTTGTCTTCAGACTCGGCTACTGAATTATCTGGAACTGGCGTTACTGTGGTATCTTTATGGCCAGGCGCTGTTAAAACTGAAATGATTAGCAATTACGTCTTAAAAGAAAAAAGCGATACGGTGATTTTTTTTAAATTTTACTTTAATTCTTAAGGTGTTTTTTGTTTTCAAAGTATTTTAGATACCTGGGTATTCCACTTTAATTTTTTTTATTTTGTTTTACAGCCTGTTTATCATTATTTTAACGAAGGAGAATCAATTTACTATCCCGGAAAATGTATTGTGAAACTTCTTTCACTTTCCGATTTGCATAAGCGTACAGGAGAAATCATTACAACCACTTCGATGGCAAATGAATATGGTATTCAAGATATCGATGGAAGTAAGTTAATTTAATAGAAGCGTAGTATAATTAAAGTTTGAAATGTCTCGTTTTTCGATATACCTAAAATAACCTACGTGTATTTTTATCTTAAATTAGAATAATTTAGATAACATAATTTTATACTATGTAATTTTTTCAATTTAAAAATAAAGGTTTATTTTCAGAACTACCCAGGGATCCACATGTTGTTCAATGCCAAGATTATATAGAGCAAATGAACAATATTCGCACCAAAGTTTTAAAATCGAACCAGTAATAGAAAATACTTCATTTGTTTTACAATATTACTTACGCTGTAATAAATTTTTTAGGAAATATTTTTTTACAAAAATTTAGATAATGAGTAAAATTAAGAAGAAACGTATGGCAAAACCTTTTTACAAATGATTACTTAAAATGTGTTAATTTTCGTCAACCTACTACTTTAAAATACATTATCCGGCTTTATATAAAATTTATTTTATTTATAACTTTTTTAAGTTTTAATTTATTTGTCATGCTTTCATTTCTTAATTGGTCAAATTTGGCGGGCTGCAAAAATTCGAAAACTGGGAAAAGGCAGCGGTCTTTTTTATAGCAAAATGTGAGGAAACGAAAACATTGTGGGGGAAGTGATTTTAGGAAGAAAAAGTTCTTTGCAGCTGATGACTCTAAAGAGGATTTTAGAGTGAAGTCTTTTTTCTGCTTTCCTTGTGTGTTATGTGAAGTGTTATGAAAATTGCAACGCTTAAGCCTAAACGGTGGCTTCCAATATCGAAGCTTAAATATACAACATTAAGCTAACAAACTAACTTGATTTTTAGTTAATATTATTCTGTTTAATTTTAAGTTCTAAATTAACAAATACGATGCATTATTCTTTGCGGCGTATAATTCTTTTATGCTGTTTTCCAACGAAAAATGTTAGGAATATGTGTAGACAACACCGAAGAGGGAGGGCAGCTCGACGGCGTAAGCAATTTTTGAGAGGTTCTTTGGCGGGAAAAATCATTCAAACTTTGCGGGAATATCAGACGGAAGGCTTTTCAAAAATAATTTTTCTGCTGTAAAATATTTTGGTATAGCGAAAGATTTAACAAAAAAACATTAATACGATTTTACATGTTACTACATTACATTTATAATTATGACTATTTTTAGTCCTATTTTTAATTACTTATTTTTAATGCTGTTTTCCTATGTTTTTCTGAACTTTTTTACTTAATTTTTTTTTCGCTGTGTTCCGTAACATAAGTGTCGACTATTTTGAAGATTTTAATCTTTAAGTCAAATTTTTCCGACACGGTGAGTTCTATTCATTTAAATGTCTCTTTCTTTTCTAAACCTCTGGTTTGCTACGACTCTTTTCAAATTGTTCTATTTGGCGGGAAAATAGTGTTGAACCGTTGTTAAAGACAGCTGAGTAAAACATTGAACTAGACGACGCTTTAGTATACAGAACCCCAAATTTTTGGGTCCGGTCGGCAAAATTTATTTTTTAATTTTTAAAAAAGCTAGGAGCGCTAAAACTGCGTTCTTTTTGCTTAAAAACTCTTAAAAATATATTTTATTTCCAATTTTTAAAACAGTTTTATTAAAATAAAAAAAATTTTTGGACCGGTCCGGAACTTTTTCTTCGGTCTGAGTCCGCAGGTTTTTGGGTCCGGTCCGGCAAAACACTAGTTTTACACAAGATGGCCAATACAGTTGAACTCCTGTAGAATAATTTAAAACTACTGAAACTTCTTTTACTGAACTAATTTAAAATACTCAAAATTTCGGTATACAGATATTTTATTGGATTTCAATTTTAATTAGAGATAGTTTTCACGGTTTAAAAATAAATCTCACAATTAATTTTTTTAAATACGCGAATTCCATTCTAATTATTCGTTTAATACAATGCTTTAAATCTTATTTATTCATCAACAGTTTTACATAAACAGATTTACTTACTTTACAGAAATATGGTGTTACAAACCAAATTAAAGTTGTCGCAAAATTCCGTAATTTTTCCATATAACATGTCACTTCGCGTTTCTCGTTTGGCTTTTTTTGCATCTTTCTTTTCTCAAAAAATGCTGTGTTTTTGAAGATAGCAATAATTTGAAAAGGGTTTTTCAAGTGAAATTTTTGTAAATGAATTTGGAAACAAATTTTTGGAAGTTTATTATTCATTAAAATTTTTCTTATGTTTTTTATTAATATAATCTTTTCGTCTATTCTTTGAAACGTGTTTTAATTTGCTTTTTTATATTAAAAATTTAAAAACTCAATACGTTTGTGATTTTTGTTTCAGAGTTTTCTTTAAATGGAAACTGCGAGGACGATTTTTCAGCCATCTAAAGGTGAATATTGTACAGATCTCATGAATAACCTGAACGTGTATCCATCGACCTCATCAAGCTCAGTTGTTTCGAGGCCTCGTCCGATTCACGTAAATACAATGTTGGTTGCTCCGGTTAAAGGAAATACTCCAAATAAAAACGTTTCACCGCCAAGCGTTACAACTCCGTCTCAACAACATTTTATTCTCAAGTCTTCGCCGCAAAGCTCAGAAAAAAAGGTTTGTTAAGTTTGATGTCTGTTCTGTTTAATTGGTTTGTTTCTATGAGTTTTAGCATTATTTAAAAAATTGTAGCGGGGTTTAACGTAAATGAATAGTTTTAGGTAACGAAATTTTTAATTAAAGGGCTAGAAAGTTTATAATGTTTAAAATGCATTTATAGGTCGTACACACTTATTATCCAGCAGACTACATAAAACCAGACCCAGATTATGCATCTGTACCATTAAATTCAAAGGAAAGATTGGTGTTTAAAGTACCTGCGAAGAAACGAACATACAAAGATGCCAACCTATTGCCAGGCGGTTCAAACCCAAAAATTCCTAAAGAAGAAGAAGGTGGGTGTAGAGTTTGCTTTCTATTGTATTTTTAGGATTTTTGTTCTATTACGCCAATTTAATGAAGAATTTAAATAGAAAACGTCTTATATTTTAGTAAAAATTTTTAGACTGATTTTTTTGTTCAACAATTAAAAAAAGGAAATAAGATGTTAGACGATGCTTTTTGCAGATTTTTATTGTAATAAGTTTGGTTTTTAGCTGAAACGGAAGTTACAGATCCTAATGTTAGACAAGACAGCAGTTTACTGCGTTTGACCCGAAAGTTTTTGGACTTGAAACCATCTTCTGAACCAAGTGTTTTGAACTTGAATGAAGCTGCCGAGAAGCTCGGTGTTCAAAAGAGGCGATTGTACGACATTACAAATGTTTTAGAAGGCATCGAATTGATCGAAAAGATGGGAAAAAATAGCGTTCGATTTAAGTAGGTTTATTTTCTTTCATTTAAATATTTTTAAAATAGAGGACGACGACCTATTTGTTTTGCTTAACTTTATTTAGGTATATTTCAGGGGCGCCGCTACGGTTTGTCCCTGGGGGGGGAGGTCGAAAATTTTTTTAAAAAATTTTTTAAAAGTTTTCGATTAAACGCTTTTAAATTAAATTTTAACAGATCACAAGCTGATACTTCTCATGCCCAAGACTTACATGATCTTAGAGACGAAATAAATGAACTTCAAAGAGAAGAAGATTACGTAGACACCTTGATGCGTTCTGTTTTAAATGCTATGACATTGACTCGCGAAGACCCTACTGAAATTCCGTATCAGTAAGCGCTACTGATAAACTTATATTCGACTAATTAAGAAGATTAATTCAACTGAGTATACTTTTAGGTATGTAACGTACGAAGATCTGCACGCTTTAGGTGATTTATCAGAACGAATGTTGGTTGCAGTAAAATCACCGGCGGGATCAAGATGTGTATTACAAGTTTCAGAAGACGATAAAAGCGGGGTATGGATGCTAGTATATATTTACTTTAATGTTGATCTTTATCTAAATTGAGCTATAGCCTACAAATGTATATTTTTTTATGTAATATCTTGAAGTTTTTTCTAACGTCAGAATTGAAACTTTTTATAGTTTGCTTTAATTTAATATTTATTTTTTAATATGCATTTATATATTGTCATTCTTTGTTGATTTCAGTCCAATAAGCGTCATGTTTTTGTACGTTCTGAAAGTAATGATCCTATTCAAGTGTTCGTTTGTCCTACAGATTCTAATGGGGATGATTCGTTTATGAATGAATTTGTAAGTTTTTATTTTTGAGTTCTTAGTTTCTTGAGCTTTTAAAAGTATAGGTAAAACGGAAGACTTAAACGTTTTTACGATTTTTATGTCATACACTAAAGGGATGTTAGAAATTTGTTTTGTGTTTTGGTTTTACACTTAAAATTAAACGTATAGATGAATTGTTGAAGTCGTAAAAGTATAAGCAGAGGGACCGCAGGGCCTTCTCCAGATCATCGGACATTCGCTGACCTGGTTATTGTTATAAAGTAATGCTAATTTTACAATTGAGCGAAAAACGTGTTATATTTTTTTCTCATCATGCCTGTATTTTCTTCAGTTTAGAAATTGGAAAAAATCCTGTTATGATTTCTCATGCGAAAATTATGGCACGTTTTTGTGTCCAAATATAAAACGCGGGCTTTAAATATCCTTCTTATCTTGCAATTTTTTTATTATGGTTTTAGAAGACACCCACTCTTCGAGCAGTAAATTTATCCGATTCGGATCAAATGCCAAGCGACCTGAAGGGGGATATACAGACGATGGATTTTCCTGAAATGGAGTTGAACAGTTTGATTCGAGATGCAAAGTTAACTCCAAATTCATTTAAAGCATTTGCTTCGCCGTTAAAAATGTTAGCTGATGGTGGCCCTGCTGTCTCACCATTGACCGCAAATACGTTGAATGCCCAACAGTACGACTCGCGCTCCTTTGTGAACTTAGAGCCGGTTCGTGAACCAGAAAACTATTTGTACACGATGACTTCGGCCGATACTCTTCATTCGATATTTGAAGCGAATTGGTAGTTTACTTTATAACAGTGATAATTAAGTGTGTTTTAAGTTGGAGTTTTTATGTTTTAAACACGAACTACTTTTATTGTTTAAAAAATATTACTTTTTTGTAATTTAAGTGTTAATACACATTTTTACTAGGGTTTACTAGCTAGAAATGCGTTTGCTTATGTTTATGAAAATCAAATTTTTGATGATAGAGCTGGTAAGTTCAAAGCAGTTTCTCTAACAACACGAAGAAACGTGCCTTTTTTAAATTTACTATTTCAATTTTAAAAATGTCACAATGGTGTTTTGCGGAGTTACGTTTTAAAATCTTCCATTGTAAACTTAGTTTTTTTTAAATGAGTAGAGGTAATTTTTTCATTTTGTAATATTATTTTTTTTTTCATTTAAAAAATTATTATACTCTTTTTGGTTGTTAAATTTTCTATTTTACATAAACCTAACCCAACCATAGTAGACATGAGAAACGGGCCGGGCCTGAATGTTAGGCCCGGCCCGATCGCAATTTTGCTCAAGACCGGCCCGTTTCTCATGTCTAAACCATAGTAAGTTTCATAAAAATTTTATTGTTTTAAAAGTTATTTCCTCGCTAACTTGTTTTTAGCTTTCATATTTGGTAATTGTTTTATGTTTAAATTTTGTGAAGACTGCAATCACCCATTTATCATTTTTTGAATATAATAAAATTTTATTTTTTTTAAATAAAATTTGATAGTTTGAATAAGGGACTTGGTCAAGTTACAGTATAGCCTTAAATTTTAATAATTATCTATTTTTTCAAGCGTAATAGATGAAACAATCAAATTGAATTAAGAATTATTCAATATTTTGTTGTATTATTTTTTGACAATGTAAATTTTCTCAAGTTTAAAGCTAGACAAAGCGAAGTAAGGCCCGTTTTGTATGAAAGAATTTCCAATCCCGGCCAGACTGCTCCATTTCAATTAAAAGGGCCATAATATATTCAAATAATGTATTATATTATGCTTGTAAAAAATTTTTGCATACGCCATTGTGTATTGCTAAATCTGAATATGGTGATTTTGAAAGAAAAGGTCTTGAACTGTTGGTTTCGCTTCGGTAGCTGTCGTAATCGACGTGATCCTTTTCATCAGGTAACACTAATTTTGGAAATGAAGCCAACTCTCGCCACCGGATAGCTTCCAATGTACTTAAACCAAATACCTGGGCGCGTTCTTCTATTTCCTTAATTAAAACGTCGATTCTGTGTAACTTCAACTCGGGCCCTTCTGCTTGTTTTAGCCGTTCTAGTTCAGCACACCTAAAAATTATAAAGTATTTCGTGATTTAAAACATTTTTGGATTACTGACAGTTTTATATGATAAATTTTATGAAGTATTTCATCAAGTTGTAAACATTACTTTTGATTTGAAGCCATAAACTTACCATTTTTGTAAATGGTAGTACTCAGCAATACGTATCGTTTCCAGTTGCTGTCGATATCGACCAGTTTGCACCATTCCTCTGAACTCTGCGTTTCCTGCTTGCAAGCGACATAAGTCCATAGCATTCTGTTCCGTGAGTAACAACCCTTCAGATCTGTTTAAGTTTAGGGTGTATTCAACGAAGCGTTCCATCTAAAACTTTTGTATTACAGGTATTTCGATATGCCAGTATGTTTTTGGATCTGCTTTGATTATCTCAGCACTGTCTTTTAGTAAGCTTAAAAAATAATTCTCTTACTTTTTCTCGTTGTTTGTAATAGGTTATACACAGTAACATAAACGACACTGAATCTAACACCAAATACGATCCTATAAGAAGTACATATGTCATGTTCATGACGGTCGCAACAATTGCAGCTGTGAAAAAAGTGAATGCTATTAACCCGCCTAAAATTAAACACATTTAAGGGCTGTCATAGTTTAAAATCATTCATACGTTGAAATATAACTTACAACTTAATATGCACAATTGATTTTTATCTAAGCTTTGAAAACCATAACTTTTCTTGATAATTTTGTCAACATGAAATGACATAACAGCAACAGTCAATATGAATGAAGACAAGTGGAACGTCAATGTTATTCCGGTTTGTAACTAAAAATAATATTTAGGCAAAATAAATTTAAACTTAGATTTAAAATCCTATTAATGCAGAGTTTATTTTTACGAACAGAGTAATATCTTTGAAACAGTGTTATAGGACAACCTTGCAACGCTTACTCTGCTAACATAATACATTTCTTGAATTGTTCCTCTTTGAATTTCTATTAGAAATATCAATATCGTTCCAAGCATTAACGTAAAAGCTGTTATTGCTGCAGAATTCAAGTAAAAACTGCATTGGTATTTGTGTTTTAATTTTGGGAACCTGCACATTAAAACCTAAAATAGGCTTTTAAATACTTCGAATTATTGAATAATTGTATCCACGCATGCTTACGAAATTGCATCTTAACGATAATATATTTGAACAAAACTGCGCAGCAAATTAATACTCGAATGCATTAGAATTTTTTAGAGGAAGTGTTTTAAAAAGTAGACTAAGTCAAAAACACTAATTGGATTTGTTTTGACGTTATAACTGTCTAAAAATGACAAAAAATTGAATGGCGCAGAATAAAATTTTTAAATCTTAAGGGAATTGGCGAAATAAAACAAAATAAATATAGATAAAAATGTTTCGAATTCTGGACTACGAAATATATACGTAAGAACTGCTTCCCATATTTCAGGCAAGCCATGAATTTTGAGAAAGGCAATTCGATCCAATGGATACTAATTCTTTTTCAATATATTCACTTAAATATATTATAGAAAAATAAAGAAAAAAACTTACAGTTTACAATTTGTTGCCTTAGTTCTTCTACTAACCGCCCAATTTCTTTTTGACAATCAATGTATTCATATTTTTTCCTACAAGTTTTACATAAATCCGAGCGTATAAAAAGGCTGATCTCAAAAGTTTATGTAAAATTATAGATTTCAAGACTTAAAAAATAAAAAATGTTAGTCTTAGATTTGTTGTTTTGTTTATGTCTTTGTTTTGGCTAGGAACTTTAACGATCATGGCAGTTTTTCGAGTTTAAAAAGTTGAACTTTCGGCGATATTGGATTTCAATTAGAATAGCAGTAGAGAAAGTTTTTTTTAAACTCTATATTAGACATAAATAGATAAAATTTCAAGTTAATTATATACTATCTACTGGACTTACATATCTAAAAAATATTAGGTTACTTTACGATTAAGACATATTAACTTTAAATAAAGTTAATAATATCAAATCAAAGGTTATAACAAACTAGAACAGTAATACGAATAACTTTAAAAAACTACATTTTGCCATAAAAAATAAAATGGCCCTTTCTTGGTAGTTCTTTTCATTTTTACATTTATTATTGTGTGATTTTAATAGTAAATACACCCCTTTTGTGCTCTATAAAGTTTCTTTAAGTGGTATTTTATTTTGCTTTTATCCACTAGGACTTTTACTCCACCCCCACAAGGCAGTAGTAAAAAGGCATAAAACAAAAATTTTATATTGCCTTTTTAAAGATTGTCTTGTTTTCACATTTTCCGTTTCATCCGCCAAACAATGAAATGTAATAACGGCGCCGGAAATGTAATTTCCTAGTCCAAACAACACGTCTTTTCAAAATATATTGGCTTGTATACATTAAAATAGTGAAATAAACAAAGTTTACGACTAATGTACACTCTAAAATATGATATACGAACACTTTTACAACTGACCCGTCCGGGTTTGCAACAGCCCAAATTGGTGCCAGAGTTAGTTTACGCCCCGAATTGAAGCCGCCCGAGTTGATTACGGCCCTAGTTGGCGGGTTGCCCAGAATTTTTTTTCGGAATTGTTAAATGTGATCGAATATAATCCTTGTTGGTAGAGAGAAAAAATTTAATATGGCTTCATCGCCTTTCGCAGTGAAAACTGAAACGTTAGTATAAGGGACGTGCTAAATACATCGGATGGTTTGGTCGAAAATAAATTAGCGATTCCCTGGCTGAGCAGGTATCAGCCAAAGAATTGCATTTTTTGGCTGAATCTTGAAATATCAGACAAGGAATCGCATTTTTTGGCTGAAATGTCAGCCAAAATTTTTTGTCTGAGATATCAGCCAAAGAATCATGATTTTGGTTGATATATCAGCCAAAAATTTTTGCTGTTGCTATCAGACAGAAAATTTAGATTTTTGGCTGAAAAATCAGCCAAAAAATTCTAGTCTTTGGCTGATACGTGTTCAGCCAAGGAATGGCTGATTTATTTTCGATTAGACCATCCGATGTATTTAGCACGTCCCTTGTATCATAACAAATTAATTTTTACATATAAATTTCGCGAGTTTAAAAGTGAGCAGTAACGTCCGCACCTAAAATGACGTTTTTTAAAAATTACTGCTTTGTTTTAAAAATTTTCTTCGTGATGCAAAAACCCTTCTTCACGTACCTTTTGTTCTAAGAGAATACATATGGATTTGGTTTCAAATGTATGTAAATATATTAACGTAAGGTGCAAATAGTATCTACTGTTTACATTTAACATTTTTTAAATTGGTATATATATTTAATAGATTATCATTTAACAATGAAGGAATTATATTTTAGTAATCAATAATAATCGTTTTTAGGTCCATTTTTGCCAACAATAAACTTTGAGCCTTTTCGTTATCAATTTTATGAAGACCCGTTAATGATGTTACTTTTGCTGAATTGATTACACTTGAAAAAACAGAATTTATGTCAATCTAAAAAGTTTAAACATTAAAATTAAACTTAAAAAACGTATAGAATTTTTAAAAAATTATTGAGAACTATGGTATTATACAGCAAAGCCAAAGTAATATTAAGATTTTATATAAAGTATTATAGAAACAAACTCAAACGACATACCACAAGTTCATTTTTGAGTTTGCAAAAGTCGTTGTATTTGTTGTCATAAAATCTATGCAAAATTATAGCCATTGATGATTTTGGCTTTGTTTTTCTTTGTATTGTATTATTTTTCTTGGCATAATCGGTTGCTTCGTTAAGGTTTCTTAAGGCTACTAAGTGCACGTCGCATGGTAATGAATTATTTAACGGCGCCATATTCTCTTAAAGTTTACGGTTTAATATAAAAGTTTTCAAAAATAAAAGAAAAACAAAAATTACATTTTACCTATAGCTGTATTTTCATCGAAACTAGTTACAATAAGTGGATACAAGAGTTGTTGGCTTAAGTGTTGTGCTTTGCCACTAAGACTTGCAAACTCGTCATTGGATATACCATCTTGAATTTCAACATAAAATATAAAATCGGACTCTGTTTTTTTGTTATCATAAACACCTTGCTCCATTCCTTTCCCATCGTCTGAGCTCATACGTCTTTCCAACATTATTTCAAATTGGCCTGATTGTAATGAAGCTAAACCTAGAGGTTGTTTAGTCAACGCGTTCAATCGTAATGATACGGTTTCTAAGAAGGCAGAAGTTGTGAAGGGGTAATATTGTGCGGGTAACGGCAAATTTCTCATACGTTTTCGTCTGAAAGGTAAAATTTAGAACATTTTTTTGTAGTTTTTTTTTATTAGAACAGTTTTCAAAAAACCATGTTCAACCTAAATTAGGGGGAGAGGAAGAAAAAACGCCTATAGGTGTGCGTTACAAAGTAAAATAATATAAGTACAATAGCAAACTAACCGTAAATGTTGAAATCCGTTTGAATCTGTAAATAATTGTTCTGTTTTTGCATTCAAATCTTTTGACTGTATTCTCATCGATATTTCGAAGTCATGTTCGTCTTTAAGGTCAAGTTCATTTTTAACTAAGATATAATTAGCATCGGCTTCCAATTTGACGCGTTGCAAAAGCTTTAAGTGTGTAGGACCTTTAATTATTAATTGTTCATGTAAAGGTCCTCTCATTACGAGTACTCTATTTTCGCTTACATCGAGTTGAGAGGATTCATTTATTGGACGAAAAACGTACGCTCCGCTTTTAGGTTCTACATTTATACGAGCTAAAATCAATAATTAAAGCATTTTTAAAGTTTTTTATCACGTGAACAAACGCAAACATTTTGGTTTACTTTGTAAGACTTACAGTGATAATAAATAAAATTAAGAGAAAAGTCTATTTGTCTGTTGTCATTTTCAATTGACCTTATATATCCCGTTTTTGTATCAAAAGTTAATTTAGCCTTTCGACTAGTCAAAACATTGCTTTTGATGTATTCATCCATTTCGAAATCAGAAAACAATCTAAAATAATAGTTTGTTTATAAAAAATTTATTAACTACTAGTAATTATGTGAAAAAATACCGTATAAATCAGGATTATGGCCTAATAATAATCATTTACTTGCCTTTCATCTTTTTTATGTGATACTGCTATTCTGACTTTGTTTTCGTGTTTTTTCTGGACCATTTTGTACACAGCCGTACCTAATGGGGGAATTAAATTTGTTTTGAAGCACAACTAAAATGTTGCAACTTATTCGAGTTTTCTATTTTTCGCAAATTTTAAATAAATATTAATATGTACTGCTTAAAATGTATGCAGTTAAGAAACTGGACTATAAATTTGTAATACATTATACTTATTTGCAGTGCTTTGCCCTCTTAAAAATATATTTTATCTGCAATTTTTAAAACAGTTTTAATAAAATAAAAAAAAATTTTTTGGATTGGTCCGGAGCTTTTTCTCCGGTCCGGTCCGCAAAAATTTTTTGTTTCGGTCCGTCCGCGGACCGGTCCGGCAAAACACTGTTTGTGTGCATAGTAACATAACCTACTTCAAACTTGTTTATTTTCAATTCTCCCATTGAATCTGTCTCAACATTTGGTTGTATTTGTTGTATGACATCTCCTTCAATTAAAAAATCTGGATTTGCCACAAGTATGCAAACTGTTTGAGAAACCGCACGTGACAAAGAGTTAAAAACTATAAGTGATGTCTTGGCGTTGTATACTTCTCTTATTAAAGAATTGTTATTTGAAGGAATTTCAATCAATCTTGGTTTAGCGGGCAGTTTTGTAAGGTAGCATAAACACTCTTCTATTATATACTTTGCGTTGTACAAAGCCTTTTCTAACCTAAAATACGAAACCATAAAATTTTTTTTAACAAAACCGGGAAGAAGTATAAAATAATAATGAATTCCTGTCGTTCCTGTAATTAAAAAAAAGTTTCGCTCGGGGACCGCGGTAATCTCAAACAGAACTTGTGCCTGATCGTACTTTTTGCCGTAATCTTGAACGACGTCGTCTCTGGCGGTGCCAGTAATCGCATCGTGGTGTTGAAATAATGCATGATATCTTCTAGCCTCTACTAAAAGGTCGTTGATTGACGTTGAAAACGTGCTTTCATTGTTCTTTGTGTGCTTCCAATGAGCTAACGAAAAAAGTATATCTGCAGATCTGCAACTTTATTGCGATTATGTAATAAAAAGTCTTTTTTATGAATCTTGATAGATAGAAAACTTTAATAAATTTTGGCTCTACCTAATATGATGTGCAAGTTCTCTATCCATGTGTTTGTAAAATGGCCTTGACGTAAAGTATCCTGTCCAATAATGAGCATTGGCTTCAGAATACGGAAAGAAATCGCCGCTCAGGGATGGCAACGGCTTGTAATGATCGGTGTTTAGCTTTTGCAACAAAACTTTAAAATATTCAGATGGTGTAGCAATTCGGAGCTACAAAACACAAAATATCAAAATTACATAAAACCTACTGTCGCGTTGTATGTATCATGTGAATTTATATAGTGGGCCATAGTTGAAAAACTGTTGTAAGTCCTTTCCCATTGACCCGTAGTTTGGAAGTCAAAGTCATGTCCTTGAAGAAATAATACTGTTTCGGTGCGATAAAACTGGGATTTTAATCTGGCTTGCTCTAGAAACACTTCTGATTCTTCTTTTACTGTATCTTTTGTGATTTCAGTGCTAAAAATTAAACGAATTATATAAAAATACTAAAATGGTCTAGAGGTAACTCATGACAAAGAATTTTTCTTAAAAACATTCATTAGTTCATCTTACAATCGGTTGTAAAAGTCGAATTTAACGCAAATGTTTTTGTTTGGACACTGATAGTCAGCAAAATATAAGTATGGCATAATGTGAGCCAAAAAGTCGTTTTCACTCGAGTTAAGAGCAAATGGTTGTCTCCATAAAAATTCATAAGTTTTTGACGTTGCCATAATATCTTTTATTGTATGATGAATTCGATTTAAAATTCCTTGTTTTATACCCGATAATTGCATTAAATGCGGTACTGTAGTAGATAAACCAAATGGATCTATAGACCACTGTGACTTAGGAGCATAACCATCTAAAATATCACTTTTTTCTTTTTGGTTAGATAAAATAATGATCGTTTTAGTACTATTACTCTTAAAACCGCAGATATGCTATTTATGTTTCAAGCTTCAAGCCTATTGTATAACTCTTACTAAAGTTATTGCTTAAAAATTCGTGGCCTTCAAACATTTCCATTATTGTATTGAAATAGTGCGCGTTGGCTTCATCTGTCATAACCCATGCACCTCCAACAAATTCTAGTTGACCTTTCTTTACAATTCTGAAAACATTATTCTCAAGGATTTTATAGATGAAATAAAACGTATTTAAATACCCATTATTAGTTTTCTGGCTTTCCTAAGCAAAAAATAAGTAATTCTTAAAAAAATCACTTACTTTCTTACCATATCCTTGTCTTCATCAGTTTGCTCGCTCCACCACAGCTCAAAAAATGAAATTTCGGCTTCGACAAATCGCATATTTTCCCATTTAGTCAAAAAATCTAGCATATTATTCAAAATGCTTCTGACTTTTTCATCGTAATACGCTTCAAAAGTTTGTAGCCAGCCAGGATCGTTGTGAGAATGAGGTATAATGAAAATATCAAGATGGGTCTTTGTGTTTGTAGGAGTGTAGTTAAAGTTTATTGGCCCTTCTCCACCTGGACCTTGTGATATTCCATTTTCGTCAGGTATACTTGAAAATAAATCTTTTGTCTAAACTTAAAGTATATTTAAAAATTGAAAATTTTACCATTATATGTTGTTTGCTTTTATTTGAAAACCCAAACCCATGTCTTATGTTAAACAAATTGTTGGTGGTTTCAACAGCAGTTTTGCCATAAACGCTTGGAGATGAGGAAATGTCCAGTTCTGGAAAAAAATTGTTAAGTAATAACGAAGACGAATTTTACCTTTTTAGAAAATACATAATACAGTGGAACTGCGGTATAACGAACTCCCCTATAACGAAAATCTCATATGACGAACCACTTTTGAATTCCCGCCTACCACTACACAGTGCATTTAAAACTCCTGTATAACGAAACTCCTTTATAACGAACAAATTTCAAGTCCCCGAGCGATTCGTTATACAGGAGTTCCACTTTACTAATAAGCGCTTTACCTTTTCTTGTTGTAGAATACAAAATTTTTTCTGAATTAATTGCATTATCGGATAATGATTTGAAGATATAATTTACCAATATATAAATTGCGATGACAACGATTGCTACTGCATACCTTCCTGTGCATCGTCTGTTGACGAAATTCCGCATGTTATATAACATTATCTAAAAAAATTTTTTTTTCACGATTTTTGTTTTTAAACTCATTCCTAGAATTGAAGTAAAAAATACATCTTTATGAATACAAATAGTATACCATAATTTTAAAAAAATATAAAATGTATAATTACAAAAAGGAAAGTATTATTTAAAAAGGTTTTTGTTTGCATTTCGGCCGAAATAATCCCGTTTTTAAATTTTTAGTTCGCTTTGTTTTCAAACGCGACAAACGTCGCCCATGGTCACTTAAACAAAGCTGAACTTACTAAAAGACAAATTTTTTAAATTTTTAACACGTTTTCTTTCAACACTGTAAGTTTTTTGCAATAATAAGTAGCCACGTATATTTATTTCGATTTTTGATTAATAAACTATTAAAAATTAAAAAATTTATGTACATTGTAAAAAACCCGGGTGTACTTTTGGTTGACACAGACTTCCTGTAATATCATGTCTGTTTTGTTGGGATTTGTGAATTGTCTGGTTTAATCGTGTTTGCAGCCGGATACTTCATTGGTACCATTCTTTTATAAAATGTAAGGTATAAAATTACCGTCACACCTAACATGGATAGTTGTAAAGACCAAGCAATTCTCGGACCAAATGCGCGATACAAAAATCTGGAATAAAATGATAACAACTTTTTTATGTTTTAAATATTTTATGAAATTTACTAAATTAAGCTTATCACTAAATATTATAATAAGTAAAATGACAAAAATACATAACTTTAACAATTCTGTAACTTACGTGATTGCCATAGGTCCAACCATTCTAGCTGAACATTTTGTCATGTGAAAGAATCCCTGTTGTGTTCCTTGTTTTTTTGGACCCAAAACTTCGGAAAACAACGTACTCAATGTTGTGTTTATAATACCAAACGACAGTCCTAGTACTACAGCTAAAGTTGTTAAATAAAGATACGGTGATATTGGTTTAATGTTCAGGCACCAATTAAAACGATCAACATTGCAACCGACTGGCTCACTTAAATTGCCAATGTGTTCGTGGTAATGTTGAAATTCTTTCTCCGTGTGTGTAGCCAAGTGTCCGGGCAAAAATGGCCAAGAGAACGTGAATATATAAAAAAGAAGAAGCCCGAATAAGCCAATTAAGCATTGCATTCGAGCAGATCCCCACTGTTCCAACTTAAATATAATGTATACAAAATAAAACACAATTTCGACCAATGATAAGACTGAGAATGATATTGACGTAAAACTTATAGCTTTCTCTTCAGTAAAACCCATCATTGTCATAGCAAACGTCGTACCAAGGGTCTCAACGTTTGTAAACGTACAGTAATGTACAAATCCAACGATATGGCACAATATTAGAGCCATCCAGTCAATACGCAACCTTTGTTTCGATTTTTCTGTTAATCGCTACAAAAATATTTTAACAAATATGATTATGTTCATACTAACAGTTAAAAATAGTATAATAGTAAATATACGATAAATATTCTATACTAGTTTTTTAAATATTACATACGACTAGTTAACAAATTAAACTTTAAATAATAAAGTAAAACCTTGTTTCACTAAATCTTAAAATTCTTACTTTTTTTGGCTGCGGTAGGGTTCCAGCATAGCTTTCGTCGAATAAACACAGCAAGCAACAAATAGCGCAGATGTTCATTAAACAAGCGCCGATTGCAGGAGCCGTGTACAAATTAACATAAAGATTCTTTGAAATTTTAACGCCGTCTTTACCTAACGGTAGAAATAAGAGTTGAAGTGCTGGTCCTAAACTCACTCCAAGAGCAATTCCACCCGTTACTAAAGCAATTGTTCTTGACTTATACCGCGGAGTTGATGCTGTACATGCATATGTGTTAAGAAGCGCAAGATTTGCTGAAAGCTAATTTTTCATTTTATTAAAAATATCGATTTTTTAAGCAAAAGCTGACTGTTATACTATGATCAGACATTTGTAAAAAATATAATGTACGCCTTGAATAGTAGCTGGTTTCAAAAACAAAAAACTGTTTTTCTCTCTATTTCGCCTTCAAGTTTTTTCGTTAACAAATTTCATGTCTGTCAACCGCTTCAAAGAGGAGTTAAAAGACATATACATGCTACGTATTTAAACTATGAGCTTACAAGATCCCAATCCGAGAACTAATCTGGCCAACATCATAACGTGCTTTCCCCAGTTTTCGGGAGCGGCTTGAGCGTAAAAGTATATTAAGTTGCCGCAAACTTGCAAGCCTATACATACAGATACAGGGATTTTTATTGTACCCAGGTAGTTTGAAAACCATCCTACTAATGGAGATGCCAAGATTTGTCCAAACGAGTAAATCGAAATAATTCCACCGAGAAATGATTCGGTTGCGTCTGGATCAATCTAAATTAAACGTTTTTTAAATAAACGTTTTACATACAGGAATCTCGTAAAACATTTGTCAGTTATATTTTCTGCTTTACTTTTTACTATATGTTTTTTAGTAGTGTTTCCTAATGTTTTAATGCTTGTTAAAGCTGATTTGCCACGTGACTAATACTTTATACTTCTTCATAATTAACCTTTAACCGATTCAAATAATAAATTTTTTTATGTTTGCATCACTTTAAACTCCTTATGACACATTAAGAAAACCCAAGTTTAGCGAACGCATATTGATAAAACGTCAGTTTTTTCGGTTTTTGATTTTTTTTGTTATAAGTCATCAGGTCAAAATTCTTTTTTGAACTAAAAATTGTAATTTTGTATAGATTGCAAACAACACTAGAGTAACGTATTAAGGTTATTAATATGTTGCGTTTTATGGTGTTAATTATATAAAATTCAGTTTTGTAGTTTTAAAAGTAACGTTTAGTAAAAATAAGGATTTATAAAAGTTATAATACAGAACCGTTTCAAAAGGTTCGGTATCAAATAAAAAGATAAAAAACAAAAAAAAATTAAAAAACTATTAGGAGAATTTGCTCGTAGATTTCAAAATTAACTTACTTTTTGTAAATACGGCCACATTGAACTGTAATATAAACCAGATTGTATTGATGTAAATATGGCCATAGCCGTAACTACAATAATTGACTTCCACGGTGTATTTTCCACCGATTTTGGTGGCATCGTCAAGTGTTTCATTGCTAAATTTTTATTAGAAATAGTTTAAATTTAATTTTAAATTTATATAAAAAATATACCGATGTTATTTTCTTTACTTGGCTCTAACATTCAGAGCCGGACCTGAATGTTAGACCCGGCCCGATGGTACCCTCGGGCCGGCCCGACTCGTTCCCTATGTCTAACTACATAAGGAAGGAAGAAATGGAACTTTTAAGTTAGATTAACAGTTATGAAAAAAAAGTGAAAAACGTTACATACCATATACACAAATAAAAAAAATATTTTTTTTTCAAAGGCAATGACGGTAACAAAAATGTTTTACTATGCGAAACACTAATAAAATTGCTTAAGATAACTTTCTATGATCACTTCCCTCAACAGGAATTTAATGGTTTCATTGATTAAGGAATTGAAAGTTTCTATAAAAGCGTATAAAAATTTTTACAATGCTACGTTACTAAACTAATAAACGATAAAATGTAACAAAACATAAATACTACATTTTAAAATTTTAAGTTAAACGTAGACGTAGTTCGCTAGAGAAACAGAATGAACTAGATGAGCCTACTTAAGATCAGCTATGTATTTATCTGACCGTCTTCACCAAACCCTCACCATCCTCCCCTTCTCCTCTTCCCCCTCCCCTTCCCCCTCCTCACGTCTTAATATATGTGTCCGTTGAAAAGTTGAATAAAGTTTAACAAATTAAATAAATTTAAAAAACATTAAAAGCTTAATTTACAACTTTTAATAATCATGTATGGTAAAATGTAAAAAAATTTATATATATTTTCATTTGAAAAAATAGTTCTTAGAAAATTTAAACTCTCGAAACCGATTATTAAATTGATTCTCGGTGAATTCCCACGCAGTGATTCCTTTTTCCAACCTTTATTTTTGTCATGCGATTGTGGTTGTCATGAACTTTGCAGTGTAAAATTATTCATACGCACTCTTTACTTAAACCTAGTTTTGCTTCGAATTCACTTATGTTTGGTTTCGTTTCCAAATTACTTATTGGTCAACGTAGACTAAAAAATATATATTAAATGATGACTAAAAATGTAAAATTAGCTTTTTAAAACTTAACTTTTATTAAACTTTAGCATAATTGGCAAAACTATATTTATTATTAAGAAAAAAAAACGGTTTTTTCTACTAGGTTGTTCAATAAAAATATACTTATAACCTTAAAACCCGTTAGTGCTTTTGATTGTAACGCTGTTACAATCGACTAAATTCATATGAAGAAGGAATGGGAAGCGGGGGATTCTTTTTTTGACGGATGTAGATAAATCGGTAAGAACGGATTCATATGTTTATAAGAGTAAACTAAAAAATATGGATTGTATTTATTTATTGGTAAAATTTAGCCTAAGCAATTTTAAGTTAATTAAGTATAATTTTACAAACCAAATTTGAGGAAATTTCTATAATTTGCATTTTCATGATTAAATTTAACATTGCAAGTTGTTGCAATGATTATTTATGGAGTGTATCGCTCAATACTGTCAATGGAATTTTGAAACCTGAGCATGTGGCCACTTACTGTAGTACTTTGACTTTCAACTATGTGCAAAACAAACATAAATGATCGTCGAATTTCTCTAAATTCTAAATTTACATAGGAGCATACAAAACCATTCTACAACAGTTAATAGTATAAAAGCATACGATTTTTTTCAAGTATCACTAGATCAAAAGATCAAATCAAATGTAAAGATTTTAACCAACTTACCGGTTCAAAATTAATAGTAGAAAAGGTTGTGAGCCAACAAACATAAGTAAAATAACGCATTTTGGCTCGTTCATTTCCTGTAAATTTAAAAATAAATGCCCAAATTCAAATATTAATGTAAATAAGGCAAGCAACGCAAAGTTTAAAAGATGAATGAATGTTAAACGAAAATCTACCGGCCGATAATTAGTTGCGTCGATACCTTTTTCTATCTGCAACTTATCGGTAAATGTTTATTCTTTTAAAAACCGGTATCTAAAAATTAAGAGCGAATTTTAAAAAATCAACTTTTAAAGACATGAAGTTCATTCCGTTACTTTATATGTTTTTTTTTCAAGAGAATGCCATTTCATACAAGCGGATTTGCAACACCGACTATAAATCGTTAAAAAATGCGCTAAATACTTTTGGCAATATTTTTCGATAGGTATTGTTTTCGTTGTGGGACATGTATTTTTTTAGAAACATCGAGGTGTGTATCGAAAAATATCGAAAAATCGGAGTGTGGATCGGGTATCGAAAATTCGAACTGGCGATATATCGAAATCGATCAATAGAAAAAAAAATTTTAAGTATCGAAAGCTTTGTTTTAAACACTCTTTGAAATGTTTCGATAACGATATTACAAAGTCTATTCTTTCCTCAGCCAACACTGGATTCAACGCCAAAAAAAATTCACTTTTAAAAAAGATTACTTTATTATTATCTTAAATCTTTTTTAAATGCATAAATTAGTAAGACATAAAAATTGGTAAACTTACATGAAAATACAGTAGTAAAGCATCCAAGCAACTTAATGATAGTCCAACACAAATAATTAAAACTTTTATTAAACTTTGCATCTCAATATAAAAAATTGTTTCACGCGACGTTCTTAATTTAAAAGTTTGTAAATTGTCATCATAAATATTATAATTTTTAGTGATATATTGTAACAAAATTATGCAAACTGACATCAGCAAAGGGAAAATTGTGATAGGCTAAAACAACGGAACTTGCAAACTGTAGTTAAAAAATAAAGTAATATGAATATGGAAAACATTTTTATGCTTAACTGCAACAAAAAACTTACTTCTATAAAAAAATGAGCCAACTCAGTAGGAAATGCGTCTTTAATAACCATTACAAATTTAAATATAATAAAAGCCAAATAATGAAGAAGCAAAAATACTATGATAAAGTCATATGTCACACCAAAAAACTAAAATGCACGTGCGATTCAAGATACCGTCTCCTTTTATACGTATGTCGAAAGATGCATAATATCAGTCGTTCCACAAAAGAATTTCACAACTGGACAGTGCAGTCCCTGGGAAAATCGCGCCCTTTTTTATTCTACTGCACAGTGCAGATCCCCCCGCGATCGCTTACAACCTCAAACGATAAGAGAAAGAATGCACAGTGCAAGCCCCTAATTGTCGCACTGGTCGGTTGCCGCAGGAGTCAGGGGACTTGCGACAATCAAAAAAATCTTGTCGCAAACCTTCCACTGATCACAGTGGTGGCTTGAGCGTTGCGACAACCGCGACACGCTGTCGCATCGCCTTTCAAATCGCGACGCGACATTTTGTCGCAAAGCTTTGCACCCTGCGACATTGCGATTCCCCTTTCAATGTCGCAGGACCCAAGCGAATGTCGCACGACTCGCTGTATGTCGCGCGACGTCCCCCAATTCTCGGCGCGACAGCGATTTCTCCAGATTGGGGTTTGCGATTTTGTGTAATTCTTTAGTGGAAAGACTGATATAAATACAAAATTGGAACAAACAATTGGACGAAACTATAACACACTACAATAATTAGTGAAGTTTATTATGTTACAAAGATACTGTAAACCATATAATACACCACCGGCCTCCAGGGGATAGTTGATTAAGATGATAAAGCCTCGATATTGGTCATTACCCTTTTCCGTACATGTTCCCCCAGCCTCGTGGGTGGGTATCCTTGTACTCGTCCATCCTCATGTCTTTTTGTCTCTTCTCTTCATCACGCTGATCCCTTAGGGCTTCTGGGCCTGCATCTTCGTCTTCAGATTCGTGTTTCTCATCTTCGTTTCCAGTTATTGTTACTGATTTTTGGGTTTTAAATCGGCCAGAACTGACTTGTTGTTCATACCATTCGTTGACCGTTTGAGAAGGTAGAGATGGGTACCCCATGCCAAAGACTTTGCCTTGTTCAGTTTCTCTTTTTGGGATAAACTTGGTCTTTAGAGGCGTTATTTCTAAAAACATCAAAGTTAATGTTCTACTTTATCGTAAGATTTACTATTGTTAGTCTAAAATCATCTCAGATAAGTGGTAGTGAGTTTACAAATCACAAACCTACCTGGTCGTTTAGCAAGTTGTTCACGATCCGCATTTGTCATTTCATCTCGGAACTTCAACATCTCAGTTCTCCTAAACAAAAAGTACATAAAAAACATACTTAAACTTACTATTGTTCATCTCTGAAGACCGTACTGCTTTCAAACACCACAAACGTAACTTCTTTTCGTACAAGCTCCTCTAAAACAGCATTAAAGTTTAAAGTTCAACAATGAGCTACAATAAGGTAGCCCTATAATTGTAAAGAAGCCACAATTATACTACAATTTAATAAATATAAGCAAGAAATATATTAAAAAACCCAAACTATAAAAATAAGTTTTAAATTATAATTTTAAAGTACAACTTACCATTGTAGCATCATCTGGATTCATTTGAGCATTCAAAGCATCAATCTCCTGCTTCAATTCATCCTCCATACAGTAAAAGTACATCTTCCTGTTACGGCTTATCGCTGCATCTGTGATAAGACCTTGTGATGAAGTTCTGTCAGCTGCATCTCTCGGAATCCCTTCGTTAATTGGACTGAACCCATAGACCTCTGCTGTCACCAAGTACCCGTTATAAAGACCCTAAAACGACAGAATCACGACTCGGTAGCTCGAGAAACAGAATCACCAGAATGGGGCCCAATTGGGAACAGCTACTACGGATTGCTCTGACGGACTTCATCACACCCTTATCATCTCTCTTCACGTCTATATATCTTGCGTTGAAAAAAAAGAATAAATAGTTTAAAAATGACAGAATACGTTACCTGTAAAAATGTTTCAGTTTTGTATCCAAATTTACTAAACAAATTTAAAGTAACACATTGAGTAAAAAGTTATGTCAATATTACATAGTAAGGCAAAACTTAAATAATGAATGTCAAAAAAAATTAACTAACCTTCACACGCTGTAACTGCTTCCGCCTGTTTTTCTCAAGCAGACTCTCAACCACCCATCCCAGATACTTTCCCCGTAAGATCCGTTGAGTTTGAAAATTTACACCGGAAAGAAAAAATCCGAATACCTTTGTCTGATACTAGTTCTTGCAAGTTGTTGTGGTCTAACAAAAAACTTGCTTTAAAACGGCAAACGTAAGGTACCAAACCCAGAAATGAGGTATATCACAGAGCGTAAAAAATTGTAATAAATTATTATTTTTATCTTCCAACAGACCCATTGGTACGATTTACGCAGCCTAAAGTTATAAATTTGGAGCAGTCTCCACAAAAAACTTCAAGCCACGTGAATGAAGCAAATTCAGGGTGCTATAAATTGTATCAATATACAATCGCTCCAATAGTTTTTATTTCCAGATAAACAACCAACATCACAACATTTAAATTATCGCTTTATACGTTTCACGTTGTGTGGATGCTCTTTTACCAACCAAAAATCTCGCGCAACCGAATAAAATTCCAAATAATGAACATTCCAAAGATTGTACAAAGAAAAATAAAGCCTCGTCTTCTGTTCTATAAAGTCATTATTTTAGAATTCGTCAAAGATTATAAATATAATACGAGGTAGGAGTTCTGTTAAAGGACGTGTACTTTTAAAATTACTTATCCTAACTTAAAAAATTAACGAATTACGAATCAGACCATGACAAAACTACATCAGATAAATATTGTTTTTAATCTTCAACACGTTAAGTTAAAAGCAAAAAATTTAAATTATTATGTTTTTCCCTGAGGGGGGAGAGGAGGCCGAAAAATTTCTCCTGTAGACCTATTTTCAAGTTTTTTCGTTTTTGACGTACAGGTGAACTTCTCCCAATTTGCTGCTTACAACCGACAAATGGTATATGGCTAAACTAGAGCATAGCTTACAAGGAAAGTACCTCAACTGCCCCGCTCTGATTGACTTATTTTTTAATTGAAAGATCATGTAAACATAATATCTTCAGCAAGGTACTAAATCGCACTTTCCATCCAAAATCGAGAAAAGCAAGATAAAAAAATGACGTTTTAAATTTCCACCAAATTGGCCATAGTGTTTCAAGCTTATAACAGTCTTTGAACCTTTACTAATCTTTTTTGGACATAATGACAGACCACTTTAAAATAAAACTAAATTTTTGGATTTGTAAACATATCTTATCCGGAACATCAAAAAAGAGCGAGCCACACATTGCCAAATTGGTAGGAAAATCAAATATTTAAATTTTAAAACTCAAAATCAAAATTTTTTTAAGAATACTGTTAGTGGTACAAATAATTCATATACAAAAGTTCAGCAGTTTTTGAGCAGGGAAGGTGGGTCACTTTCTTTGTTAGAACAAGTATTAATACAATAGGTTACTAAAGTGTTTAGTTTGAAGCTTATTTAACCCTATTTATGTTTAAATTAACACACTTTACAATTAAAAATATAGACTTTTGATACCGAGAAAATCTAATATTGTAGCAAAACTTTGATCCTAGTATTTTGACTGCAAAATACTTACTTGGCGCTCTAGTCTCTCGAGCCCTCCCTTTAATTCCTCCATTAGATCCCGTATTTCTTTCTCCAATTCCTTCCTTACTTTGAGCTCTTCCGACAAATCGCCCGCATCTTTACCTCTGGTGCTTGACTCCATCTTTTGAACTTGCCAATTATTACGGAAGTATCCTAAAATTGTTCGCTTATTATAATATTAAAACGAAATTATATACGCACAATGTCATTTTCAACAAATAAAACCATTGAGGACCTAAACCTTTAACTTGAAAACCCAGATCATTACCTTGAGGATCTAGACCTTTAACATGAGGACGAAGAACATTAACGCTTTAAAGTTTTAAATTTGAAATATTCGGGTTTCTCGCCAATTTAACAAAGTTGGCATTGTGTTTCAAGCCCTTTTTCGGAATTTACAGACAAGCTACGCGTACAAATTAAAAAATTTAGGTCCATTTAAAGGTTTCTACTAATACATCTAAAAAATGATTAAAACTTAAAAAATGACAAATTTATAAGCTAGAAACACAATGCCAATTTGGCGGGAAGTTTGAAACTTAACTTTTTAAAATCGATTTTCTCGAGATTTCTTGGGAAACGCGATTTTAGTTACTTTGCAGTAGATCCTATATTTACATTATCTTTCTATGTAAAAAGTTTGAAGTCAATCAGAGCGGGGCAGGTCGGGTACTTTACTTGTAAGAAAAATCTAAAATATTTTCAAATTTGGTCCATAGACGACTGAGATGTCAAAACAAGGCTTTAGATTCTTTTTTCTCAATGAATATACTCCCAAACTGAAAGCTCCTTTTAGCAAAATATTTCTCGCGTCTTTAAAGAAAAATAGTTAAAAGTCAAAAAATGACAAAGTTAAAAGCTAGCAACACAATGCCAATTTGGAGGGAAATTCAAAACGCGATTTTTTGATCTCGATTTTCTCAATACTGGCCGCAAACCGCAATTTAGAATTTTACATAAAATCTTACATTTACATGATCTTTCAATAGAAAAAAATTAAACAAAATCTGAGAGTTGCAGGTTGGGTACCTTCCTTGTTAATTGATTTTAAAAGACTTATCTTTGTTTAAAAACCTACCTTCATCGTTTATATAAAATTTATATAATTTTAAAGCGTGTTCTGCTATACAAACAAGGAGTAAAATATCAAAAACTCCATAGTACTATTTTTATATGAATACTTTACGAACTGGCGGAAACGAATGAGCTTTATTCCATTGTGCTTGCTAAGCTTAAAACCCCAATATTAAAAATTGTAAAAAGATAATATTTCAAGCTTATATTTGATGTTTTTGAAAATGTACGCGCTTATAAGTGACGTTAATACAAAGATTAACAATTGTACCGGTTTTTAAATTTATCACACAAAACGCAGTGTTAGTCCAACTACGGATTAACGTTAAATGTTGATATATACAATGTAAACAAAACTCATGTATGATGCTATATTACTAACAGTTGCATTTTTTGAACAATTTCTAAAATAAAATAAGTCAAAAAAACCAAATTTAAAAAAGGAAGGAAATCAAGACACAGCATGAATATTCAACTGTTCATCTAGTGGATCGTACGGTAAAGACAGCTCTTCCAACAAGTGAATTGTAGATGCGTCTCGTCGCAATTTAGCTATAGCTACCGCATCTCTAATAGTCGGATAAAAGTTGGATTTTGGTACGTAAGCATAAAATCCGCATTTTTGAAATAGTTCACGGACTGGTGCTTTCGCTGCCGCAAAGTACACAAGAATCATGTGGGATCGTAATTCGTTAAAAATCTAAATTTAAATTTCATTTGTTGCTGGCAGATCAATTCTGCTTTATCGTTTATATAATATGTATCCTTTAAAAATTAAAGTTTAAATTAAAACTAAAAATTTTCAAAACTTTTAAAAGTAATTCGAAAACAACAAACGTATAAAAATAATAAACAAACTTCTTTTAACGCATTGACTCCCATTGTATCCACAAATGTAAACCCCGAACAATCAACCACAAAATGTCGATAAGCTAGACCACTCGCACTTTGCTCTATCTTGACAGGCATTTGTAAAGTTATTTTCTTAGACATGACCATTTTATTAAGTCGGTGAATCGTATCTTCTGGATCAGGAATGTCAATCTTTAAGTCATCCATGCCCAGTACATGAGGATTCTCTTCCTTCCATTGTAAAGCAGCCATATGTATTGACTCTTTAAAACTTTCAACATTTGTAAAAAGTAGTGGAGCGTCGAATCGAAAAACGCATATTCCCTAAATGAATATTTATTTTATTTAGTTATACGTATATAACTTTCAAAACTATAGCACATGGTATATATAAGCTTTACATAAAAGAAAAATTTGTTGTTTTTTTAAAAGTGCAAATTCCATACATTGACATCGATAACACTGGCATAACGTTCCGCATCCCTAAAATCATTAGTGCCTTTTAAATTTGCTAAATAATGCCACCGGGGCCATTGTGTTCGAAATACTGTAGTCATTAACGCAAAAGCAATAGATATAGCTAAACCTTCAGTCACATCATATCCAACAGTTGCACCAAAACTAACAAGCCATATAAAAAAGTCCGTTTTTGATAGAGGCCATAAACGCTTAAGTTCTCCCACTTTTTTAAGCATATTTGTCAAGGCTACCATTATGACAACACTTAGGATGCACTAAAAAATAATTGAATATTAGCAAAGCTTGTACATATAACCATTGATGTATATACTTTTCATTCGTAGTTCAGACGAAAACGTTGGATTTTTGTCCACGAAAAATCTCTCATAATTTTGTGCGTTCTCTAGTTTTTCTCTAATGCCGACGGCAATCAGACAAAAAGAGGGAACATACAAAATTATGAGAGCTTTTTTCGTGGACAAGAATTCAAGGTTTTCGTCTGAACTACGAATGAAAAGTATATACATCAAGGGTTATACTTCAAAAGTTAAAAAATAAAAAAACATTTACCATAGGTAACGTTCTCAGTAGTTGTCCAAAATATACAATTACAGCTGCGATTATAACACTAGAAAACAACGTAGACAGCTAAAAATAAATTTTTTAAATTTATTATTTACGTATAAAAAACAGTATCAAAAATAAAAAACAAACTTACTTGCGTTTTGGTACCTGCTTCAACACTCACAGCAGTACGACTAAGTGAGCATGATACAGGGTACATAGGAAACACTGATGATAAAATTGACGAAAAACCCAGAGCGTAAAGCTCCTGTCCCGGATCCGTACGATATCCATATTTTTTACCAAAAATTTTTGCTAATGAGATGTGAATAGCAGCTACAACAATAGAAATTGTAATAGCATGAGGTATAAGATGAAAAACCAATTTAAAAACTGGCAATGAAGGGACGGGAAACCTAAATTAGTAATTATGTAATTATTACTATTAACTTAAAAACTTTAAACGTGTACAAAACCTAAATATAGGTTACAAAAAATATTATTTGGTAATAATGCTTATTTAAATGCACCTTGTCTTACCCGGTCGCAAGTTCACCAACAATAGGAACATTGTGCCTCGAATGAAAATGGAAAAACGATGACAAACCAGTAACAACAACTAACTACAAAAGTTAAAATTTTACTTTAATATACTAGAAATGTAAACTAAAAATAACAAAAAATATTTACAACATAAGTTAAAAAACATACCAGTAAAAGTTCAAACGGTGGCGGAACGCTTAATTTTAGCGTCTTTTTAAAGAATGGAGTAACATAATGTTTTCCCAATATTAAAAATATTAAACCCAGTAACGAAATTAACATTACTGTTTGGTTTAACTGTTCAGGAACTTCAGTGATGATGTCATATAATTTTAAGAACAAATTTCCGGCACCGTATCTTTTAGGTAAATTTGATAAACCGAAAAAGTCTTTCAGCTGGCTCACAAAAACGTGAAATGCTGCTCCAGTTGAAAAACCGCCAACTACTGCATCAGAAAAGTAAGCTGTTACAAACTCTAGTCGTAAAATAGCCATCACAAACTAAAAAAATTAAAGGCTTTCAAAGCATATAGTTGTAATTAGTAAAAACAAACACAATAAAGTTGCAAAAAACTTGCCATAACTATTCCAACAGTAAAACATAAAGTCGATGCAACATCAACATTTGAAACGCCAACGTAACTGTCAATTTCCATTAAAGTATTGTTTGGTTTATAAACATCTGGAGACACACTATACTCACCTAACTCGTCCACTGCCATTCTAGACATCAGCGCTACAACAGCAAATGATCCTATAGAATTATGCTTCGACGTTCCAAACAACATGTAAAACAAAGGAGGAAAAAACGATATATACAATCCAACTATTGGTGGTAAACCAGCTAAAACGGCATACGCAATACCTTGGGGAATGTGTATTATAGCTAACGTGCAACCGCCAACGATGTCACCAAGCAAATTGTGAGACCATTCGTAATGAGGTAACCAGTCTAGAATAGGTAAAAAACTAGTAGCAGTATTAAAAAAATTTCCAACGGACGTAAACGGCCCGGTATAATGACCAAAAAAGTTCATTATCCGCTGAGCGGTTTCACTGCGCTTTTCTTCCGGTGGCCGGTAACTGTACAATTTGTCGAATTCTTCCTGAAAATTTTATTACAATTTTTTAATGTTGCAATAAAAATTCTTAACTATAAACTATACGTATGGGTGAAATGATTTTATATTTTCTAAACAATGACTGAAAAAGTAATAATTTACTTGATTCATTGGGGGTCTAAATTGTGTAAACCGGCCATTTTGAAATATAGGGCCATCCTCCGCATCTTGTGACATCTTTTTGATGTTGCTAAAAAACTTTGTGTTTAAAACTTAAGTTTGCCTTAGTTAAACGCGTAAGAAGTTAACTCTTAAACAGTAAAAATATTTGTTGAAGTAAAAAATTTTAGCTTTTTTACTTTTTATAATAAGTACATGTTAAAATAACCACAATATGTAAAAAGCGCAGTACCAAAAAAGCATTCTTTTTATTTTTTGCTTAAAAAACAACGAAGTCTTTTAATCTATGGACACTGAAAATTGCACTAAAAATTTTAACACAACATTGATTTTCTTTTGGTTTTATTATATTTGAACTTTCAATCCCAAAATTATATTGTTAAGACTTTTGTCGCTGATACTTGGCGCTTTTGTATTGTTATTACTATATTACTACAACAATAAAAATATAAACCATGTGACGAACGATTGACTTCTTTACGTAAAATGAAACAATGGTTATTTTTAAAAATAAGTTTTTAATCATATATATGACATAATTTATAAAATTAAAAATTTTTCATTTACCATAAGCATTCATTAACCTTTAAATTTTTAAAAATATTAATTTACTTTTATTTGTAAAATCTGTATATTATTTGTCTATCAGTCAAGATTTGAAAATCGAAGAACGTGAAAAAAAAGTGTTGATGTTCAAAAATTATACCTACAGATAACAACTATGTTTTCAGTTTTTTGCTATTTTTTAATATAATAGACCAGCAAGAAATATGTTAATTTAAAAATTTTAAGCCCGAAATTGTCAATTTCAGTAGACATGAGGAACGGGCCGAGCTTGAATGTTAGGCTTGGTCCGATCAAAATTTTGCTCAGGCCCGGCCCGTCCTCATTTTTACCGCAGACTTCTTTGACGCTCTAATATATTGTAATATGAAAGTTAAAATTTCCAAACCACGATCATTTTAATATAACGTAATCGGTTGCCAAAAAATCTTTAAATCAAAAGTATAAAAGTATAAAAAACGAAGAAAATTTTAAAAACATTACCAGGGTACATTAAACTTGAAATTTGTACTAACTTTTAGATAAGGCAATTGATAAAACTAACACAATAACCAACTAAAAGTAGTTTCCTACGATTTATGTTTTCTGTTCAGTCACGCATCTTGTAATTTATGCAAATCTTCTGCCGTCTAGTAGGACAAATCTCATTTGAAAAATTTTAAAAATCATGGGAAGTATTTTTTGTATAAGTTTTTAGTATTTTGTAAATGCTTTTGTTCTGAATACGTAAAAGATCATAAAACGTTTTTGTCAAGGAACTAACAGGCTACTATGTTTAGCCTGAAAACCAAAGTTACCTGCCGTAGAGGTTGCGTGTAGGGATAAATTTATGAATCTACAATAATTCCTTATTAATTAACAGTTTTATTACAATAACCATCAGAATTTTAAACGTGACATTGTTACAGTATCTCCACTTTACTTTCTGTTAAATCGGCCGTATCCGGGATAGGGAGCATAACTACGTTTGTAGAAAAAACTACATTGAACTGGTGAAAAGAAGCAGTTCTTTGATGCCAGTTTACCGGATCCAACTGGCTCGTCAGCAACCATTCCACGCAGGCTCTCTTTAGCAATCTCAGGTTTTGGCTTTGGCACGTTAGGTTGATTTCTTAAAATTTGATTTTTTTTAAATAATTGTTTTCACTTCTTGAAACTATATTTTTTTGCAAAACGAATTTTCACCTTGCTCTACCTTATTTTACCCTGCCGTATAAAAACAGAAGGTTTTTCTACTTCTTAAAATTAAGATATATTTCTCACAAATGAAGTTTACAAAGCTGCTCAGATAATTGAAAGTCACTTACTCTCCCATCTGAATCCAGTCTTTTTCGAAATCAGGCCCAAAGTTTAATGCGGATTTCCATGATGCTGCTCGTGTTTGATTTGTTTTTGCGCTATAATTTAAAGTTTTAAAAGACTTTATAAACCATAGTGGTTCTTATATTCATTTAAATATAATATCTATTATATATATACAATGGAAATCTTGTACAATCAATCGTTCGACGATTTAAAATTTGCTCGTTATAAGAGTTTTGTTATAGAGGGGTTCGTTATACATGAGTTCCACTGTATATATGTATTATATATTTGCAATAAAAAATAGAAAACTTACATTACACACAGTATAACGATTAAAGTCATGACATTACAGTAAGCCATTTTAATATTATTTTTGCGTATAAGGCAAAAATGTCCCCAACGACTGGTATCATCATTCATCTAAAATCTTTATATACCAAAAGAAATACTAAATTATGACTACAGCTTCTAATTGACTTTATTCATAACCACCGTAAATTTTAAAAAAAATAGATAGTTATACACACTATTCATACTCGTTCACACGTCGAATGTTAGAAAAAAACAAACATGTGTCGTGGGTGTTGGTGCTTTTGAATATATTTTATTACGTCACCTACATCTTAAATATTTTAAACAAAAATACACAAGTTTACGAACTTGAATTTTTAAGTTGAAAAACTAATTATTTCAAGCTCATAATTCCTTTTTATTAAAATAGGATTATTCACATAAAGGTTTGAACGTATAACCTGTCTTATCTTGACGCGCGCTTTTTTTGTTCAAAAATCTATTTTTTTAGTTAAATAAAGTTTTTTTTATTGAGGTTGAATAACAATGGACAAATCAAATTCTGACGAAATGGTAAGATTTTCAAGTTTATGACAATTTTTTTGCAGACGGAATCTACGGTGTTAACTCGAGTCGCACAAGCCACAAGCGGAGGCAGGTCTCGAGATGTTTCAATCAGCAATCCGGTAGACAAATTTGTATTTTCTGATTCTTTTCTGGAGGAGAGTTATAAGCTCATTGAAGTCAGTAACGAGGTTTTTAATTACGTTATTAATGGCGGCGAGTAAGTTTTTTATTATATTTTTTTTGGTTTTAGACAACTAAAATGAAGATTTTTTCTTGTATTTTATAATGTTAGGTAAAATTAATTCTTTTAGCTAATGAGTGAAACTAATGTTATAGATTCTACATGATTGGGGATCTTACAGATTCCTTAACGTTTTGCATACCAAACAAAACCTTTCAAACCCGTGAAGTTGAACATTCAAATTGCATGGTTTTAATTGATATGGAAAAGCCTCCAGAACAAATGAATGTACAGTGTAGAACAAAAGATGTTTTAGGCATAAACTATTATTCAATAGACTTGGTGGAAAAAAATTTATTGAGTTCTTTGAATTTTAATATTTTGGATTGTCGGAAGGTTAACATTTTTTCTAATCAACCAAATTTTAACACAGAGTAGGTGACTTTGGCATACTTGATGTTTTATGCATAATATTATTGTTTTGTTATTTCTTTCACATAATTCTTTTTTGGTTATGATTTATATTTTGTTGTTTTAGGCCTTTAAGTTTACATGAGTTCTGCTTAAGGATTGCACTTTCAATGGAGCAAACGGAAGAAAAGTTGAAATGTTATCCTATATTTGAATTTAATGGTAAATTTTTATATCTTTTAATGTTTTGGTAAGATAGTTTGTATACTTATTGTTAATAGAAAAGTGATTTTCAAATGTTAAAATTTTATTTTAGGTAGTGTGTTCATGCTTGACGACACTGGTCGAAGGGAATTGTTCAGACGTCTGGTTGACTTCATTGATGATTACATGAAATCAGGTGGTGATACAAGTCATTTGAGACGTCGAAGTATGGTTGCCTCCGACATTTTAAACGAAGTTTCTACATTTTACTCATTGGATGTGGCAGAGAGTTTGATTAATTGGGTTTTTCATATGTTTTTTGAATTAAACGATGGTAAGGGTTTTGCATTTTTTGTGTAATTGTGTATTTATTGGCAATTCTTGTATGATTTTGTCATCTGTATTTTTAGATAATACAACTTACTGCATCAATCGCGTGCGACTTTGCAGGGAATTGTCGTACCTAACGTTAAAAAATACGACCAATTATGTTTCATTTGACGAGTTTGAGAAAGAAGTTTTAGTTCAGTTACCTGCCGTAATTAATTTTGATGAAGCTTGTCTCAAGGGAATTGCTCACATAAAGACCTTGAAAAATAAGCAAAGGCAATTAATGTATTTAAATAGCAATGACATGCCTCTGGACATAGATCAAAGGTAGTCTTAATTTTATGCGTCAGCTAAATTTTTATGTAAAAGGTTTTCCTTGTAGTAATGTAAAAAAACAGGTATGTATAATTAATCATTTATAGGTTTACGTTTTTTCCTTCATTGTATTTCTCTTTTAGGCTAAAAATTTTGTTCCGGATAAGCCGAACATGGTCAACCGAGGATATGGCAGAATATTTCAAAGATTTCCTGGGCTCAAGCGAAACTTTACTTAAGCTATTAACAAATAAAATACGTGTGTCACAGAAAGAAGGGAAACAGTTTATACATCCATTGTAAATCATTATTAATTATTGAAATGTTAATATTTATTGTACGTACTATTAATTTTACAAATACTTTTAACAATTTTGGGTACGATTTTAGGTCTGGTATAGTTATAGCACCCCATTCATGAATAATAGCCATTGAAAGATAGTATAAAGAGCAAGCACCGTTATTTAAATTCGTTTTTGCTATAATTTTCCCATTAATTTGGATGTCTTTTTTACTTTTAACCGAGTATTTTATTCGGTGCTTGATTCTTATATTCTGTGTGTAGGTAGTATTTAGGAGGTGCTTGTACTACAATGTCTTTCGATTCTAAAATGTAAAATAAAATCTTTTCCTACATAATGATCTAGGGAACTTATTAGTTTTCATCTCTATTTACTTTTATTTTTTAAAATTGTTTTGTGTTAAATATTTTCTCTTGTATAATTTACGTTGTTTGAAAATTAATGTTTAACAGCACGATTAGGAGTAAATGAAACTGAAACTACATTTTTGACACGTATTTTCGATTTATTGTTTCGACCTATAAACTACATATTTGAAAAAGCTGTCAACGTTATAAAGGAGCTATAAAGTCATGTTAATGTTATGTTTTATTTTTTTTAACTTTTTTGGAATTTTTTGTCTGGGAGGGGTACCCCCGTTCCTTCCCCCTCGCGCCCGGTCCTGATTATGTCCTTCGAAATAATTAAATATTTTACTTTTTTAAACAAATATTTTGTAAATCAATGTTATGAAGATTTCTTGTCAACACTTTCATGGAAATTAATCTATATTTTGAATATTAAAATATTTTTTATAAACTACAAAAATGCCACAATCGATTGATTGTTTATTGCCCCAAACTACAACTTTAACGTCGTGATTTTGTTATCAACTCAAAACGTAACCTTTTGATGTCTGTGATAAAAACTTCCTTGCGTTAGGTTGGAAAATTAGGCGTTACGTGAGTTTCCACTTGATTGTTGTATACATTTTATTATGTTTTACAATAACTAAGCTTGTGCTTTTTTTTGAAATTGCTCGATTTTTTAATTTTCTTTTAAGGCTGATTTATTGAAAAAAGTATACTTTGTTCTGTTTCTGACTTTGGATGTTTAGTGTCCACAAAAATCCATTAGAATATTTTTTATTTAATTAAATTCAATTAATCGATTTAAATTTTACGGAAAACTCGGTTACTTAGAAAATTATATCGAAGCAGGGACGTCGCTAAAAATTTTTTTTTCGTTTTTTCACGTACAGGTACCTTACCTGTGGATTTTTTTTCGGATCGGCTCTGGGAGTCACATCGAACCACCCCCCCAAACGACGTCCCTGTATCGAAGTTATATGGGATACCACAGAATAACTACAATTGTTTTATAAAAACTAGATTACTTTTTTTATGAAATATTAGAATGGTCTCATATAACACTGGTTATTGTATGTACCATCATCTTGCACAGCGTCTGTGTTAAATACAATTAAAAACAACAATTATATTAAAAAGTGAAATTTCAATTGAAGGTAATCTTTTGTGTGTAAAAATAACTCTCAACTTTTTGTCTTTAATTTTTTTATCCTTTTTTTATATTAAATTTGTAATAAATAAATAAGAATTTGATAGAATCTCTTTTTGTTTCTTCTTACCTATTATAGAGGATTGTCTGCTTTTACATAACACCGTTTTTAAATTGTCTTGTTGAAAACAAAAAGCTTGTCTGAAGCGAGCGGGTACAAAAACTATGTTCGTATGGCCTTCGAGAAAAAGGTCACAAAAAAGCGAATGGGGCGACCCACTGCACAAAATGATTTCATCGGGGGTTGATATAGCGGCGACACGTCTTTAACTGACATTACTGACAAATATAATTTAATTTTTAATTTAAGGTTGTACGGCGTAAATTTGTGGATAAAAAATTTTGGAAATAGCTTTATAATTATTTAAATGCATTTTAACGGTTTTTAAAATTATTTTTCTTAATAATAACTTTTTAAAATAATGACGGACAGGTACTAATATCTGCGAATCATTTCTACAATAGTCTTGTGAGCAATATTTGGATGTCTGTCGGAAAATTTAAAATAGATTTTTACTCTCAGACATTGTTTTTTAGCACTTTGAAATCATTTTTATGATTTAAGAAGCTTTATTATGGCAGTTTTGTAAAATCTAATTTAGTTTTTGTGAAAGCTATAAACACAAGCTACGTTTACAGCAAAATTTCTTATCTGGTTTGTGTGGTTTTTTGATATGTATTTTAAACTGACCACAAAAAAAAGAAGTTAATCGGATGATATTGAACGTACGCTACGTGAATAGTATTGCTGATAACCAAATAATCATTTGCTTTTTCTGTATTACAACAATGGGGTTAATTGTTTTTCAAAGCTTTAGGATTAAGCAGTGGACATAGACAATCACATTAACAGATTAGTGATAGAAATTTTTACCCTTTGATGAGTTAATTTTACTTAAATTTGATTTTATTTTTTTGAGATTGGTTATAAAAATAACTCATTATTTTTACTTTATCTTTAATTGTATTTTATTTTTTATTGGATGATTTTTATCGTATTAAGTAGAGCTTTTTATTATGTAATGTATTTTAGAAAAATGACCGAAAAGTTTACTCGAGCTGAAGTTGCGGAACACAATTCCAATAAGGATGTTTGGATGATCATTGGCAACAAGGTGTTTGATGTTACTAAATTTTTGGATGAGGTATGCAAATAGTTGTTAAGTGACTTTAAGTTTAGATAGGTGAAATTATAAAAAATGAATGCACTTGTATATATAAAAGAGAAATGGATTTTAGTTGGTTTATAGGCAGCCGCCCAATTTTATCTTGATATGCTGAAGGATAAAAATACTAGGTTGTTCACTTAATTCTGCGCACCTTCTCAAAACTAATTCGTGGGGTGCGGGGGTGCAGAATTATGTGTAAACCTAATAATATAAACGACAATGTTTTCAGCACCCAGGAGGTTGCGAGGTTTTGCTAGAAAAGGCAGGCGAAGATAGAACTGAAGCTTTCGAAGACATCGGCCATTCTTCAGACGCAAGAACTTTGAAGGAAGACTATTTGGTCGGAGAAATTGTAGATGAAGAAAAATGGCAATATTCATACGACAAAAAACCTACAGGACATGAAACCGCTGATAAGAATGGTCAACACCCATTGGAGACCTATGTATTCCCAGTTGTTGTAGTCGCAATCCTTGGTTTGTTGTACTACCTCTTTAGCTAAATTAATGTGCCCCTCTATTCTATTTTTAGTTTACACGAATCATCAATTTTTAGATTATAATTTTTTCGTACGTATGTTAAATTTTCGTATCTGTATAACTTTTTAATTTTTTTTTCAATCTAAAGCAAGTCTATATCTTTCATTTTTTTATTTTAGTTGTAAAAATGTGATATGAAAAGGTGATAATAAATAGACTAATGTTTATGCGCTTTTTACTCACTAGTATGATTTTTATTATCGAAGTAACTTGGTGACGTATTAAAACAGAATAAAGTTAAAATATTTCGTCAACGTTTCCCAATTAACTTTGCAAAACTAGCATACAAGCTTAGCCAGTTAACCGCATTTTAACATGACCTCATATCTCTAACATTCATTGGTATGTATACTGAAATCGATATTGACATTTCGTTTTAAGAACTATTGATTTTTCAGAAAATAGTTATTTTTCTGTTTTTAACTATGCGACTCTTCGGAAATAAACATTGTGTCGTTTTTGGCCGATATGATTTGACAGTTTTATGTTTTGTTTTATTGATTATCTGCTTAATCAGAAACTTTTGTTGCTTATGTGAAAGCAATAATGCGGAATTCAACGTTGGAAGTAGAGGATGGGCGTTCGGTATTGTCAACTTCTAGTTTAGGAAGCCATTCTACTGAAACTGTAAAGAACTCTACTAACACTTTACAAACTCAACTTCGAAATCGAAAGTAATTTTTATTATTTTCAGATTTATTTTGTATTTAGGTTTACTGCTGCTTTGGGACGTGTTGGGTATGCTAAAGAAGCAAGAGATGCGGTTGCAAAGTTGATCAACAGGGTAAATATATGAGTTATATTATCTAAAACCTATTATGACTTGAATATGTTATACACTAAGTTAAGGCAACTTCCAGTAAACGTTTTTGATTAAGAAAAAAAATATTTTTTTGTAAAGAGTAATGAAAGTTTTAGAGAGCTCCCCCATTGGCACCACCGTTGGATTTTGAAGGATTTGTTACTGAATTTAATGCGGAACTTGAAACAGACACTTTAAGAGACCTTGTTATTTTTCCCCGGGATGATATTATGGTAAGTTTGTTTGTCGCATTATTTTTAAAAATTTAAATGGTAATTTGTAATGTTTTAGCTCTACAAACCGTGTAACTACGAATTGTCTGAGGTACAACGTGTGGCGAACTACTATAAAGAAGTTACTGATTGGGGAATTGTTAAAGAGGCTTTACAACATTTCTCAAATCCGTGTAGCGTAATCAAGTTCAATTACGAAGGATTTTTTGGTGATTGTGAAAAGTAATTTTTTGTTTAAAACACATTTTTTGTTAGAGTTGAGCTGCAAAAATCTACATGTGCACAACAATTTTTTACCTTTAAACTTGAATGATTGATTATGTAGATGATGCTACTTAACAGGGTGGCAATATTTTCTGCAAAAGAAACAGTATCTAAACTTACCGTAATTTCACTTTGGTCACTGTGTCTTCGGAGCTTAGTGAGCTAGAAAGATGGGATATTCATTATAATGTAGGCTATTGCAAAATAATTAAGGAAGTTTTATTTAATCTACGTGTAAATGCTCAACCATAAGAAATGGTTGCGTTTAAAGACAATTTTAAAGAAGCAGATTGTACTTTTTCAATAATTTTATTTGAAAAAAAATGTGCACAGGGTTGTTTGGTCCACACGCAAAATGTGTTCATTTCGTAACCTCAAAGAATGTAACTGATTTTTAATAAACAGAGTTTAATTCAGTTTTAAACTGTTAGTTTTAAAAGTTACCTTTTAAAATTTTAGGTATCTTGCGAATTCAGGCTTGGAAGAATTGACGTTTGAAAGTGAAGATCTAATCGAATTGTTCAAAGAACAGGAAAAATCTCCAATTGGCACTCTGCGCGAGGGATTTTTAATGTTAGAGATCAAAGGAGAAAATTTACCAAAAATTTTGAAAGGTCGAAAACGACGATACTGTGTGTTAAAACGTACTGTGGATGAAGCTGTCGTTTTTGAAATTTCAAAACAAAAGGATAACGCTAAAACACAGTTTCAAGTTAATTCAGCTCATTTGAAGACGTTTAACAAGCAACGAACGAAGGTTCTGGAACTTATATTAAAGGACGGTACTGGTCAAATTTTGGCTTTTCCCCCTCACGTAGATTTTGAAATGACGTCTTGGTTCCAAGATGTCGATCTTGCGTTAAAAAGTAAGTTTCACATTTTGTAAAAGGTTTAGCCGGTTTAGATTTATGCTAGATCCTGTACTAAACAATTGGATGGTAAAAAATTTGCTGTATTCCAGTTTAGGTAGTGAATTATTTTAGGTGTAACGTGCGAAGATTGTGAAGACAAAGCTACTGAACCAAGCTTAAGCGAAGCAATCAACGAAAGCGTTAAAAGTTCTAGTAGTTCAGGAGGTACGTTTGCTGACAAAGAGTTGTTTAAAGGCATTTTGTTCGAAATTGCTCATTTAATTATAAAAAATTATTTTTTTACCTGACATTCTTTGGAGAGATACCACTATATTTTGAAAACATTTCAGATCACATAAGCCGCGCTAGTCTGCGTCAAAAAAACTCAATAGAAGCTCTGCTTCGTCCACCGACTGTTAAGAGAAAAAATTTGTTTAGTTTGTACGAAAACGTCGAACCGCTTTCTCGGCCGTGCGGTGAAAATTCGGCTATACTTGATGATTCAGATGACGAGTACAAATTGTGTATGGCGGATCCAACTTTTAACAATAATACTAACGATGTGATTAATTGTCATACTATTCAACGGAGGCGGTGCAGCGTCGACATTAGGGTTAACCGATGCAATATGAAAATTAAAACGGATGAACAGTACGAACAAATTGAGACATTTTACGTCAACGTGTTTCTTTTTGATGTTGAAAACGGCACTAGGATTACAAACGAGCTGTCGTTTACAGTTTTAAATGAACATAACGAAACATTGGCTAAGAACTCGAGAAATGTTTTTGTACACGACAAGTTGGATTGGGAGGTATGGTGTTTAATATAGTTTAAATGTTTGAAATTCTTAAATTTAAGTTTGATATATTGTTTTCCAGGGAACTTTACAAACATCGGTTTTACCATCTTCTGCTTATGTTGTTGTCAAGATCGAACGTTTACTGTCCGGTGTGTCATCAGATTTATACTTCAAACACTCTGTGGATCGAAAGACATTGACAAAGAATGAAAAACTGCTGGCGAATGCGGTCCAAAAACTTCATAAGTGTCGTGTTTTGTTAGGATGGTCAGCAACTCCGGTCAATTCGAAAGACAACACATTGCCGGTTTACAAACATGAGCAAAGCTTAAGTGACGCGGATTTAAAAAAGCTGCTTGGAGACGTACAAAAGTGAGTTTTAAATATGGGGAAGATATGCTATATGCTGATTGACATTGGGGAAAGTTACAAATGTGGAAACGGCAAATCGGGGAAAACGACATAAGAGGAAACTATTAGTATTAAAAAATTTCTACAAACAAAAACAACAAAGAAATTTAAAAACGTACATTCCCTCAATATTTATGTATAGATATGATAGCTAGCTGTGAATTTAATGCAGGTCTGGAAAGGCTTGTAGAACTTGGATCGACTAGTCCGAGTCTTTGCCCAAGAAGCTTTTTGGTACGTTGAGTCTTAACGGGTTGAACTATAAAGTGGAAACAAATGACAGTACTTACTAATAACCGTAACCGTTCGAACGGGGGTTTTTTTTAGACCTAGCAAACGCATAATTGAGGCTCGTATTTCACTGAAATTTAAAAAAAATTAAGATTTCTTTAAATAACAACTTGGAATTACGGTAGGCCTACTGGGTAAAATTTTAATTATTTATATAAACTTGCTTTATACGATAATCGAATATTTTATGTATTATCAAAAAATGTTTTGTTAACTTACGCATTTATTGCAAAACTTATGAATGGCGACATCCCACAAACTGCAACCCAATGCAAATTGATCACGGCTGCAAACAGTTTTTGATCCTGCGCAGAATTTTGGTAGTTCCATATATACATGTTTCCCACGGTATTAACGAAAGAGAAAACGTTTTGAATTAAAATTCGCTGTTCTTTATTTTTAATTTTTTTGCTTTTTACGTATTTGTAGCGCTGTAAAGTTTTAAGGCATAAAAAGGAATAGTCACGGATGATATAAAAAAGCCAAGTAAGAAAAATTTATAATTTTACACTTGTATAAAAAACTCGAATTAATACTTACTTTAAAAACAACTGATAACACTATTACGCAGCTTATAATAAACGCCATTATTAGTTCTAAATACTGACTTTTATACAAAAAGTCGTAAAGGTTGGAGTCTTCGTTAGTGTATGTTATCCACGATAGCTCTGATGTAACGAATATTAAGTTATGTTGACATGAATAGAATAAATATGCTGTCCAAGCGCCGAGACCCCAACACATAATTATTGTTAACTAGATTCAAAATATTAAGTAAACCACGAAACAAGTAGAAAAAGATTAAAAAATCGCTATTTTTAATGAAAAAGCTAAGTTGTGGTTTACTTACGTTGGTATATTTGTGCCGAACCTCAGTTTTTGAAAAGGTCAAAATATATGCGCGATCTATAGATAACAGTAAATATAAAAATATCATAGTATTCCAGCTGAAATATAGAATATTTCCCAAAATCTGAAAAAAATGTAGTTAGACTTAAAAAATGGATGTATATATTTTTGAGTCTCACTTAACTCACCAAATTTACAGATTCCGAAAAACTTGAATCTACTAAAAGCGAAAGCCCAGAGAGAAAATGAGGTATAAGTTGAAATAAATCGGCCAAGTTTTGTGATATCATTATTCTGTAGGCGGCTATATCCCGGTGTAGCTTGCTTTTGACCATAGCCTGTAAAGTAACAAACTTTTTTTTCTATATTTTTTAAACAAAAAAATAGTATAATTTTGCATAAAGTTGTCGTATTGATGAATGTTGCGCAGGGTTTTTTTAGACTTACCGTTACTGTTGTTAACAAAAGTATTATACAAATAAAACTAAGCAAAGTTATTGCAAAACCAAATATAATCGTATACCTGTCGTACATTATTAAAAGTTGCTATACTTCTTATAGTAGGGTGAGCACGTTTTGATTATTAATAATCAATTTAGGACTTTATTTCACCTGTTTTGGTGAAATAAAGTCCTAAATGTTAATTAAGAAAAATTTGTATCAGCATAAATTTTTCTATATAATTATACTGTCTGACAGCGTGTCATTTCATGATAATTTTAAGTAAACAATACATAATTCATATTTACTTTGTTAAGACACTGCTAAAACATAGTTTATACTAGGTAAAAAGAAAACTTTGGTTTTTGTAAGCTAACAGTGAAGGTACCCAACCTGCATAACTCAGAATTAGGTTCAAAATTTTTATATGAATTGTTTGCAGCACCAATTTTAAAGTTTTTTCTTAGTTTAACAACGTATTCATTATACATTCAAAAGATACGAAGAGTATAAATTATACAATGGGGTTCTAAATTTTTCTATTTTTGGTTGATGGCAATTAAAATCAGATATAGAATTGAACCATAGCTGAATAACAAAAAAAACACCAGTTCATATTAGATTTATTGGCAAAAAATAACATAAATAATTTTACGATTTGTACAAATAATGTATCCTTTGCTTACAATTAGTTACATTGAAATTGTGCTTATATTTTAAACTGAATGGGCGTTTTGTAGTCATCAACAATTGAAATTTGAATTGGGAAGCGTACTTTGTTCAATATCAACTTATTCGGTTCTTCCGCTTTCTTTGCACATATTAATTTTAATAAATAAGATTGTACTTCACTAAAATATTCAAAACATTTTTAGAACAGAACTATATCATAAAATATTTTTTTTATTTGTGAACATCACTCTTACTCGATAACGGAAACACACTTACTCAATCATGCAAAAGAACAATGCATACACAATGCATATACTAAACATAATTAAACTTTTTTCCAAATTAAAGGTGGCAAAAAAGTCGATGCAGAACTGCGACAGTATAAATAGTGAAGAAAAAGCTATAGCAAACCGCAGTAGAGTTGGATTAGAAGCCTAAATTCATATTAGAATAAAACATTTATTGACGAATTGTACCTTTTGTCGCATTTCGTCAAACAAAAAGAATTGTACCACAATCAGTCCAGAAATAAAAAAGTATTTTACCAAAAAAAACGAAGTGGCTAGGTAGTCAAAATGTAAAGTCGCTCTTGATGTGGATATTTCGTAGACGTATGATATTAAAATGCATATAATACCGTATAACCACGGAGCAAGTATAGTAAAATTATTATGTGTTCTTTTTGTTGGAAACCCGGCTATTAAACTTATTGAGAATGTCAGCATTTGTAGCAATGTTGTGTTGACAAGGCCAGTGTTTAGTGAGGCAAACACCTACAAAAATTTGTAAGAGAAAACATAATACTTGGGAAATTTGTCTATTAAACGGTAAATTATTTTAGGCTGACATTTTCAATAATTAAGTTTAATTACTTTATAACTGTAGTAACAGTGATTACGTGTGATGCCAAACAAACCGGCATGTTGGAGAACAAAACAATGTAGAATAATTACTAACGTGATGTTTAGTAAATGAATTCTTATTGCCACTTTTTCTGTTAAAAAAGATCGACGAAGACTCTAAAATATTGACATGATTGGTATTCATGAAAATTTTTTTTGATATATCTCAATGAAACTATGTCTTATTATAATAAATAAAATTTACTTACCATAATACACAAAACGAGCATGGGCATTAAAATAAATCCTTGACTAAATAATACCCACTCCCAAGCTGTTTTACTTATAAATGTAGTGTAATTAAGTTCCATTTTTAGGCTTCAAAAAGCTGGAAAGTTGGTGCCAATTCCTAACGCTCAAATTTGTTTAAAGACGGTTGCAAAACAAGAAGTTGTTGATCTGCCACGTAAGAATAAACGAGCTATTATATATAATATGATCTATTTTTTAATATTTTAAACAGTTAAAAGCAAAGCAGTACACTATTTATGATTTTAGTTAAAAGTTTGGATCGGTTAGTTGCCAGCGACTTTTATACACATGCGATGGACCGCCTCAACTTTGATGCTTTTGGAGACACAGATGGCCATCGGTCATGCAAAAACCAACTGTTTGTTTATCCAACAAGCTTGAATTTTGGATCCCAGAAAAGTTTTTCGCGCGCCAGAAATTTGCTTTGCACAGTTAGCTTTGTCCGACAAACAAATCAACCGCATTTGGTGGATTTGAACAGCTGCCAATTGGTACACGAACAGTATTGCACAGTGCTGTATCACGAACAAAATCCTAACTGGGACAATGAAATTAAAGTGGAACTACCTGTCGATTTAAATGAAAATGATCATTTATTGTTTGAGTTTTCGCACATCTCACTGTCTGTAGCACAAAAAGTAGCTGGAGAGGTAAGGATGAAACTGGGTAACACTAGATCCTGATAAAGGACTTTACTTTATATGTTTTGGCTAGGTTTACATAGTTTGATGACTTTGAAAAAGAAAAACGATGTTTTTTTGTTTTGCGCAACCACGTCCTATTTGTAAAATTTTTTAAATATATTCTGTTATTTGTAGACGATGGAGCAAAAGGTTGGCGTCGCTTGGCTTTCACTTGTTAAGCCTGATAAAAGCCTGGTTATGAAAAGCGATTTGGAAGAGTTTGAGTTACCGGTTGCGGTGTCGGTTCCACAAAACTACTATGTACAAGAAAATGGATCTCCAAACAGAAAGGTAATATGAATTAGTTTAATTTTTTGAATTCTTTGTAGCTTTAAAAAATTAATTAAATAAATGTTTTTAGTTCCTCACTATACTATTATTTTAGGCATCAGATGCGACTATAAAGTACGTGGACAATGGCAAACCTTTATTTAAAGTAAAGCTGCGTCTTCGTTCAACTCTTTATTCATCTATAGCAGTCGTCAATAAGTTTTTTGAACAGTGTCTGTCGCAGAACTCTGTTTTCACTGTAAAGTCGGAGATTTTACATCAAGTGGCGTTTGAACATCTACAGCCACACCTTTTCGTAATACTGAACTCAATGCTACAACTTTTTACAAAATCATCAGATCTTATGTTTGCAACAATTTTAAAAAATTTGGTGGGTATATTACAAAAATGCACTGAAAATCAACAAAAAGTTTATCTTCGGGAGTTTATCCGCTTTCATTTAGCCGTTGGTGGCGAATTTGATGTTAATTGCCGAGCGTTGTACGAAGGACTGCTAGAAGCCATTGGAATACTAGTGAGTTTCATATTTTTTATAATTCCAAAAATTTACCATATTTTAGCTATCCTCGGATTTAACAGAACAATCTTTGATAGTCAATACACTATCAAATTTGTGGTTTTTGCTTGATGTTACGATAAAGTCCATGACACAAACAATTTTAACGAATGGATCTCACAAGTACAGTCGACGACGTCGTTTTTCTCAACTTACACTTGAAGCCATCGACACTACTTTTGTTATCGTATCTCACCAGATTCTGAACAACCATCAAAAATTTCCGTCTGAGACTACTGCCGGTAATATTGGATTGGCATATTTTGCAAAACACTGCTTGAATATTGTGGACCGAGGTTTCATATATAACAGTATACTTGAGATTGTGAAGAAGTACGACACGAATGACATCGGACTGCCTAGGCATTACAAGCTTAATTTTATGCAAATAATTGTAAGCCACGAGCATTGGATTTCGCTTAATTTGCCAATGTTATTTGATTCGAACAATAAGCCTTTGTTGGGCTTGGCAGGAACTAAGATTGAAGATCACTCACAAGATGGTAATCTGGTTGTTCTAATTGATTTTTTATAGTTTACTGTAATTTTTTGAGCTACACACGGCACCCTGAACCAATAGATAACCAACCATTTTAATTGTAAAAACATTTTTATGAACACACAACAGCTAAAAAAGTATTATACGGTCAAATTGACTAAATCAACATTTTTGACTGTGTAATAATTTGATAGTTGTTGCTGAAATCAATAGTTTTTGCTGCATTTCGGACAAAATAATAGTATAAGAAGTTTCATAATATCGAACGAAAAAGCGACCGCAAAATAAAAAAAACAGCGAAAAATGAAATGAAAAAAAAATGTCGGAAAAGGGATCGGTAACGATAGTCTATTTTGTTTCGCGTTCGGTTCAGCGTGCCGTGCTACGTACTTTTTATATTATAATTTACGGGATTAATTTTTTTACTAACTACTTAAAAACAATTGAAAGGCTCGAGTGTGTTTAATTCTAATTATTTACTAAACAGGTTGTGTTAATAACATTTTTTAGCTCTTCGAGTGGCTAAAACTTCGTTGAGGGCAACTAATATTTTGTCTCGACTGTTTTTTCAATTTTTACCGTCTCCTCTAACGCCACAGATTCAAGCGAAGAAAAGTGTGTTAACATTGGTTTGATAACGATAGTTTTTATTATATTGTGTATTTATTGTTACAAAAACATCTTTTTAACTACATTTGCAAGAAACAAAATCTTTTTAGCCGCTTTGAATCACGAACATTTCAAACTTGGTCTGACGTTTTGCTCGACTCATTTCTTGGTAGGCCTATTGCTACAAGAATTTTCATCAGCGCTGCGTGAAAGCCGTCAGTACCGGAAATTGGTGGTTGCCATGGTCAGAAATTTGTTTGTCAAACACAGTGTAGATTTGAGATACGACGGGGCTGTAAGTTTTTTTGGAATGTAAAACTATACGTATATTTTTTTTTATTTTTAGTTTGCAAACTTTGATTTCAAATTATTTGCGATACTCTAAATTAGTTTTTAGGCTGCTCAAAGCCGCATTGCTATCTTATACGCTCCATTTATTCAAATCATTATGGAAAATATTAATGAATTTGATTTCTTCCGACGAGTCGAAGAAAATGGAAAAATTAATGAAAGAAAAGATAGCGTAAAATTCGACTACGCTCAGTCGACAGCACGTTCAATACTAAGTAAAGATTACAGTTTGAATGGCACAGCCCGAGTTAACAGAAACGGAAGCACGCTTGGTCACGGGGTATGTTCTTCAAATGGTACTGCTGGAGCTCAGAATTCGAGTAACATGGAGCACAAAAATTCCCAGTTTACAGAGAAACTGGAACCAAATGAAGCTAAAGATCTGATGCTATGTGCCTTGTACTTACTAAAACATTTGCCCAAACAAGTTACAGTAGCACTGGCGTTTAATCGCGTAGATAGTGATAATGAAAATGAGTTCCTGCCGCTGATAAGTTTATTGCAAATGGCACTGGAGCTGTTTAGATGCAACAGTCAACTGAAATTGGTTGGTACGAATTACGCGAACGTTCACGTTAAAAATCCTACATTCCCTACAAAAGATCAAAAGAGTTTGAGTGGGAAACAACTTAAAAAGGCGTTTATTCAAGAAAGTCATTTGAGTCAAGAGGTAGCGCTGATAGTGTTGAATGTTAGTCATTACTTAGCTGAGCATATCGCGGTAAGTTAAATTTTCATTAAAAAGTACTAAATGTTTTAAAAAATGTAATACACATTTGAAAATGATCAACGATTTTTAAAAAATTTTTGGTTTAAATATAGAAAATTCTATATACTGAAAATTTAGAGCTGCTGGAACGGTACACGACTTGGCCTTCAGCAAGAAAGTCAAGCATTCTTGGGTTTGATTGAGTTGAAGTTAGAACTAATAGGAGATCAGTGGCCGGAAACTGTTCGGCTAAACGCATTAAATTCGCTGGGGATGTTTATAGAACTTTTTTCGACTCAATTATCATCTGTCGACAACAACGAAGCTTTGCCTAAGCTTTGTCAACGGTTGTTATTGCTTCTTAATAGCCGTTTAGAAAAAGTTCAATGTTCGTCTGCTGCTATATTACACTTACTTATTCGACAAGGATTTAATGCTACTTTTGAGGATTACGGTAAGCTTTGTTTAAGACGTAGCGTTATTATTAAGTGTGGCAATTGATATTTTGTTTTGTAGCTAAAAAAGTTGATAAACAACCCAACACTGTGCGGTTACCGAACGAAGGTCGTGCATCGGCGGATTGGCTTGGAAATGCAGGCATCCAAATCACAATAGCATTGGCTTATTTATTGGGACAGAATGAATTGTCGGCAGATTGCCCACGTTTTGAAAATGGAATACATTTTTTTGAATGTCTGACGGCAAATCAGTTTGATCAAAAGCTGGAATTGTTCAAAAATTCGGCTCAAGACTTAGCAACACAGTTAAGGGACATATTGAAGGCTACAATGAGCATCACCGAAGCGAGAAATGATCCGGTAAAAAATACTAATTGATATTTTGTTGTATGAACATGGCGAAAACTGAAATATGATTCAAGTTTATTTTAAATTCTCTGTAATGGGTTTTATAACTGTAATAAAATAGTTTTTACATTACACTATACTGAGTTTTAGATAAAATTGGCCGAGCTTCACGTAAAGCTTGCGGACAGTTATAGAGGATCTCCAGCTTTGCGAGCCGCGTGGTTTGACACATTGTCACAGATCCATTCGTCAGAGGGTTGGTTTTCGGAAGCTGCAATATGTCAAGCACATTGTGTTGCTATCATTGGTAAACAACTAAAAGCTCGACAAGGGATTGAAATTAACTTTGATCTTCTATCATGTTTAAATACTCAGTTACTGGATGATGAAAAGGTGTTTGAAGTAGAATTGCCGGTTTGGCACGGCGGTAATTTTACAGTGGTAAGTTTAAAAAAGTTACCTTTTTTAAATGTTTAATCTGCTAAAACCTTTTGGTATTAATTACTTTGTATATTAAAATAATTATGAACAATGATAATTTAAAATATTTTGCGTAATTTTAATTTTTTTAGGATGCCCTGACGTCAAAAGTTGAAGAAACAGTGAAATTATTAATACAAGCTGAAAGATACGAAGCTGTCGGTCCAATTTACCGTATTTCTATACCACTGTTTGAAGCTACTTTTAACAATAAAGCTCTAACATCAGTCTATGCAGATCTTCATCAAGCCTACTCAAGAGCAACTGAAATTCAAACGAGTAAAAAACGTCATTTGGGAGCTTATTTTAGAGTGATATTACATTCAAAAGTGCATTTTGGTGAGGAAGAAAAATCAAGTTGGATATACAGAGAGCCTGCTTTACGAAGTTTGGCCGAAGAAAGCGAAAAAATGGTACAATTGTATAGGAAGATATTAAAGTAAGTTATTTTTAATTGTTGACTTTTCGCGGAGTTATGGTTTTATTAAAAGATGGTTTCATTTATTTTAAGTTTATGCTTAGTTTTTAACATTTTAGAACTGAAAACGTGCGTTTTTTGGCCGAAACTGAATTGGAACCTTCCACTGTACTTGATCCTTCAATAGCTTACATTCAATTAACTCACGTTGAGCCGTTGTTGGGTGAACAAACCGACGATATTGAGTTTTCCATTCATTTAAAGCAACTTGAAGCGCCTGACGTTAATTACACCGCTCATACAAATATCAAAAGATTTTATTTTGAAAAACCATTACTCCTACCAGTGAATGAAGATTCGAATGAAAAGATACCGGAGCAGGCACGATTGGCTTTAAAAAGGGTGTTTTTAACAAGTACGTGCAATTTTGGCTCGCCCATACCTATGGACGATTGTTTTTAGTAGTATTGAAAAGCGCTACAAGAAAGTTTTTGTTGTAAAAAAAGCCTCAATCTGGTTAATATTTTTGATTCTCGCGGACGTCTAATAATTTTTTTATAAACACTGCTGTGAAAAGTTAAAAAAATTATTAACAGAACTTAAGCAGATATAAAGTGATATTAAAGATATTGATAAAGAACTTTTTATAGCTTATGGAACCTTTCCCAACACCCGCCGACGTTTACGTATTGTAAAGATGTCCGAAGAAATTTTGAATCCGCTAGAGTTGGCGTGCGAAAATTTGAGGAAAAAAGCGGCTCAAATTCAGTTGGTTTTAAAGTCTGCCAGTATAGCTGATAACGGACCTATCGAACGATCAAAGCTGAACGCTTTAGATTTAAAGGGTCTTCAGTGTTTGTTGCAGGGTTCGGTTAGCCCCACAGTTAATGTTGGAGTTTTGGCATACGCTGAAGCTTTTACTGCTGATTCACAACGATCAAAATATGGAGTTGATGGATTGGAAAAACTAAAACAGTCGTTTAAGTACGTTTTAAATTTAATTGTTTTGATTTTGTTTTTCTCTACTACAATTTTTTAGCTTATTTAAATGTTTTTGTTTATAGAGCTTATATAATACCTGATTCTAACTGAATTACAAAAATAATTAAGTTGGTATCTAACACGAATATTGTTACACGAAAGTTTTAATCTTTTAGGGTGTTTATGGCACAATTGGCACGCGCATTAGCAGTAAACGAATTGGCTGTCAGCGGTGATCAAGCTGAATATCAAGTAATGTTGAAGAATTCTTTTGACGGAATGTTGGAACGGTTGTGTACTTTCTTTGACGGCGAAAATGTAGGTTTATTATTTAAGATTACAAGTGTCGAAATTTTTTAAGTGTGCATTATACGTATTTTTTGCGCGCCCTGACATTCCGGCCCAAATTGGTAAAGATATTGAAGAAAATTTTAACAATATGCCTATGTTTTAGTTCTTCTCTGAAAACCTTAACAACCTCTCGACAAAAAATACAAATCATGTGGTAGAAAAAAATGCCCCACCCAATAATAATTACATATTGGATTCAATCAGTGGAATACCACGTTTGTAATGTACATAAATTTATAATCTATGAATGCTGTTTCAAAGGTCTTTCTCTTTATACTTTATACACTTCGTAACAATTTTTCGTACTCTATAACTCTAGTAGTTATTTTTTGATCTCACAAGTCAGTAAATACATATTTTACCAATCTTTCTTTGTGTTTTCTGACTAGCTATATTGCTTTTAAATTTTTTAGGATTACGTCGTCTTTACTTTGTATATTATGTTTGTAATGGTCAAAAGCTTTCTTGCCGTTTTATTATTTGGTTTTAATTTATTGGCTTTGTATTATATTGACAAAAATAAAGTGATTTTGTTTTGAAAGTATTACTATTATTTTTGTAAAAAATTTATTATAACTTAATTTTAATTACTTTGAACTGAAATTGTGTTTGGTTTTCAAAAAAGTCATTGTTAGTTTGACGCTGAATTCAAAGTAGGTTGGAGAAATGCTTGTTGAGCTGGCTTTTGTTTCTATTTTGTTTCAAATGGCACATGCAAAGACGTAAGTTACGTTTAGGCCAGGGACGTCGCTACGGAGTTCCTCCGGGGGGAGGGGGGGGAAGTCACCTCCTGGTTTAGTCTTGTAAAAATCCAATGTTTGATTTTTTGGACAGCTATAAACAATAAAAGATGTAGAGCTTTCGGCTTGTGTTAAAAAAAAGCTACATTTTGTTAATTTTGTGAACAAAAATGAATTGCTTTAATCAATCTCTTTTTTAGTCACAACTTCAGAGTTGATGGCGTCGCCATTTGTAACGGAGAAAGCTTACACGGTCAATGGGGAGTGGTAAGTGTTGGCAGTTTTTATTTTACTATTGAGTTTTATTTCGAAGGTTATAACCAGAGTTCCCACGGGCTTCCCCGGAGCCAAACTTAAAAAAAAGGTTTGGGAACTCTGGTTATAACTATCCTAAAATTGTTTTTTTAAGTTTGTAATATAGCCCTATTTTTAACAGAAAGTTGACCTGTATGATAAATGGACAATTCTTTCGGACAATCTTGTGGCCAGTGCCAATTTACCTCCAACCGGCGAGTTTCTCTTTGATTCCAGCACATTTTTATCACCGACTCTATATCTGTATATGCAAGTTTTTATTCTGGATTGGTTTAAGACAATACTTAAACCTGTAAATGAGGTTTTTGTATCGTAAAAAGGTAGAGTAAGAAGTCACAAGAAAGATATTTTAAATATGTACTACCACAGTTTTTTTAATATATTTGTGACATAGTATATATACAGTCAATCGGCAAAAACAATTAAGTAAATTAATTCTTTTGTTATAGTAGTCATCGCTGCAATTCAAATCAAGAATGTCGTTACGGATGGGGTTACCTTGCCAAGTCCAGTAATATGGACACGTGTTTGAAGCATCACGAAGCTTGCTACAGCTGGGGAACCTTCGAATTAAACAAGTTAAAGGACGATGGTGCCAGCGAGGAGTGTCCGCCGTTCAAGTACAAGCCCAAAGACGATGGAAAACAACAAGATCCCCAGCATTAATACTTTGTCTAGACGCTGCAATAATTCAGTATTTTACGACTTTATATTAGTTTGAATAAATGAATACGGATTGATTTTATAGGCTTTTATTACATGATACTCGTGTTATAATCAACACACTGAAAAATATTTGAAAAACGGAACGTGAATATGAACCAAAACGTCTAAACTTTTGGTAAAAAATAACTTTTGAAATATATTTTAAAATATTGATAAGAGACCACATGAAATAATTGATAAGATTCTAGGGTACAAAAGTCTTGGTCGCTAATTTATCTTCTTTTATAGGGTTTTTAGATCCTATTAATATTTGTTATAAACTTCTAAAACTTTTAAAAAATACTTGTTTGCTAATGTCATGATAATCAACGTAAGCTGCAAATCGATTATTATTTGGCAAATGATTATAATATGTATGGTCACCAGCCATGAAGTCATTGTAAATTTGACATCGGGGTTGATTAGAGGAGAAATAATTGAAATAAATGGCCAGAAAGTACAAGCATTTAAAGTGAGCTTTTTAATTCGAGTATTTTTAAAAGTTTTAGATATAAAGCATTAAAGTGATACGACTACAATTAATTGTGCATTGAATGTTTGTCGAATTTTTAAATTACAGTACAAGCAAAATTATTAATTTGTAATGATGTATACATTGTTTAAAATGTTGTAGAGTGTACCGTTTGCACAACCGCCAATCGGAGATTTAAGATTTGCAGTACCGCAACCACATGAAAATTGGTACGATATAAAAAACACTACGCGCTATTCTTCAGCTTGTATGTCAAATACATCTCAAACAACATCGCCACAAAAGAATATAAGTGAAGATTGTTTGTACACTAATATCTGGGCTGACTTACGTTGTTTAGTACGTTATTTAAAAGCAATGGTGTTTTTATCCACAAATCAAAGCTAATGAAAGAATATTATGAAACTCTCAATGCATTCTTAAAAAATACTAACATTTGTCTAAAAATTTACCACGTTATGAATTGCGTAAAATTTTCAGAATAAAAAGTGTCCAGTTGTCTATTACATACACGGTGGAGGATTCTTTTACGATTCAGCAATAATGTTTAATGAAACAGAAATAATGCTAAAATTTGGATCACAAAAGTTGGTATTTGTAGTATCTGCATTTCGTCTAGGTATATTTGGTGCACTAGATCTTGGGGAAGAGTTGGAAGAAGCTCCATATAATGTCAATTTACTAGGTAAAAGTTTACAATTTTTTGTCGTTTTAAAACTTAATACTGTTTTTAAACCCAGAAATACTTTTTTTAACAATTTTTAATACAACCATTTATTATAAACTTTTAGACATAATTTTTGGATTAAAATGGGTAAAGAATGAAATTTGGAAATTTGGCGGAGATCCCCGTAGGGTAAGTTTGTATGGAAATAGCGGTGGTGCTACAGCTATACAATTATTAATGGTATCACCCGCGATAACAACAAACTTGTTTTTTCAAGTTTACATTGGAAGCGGACTAGCGAGCTTGCAACCCCATACTAACTTGAAACTAACCAATGCTATTGCTACTAAAGTTGGGGTATGGTTACTAAAATTACAGAAATTATTATTTTAGACACATATATCTTGGTACAGAAACGTAATTAGGATGGGAAAAAACCAAATATTCTTTTATAAAACTTTTTAGAATTTTTGTAGTAGCTTTTTTTATTTTATATTAAGTTATAGTGCAAAAACGCCACAACATATAAACAACGTTTAAAATGTCTACAAAATGTTCATGCCGAAAAACTAAACAACGCTGCTAGAGAAACTGAACTTATTGACTGGAGAGCAGTTGGGCCACAATCAGATGTCCATACCCTTCCTGGCGGTAGCTTTATGGATTTAATTGGTAATTGGAAGGTACAGCTTAAACATACAATTTATTTTAATTTTTTGTAAATATTTACAACAAATTTAATATAAAAAATAGTTTTTTATATTAAAATGTTATAATAGCATTCAGGCAGTTCCGTTACTGATATCAACCACAGTCCACGAAATGACATGGAGTTATCATACAGCTGAATATTTGTGTAGTATGTACATAAAAATGTTTGGTTACCGTTCTGATGCAGTGAGAGAAGCATGTACACAACGATATAAAAGTAATATTGCATTGTTGTCTCCTGAAGCAATGCACGCTATGGCTTATTTTCTGGCTAAACTAAACGCACTACGGCAAGTTTTAAGGCACTGTTAGAACGTATATAAGTGTTAATGTAAAAATAAATTAACTTAAACGACACATTTTAAAGTTTATTTCAGCACGGCGCCTACCTATTTCCTCGTGTGGGCCCAAAAAGATCATGACAAACATTCTGATGAGATGTCTTACTTTTTTGGCCTTCACTATATACACAACAAGACTCAGGACGACGTCAAAGCAGATCATTATTATCCATTCTTATGTCGAAACTTCTTTTACGGCCGGAAACCGTTAGATGGTAAGTTAAGCTATAATTTTAATCACAGTGAGCTTCTGTATGACGGATGCTTGTGTAACAAACAATTTTGAAATTGTATTTTAGATTGGGAACCATTAGATTACAACGGTAGAAACTATTACTACTTTAACTTTTCTGATACCACTAAGCCGCATATGGTAAAGCGAGGCGTGTTTGATACTAAAAGCATACAATTCTGGTTGTATCACCTTAAAGAGATTGAACAAAACTCTACGTTGAACTTTATTAAAAAAGAACAAATTGGCAACAAGAGTTATCGAAAACTAAAGAACACAGATACTATAGAAAGAATGAAAATTCCAAAAGCTGGAATTTATAAAAGAATGGTAAACGACTACGACTATTCGGTGAGTTTTTAATTTCGTCATCTTAAGATGAAAAAAAAACACAAAGATTACGTCGGCAAAGCAGCATGTTTTATAAATACTAAACTCACTAAAAACTACAGTAATAATTTAATAATTGTGACTTAAGTTGCAAACCTAGTTTTTAATATTTTAAAACAAAAAAAAGTTTAAAGCATACACTATTTGTAGAAAGTCGAACAATCTACAACGATCCCATTGCTAACGGTACTAACCGTACTCATAATCGCTGCTTTTGTTTTGGCAACCGTGGCGTTTTCGTTGAGTGTGCTGCAAATGTGTATCGGATGGGGACGAAAAGTCAAACCTCGAGTAGAAGAAGAAGAAATGAAGGTTTTACGAAGGTATTCGGATGAATATCCACGATACGTGTTTTGATTAGTTTTTGGCCAAACTGCATAATATTTGAAACATCAATTTTTAAATTGAGAATTTGATAAAGTTGTTTTATTTAAAAAAAGAGAAGTGTTGGAAACTTTTTTGTCTTTTTGAGGATTTAAATGTGTGAAGAATAGGGCAGAAATGACTATTACAATATACTAGATTAAACACGTTGTCGGTAAAAGAGACACATCGATTAGGTTCGACACGGTTCTGAAGTGGCTTTCAAATGCCGTCCTTGGAGCGCGCTTTTGTTTGATTGCCGGAGGCGGAGATCGTGAAAGAAAGTATGGATTGTCTTTAAGTGGCCTTCCTTCCGTCGATTGCGCTCAGTTACGACGTTGTACTTCGGTATTGTGTAGTTATTGCGTTGAGCTGAGTTAGTTAACTTGTGCCTTGTTACTTATTGTAGCTCTCACTACTTTTAATTTACTGTTTTACGTTAGTGTACTATATCTTAGTTGTGCAATATAACTACATTTCTATAATTGTTGCTTATTGTCGCTAACACTAATACATTTAATAATTGAAATAAAAGTAGTTTTATCTAGTCAAAGTTTGTTTTGTGTTTATATTCTTTGTAAAACGTATGGAAATTAATTATTTTGGTACAACAATGATTGTACTTCTAATTGTGGCCATGTTAACATTACTTAAACCAACTGTTTATGCTGTAAGTAAAATTTTATCGTTGTTTTAATTTGTACAACATCAACTAAACAATGTTTTAGTTAGACACTCCATGCGCTGACCAAGCTCAGCAATGTGCATTAATAGTCGAAGAACAAGAAAGACAAATTCAAGACGTTAAGAACTTAGCATTTAAAAGCTGTTTTGGTCGAAATGCGTATGTTTTTAAGTTTAAACTTATTGTTAGTATAAATGGTTATTTTGAAAAAAAATGTTTTTCTAAATTGTTAAGGTTGTGTACTATAACCAATACGATAAACCAAACATTAACCTTTATTAACTTAATAAAATTTTAGTTGTGTCCAAGAAAAAGTTGTTTTTGATGACTGTTTTACAAAAAGTCTTCGCTCCGTGCGTGCGCCTTTTCTAGGCAATGATCACAGTAAGTGAGTTTAGTAGTATCAATATTAATTCTTATGTGTACCGTCTTGTAAAGTTTATTTGTTTTAGTAGAGCGGCCCAACGAGTTTACGGAAGCTTCAAAAAATTATAAAAATCAATTAGAGAAGTGTTTCCAACAAAACGTCCAACCTGCAAAACCAGACTTTACCTCGTTGTTGGTTGATGGTACTTTTTTAATTTTCTTTACTTCAAAAAATAAAAAAATGTTAAAAAAACGTTATTTTTTAAAAATTACTTTTACTTTGTTAATTTTTCAACTAAATAGTTTTATTTCTTTCTAAACTTTTTAGTTTTTTACTTATCAATTTTAACATTTTACTAAAATTTTAAAAATATTTTTATATTACAGAAGATGCTATCTACGCCCGAGCAATTTATGGCTACGAATTTGCAGACCGATTGTGGGATTTACCAGAAAGCGGCATTGAAAAACCAGGATTAGATCCTCAGGATTCTTGCTTGGTTAAAGGCCCAAACAGAAGGAGTTTTGGAAGCGGCATTCCACGTATTCGATATGATGCTGGGCGAGTGTTTTAATCGTCCTAAAATAAATACTATAAAAAATAGTATTCAACTGTTTTAAAACTTTTAAAAGCTAACAGTCTATAATGACAGTTTAAGAATATTTATTATACATATAATACAACTAATTGTATTTTTAGTTTAAACAACAAAACATGTCAACTAGAACCACAGGAAGTGTCATGCTATAGGAATTTTTTGGATCACGACGGCCAATTTAAAATCATGCTCAGGAACAGAGATAGAGCGTTGAGAGAGTGTATACAAGGTAAATACGACTTTTTGCGCAATGAACTTTTTTTCGAGTCAAACGTGAGCGGGTCCATTGGATAAATATTTCTTTTATCCGAATACGACACGCTAACTTTTTGCCCCAAAAAAGTTCAGTGCCTTGATTTTTCCTTAAAACATGACAATTCAGAGCATTTATGGTCTGTGGTCCTTTAAGAACTGAAAACCTTAGTCTGAAAAGACAAAGTTATCTTTTGTTATTATACCGTTAACATTGTTACGTAACTTATGCGAATTTCAAAAAGACATTTTTTATAGGCGTTCGTGCTCAAAGGCGTTGTCGTATGACCCACAGTTCCACTATTCGATCATGTTTATGTAGTGCTAGAGAAGAACTTGAAATAAAAACAGAAACATCACTGATAGAATGTACTCGTAATTCACCGTTAGCTCAACTATACTCCAGTATAGTAAATTTAGACAAACCTGATGCTGACGATCGTCTACGGACGTTTGCAGCTGCTCCGCAACGCAAGAATAAAGATGGTTTGACACCTTTGAAAGAGTTACAAGATGATGATGCGAGTTCAAGCAGCAGCGGTAGTGCTTCAATGAGTATTACACCTGGTATATGAGGTTTTACAAAAAAAAATTAAAAAAAGTATTTTTAAAGATCTAACGAATAAAAAATAAAACAAGGTAAATATTTCCAAATTTAAAATAAAATATTTTAAGGTGTTGTTTTAAACGGTCAATGTCTCTGTGCCTGTCCGGGACCTTCGCCACCTCAACTTTTTGCCGGAAAACCTACTCCTCAAGCTCAGTTTTCAACTGACTCATCGATGGTATTCCCATCTATTCCACAAGCCTCGTCATCACATACTCAACATCCCGATTCAATACTAGCTGCACAATTACAACATCAACGCTTAGTGCAACAATACCAGGCTCTGGCTGAACAACACAGACAATTGTACGGAAACACAGCGTATCAACAACCTTCAATGACACAAACAGGCTCTGGTAGCCCTATGGGTACAGTTAGGTCGATTGAGAGCGGAATTGGCGATGGATTTGAGCGATTTTTTAATGGCATGCCGCCAATACGGAGAAGAGATGTTAGTCGACGTATTCCAAAGTTTTAAATGTTTTTCTTAATGTATGCTGAGCCTTTTTGTATATTATTCATAAACATTCTGTATATCTTATGAATTTTTAAAGATTTTTTGTAACAAATGGCACACTAATAATATGCATATGAAAAATATTTACAAAACAAAATTGTACAAATAACAAAACGCAAAATAAAAATCAAAGTTGTGGTACTTGATCGTATATTAACAAGGAAATATTTACATTACTGTAACTTGACGAGTAATGGAGTTACAAAAACAGCCGTTACAGATTCTGAATCCCCGTCAAAAATGACATTTCCTGTTGGTTTTTAACATTTAGTTTTTTAGTGGTACTTGATCGTATATTCAACCTGTATAATATAGTAAAGGATGGCTTTGTATCGCTGTAGGTCGACAAGTAATAAAGCTACAATAACGGTCGGCTGTCGGTAAATATTGAAAACAATCGGTCAAACCCGATATATCGACCATTTTCGGCCGAAAATATCGTATCGAAATCAATCGATATTTATCGATAAATATTGTTTTCGTTGTGAGACAAGGTTTTTAAATACCGATGCGGGACGAAAAATATTGAAATATCGAAATGGTATTGAAAAAAATTTAAGAAAGCCGTGCTTTGAAATATAAGGTTATAATGGATTGATAACAAAATCATGTTCAAAAATCAATAGTCTAGCGGGCTTAAACTTTGGGCCTAGTGGGTCCGTTTCTCACCCCTAAACGCGTTTTTCTTCAGTGATACACTTGTTCTATTTTAATAATTTCCAACAACTCAACACAACAAATTAGTTGTAACTTCAAAACTTCTCAAACAATAACCTAATAATTTTTTTAAAAGTTTTAACATTTTTCGTATTATAGTCATCAACAAACGCTTTTAAAAAATTAAATTTTGAAAGCCTTTACGGCAAAATATTTTTATTAATTAAATTATCTCATAATTTCAAAAAAGTCGTATTTTCCCATACTTTTTTGTAAAAATTTCAAAATATTTTTCAACATATTTGAGACGATCGGTTGTTTCACTTGGAAAGGTTGCTTTGTCCGAGGAAGACCGTGTTTCTGAGTTGGTAAATCGTCTGGTAAGTAAAATATCTTAATTTTCATTTTTTTACAGTACCAGCGTGGCCATGGAACATACTTTTGAGACTTACGCAAAATGCGCCCTTTATATATCTCCGTACATCTTGAAAATGTTGTGGTTATGGCTCTATGAACTGGTTTACTTTTGTACTCCATTCAATAGTTGGCCCTTCAAAGTTCCCGTCAATGATAAGCTGGTGCTCTTGACTGGAGCCGCTGGCGGGTTAGGCCAAATTTTGGCCGAAAAAATTCGCCGAAAAAAATTGTCGACTCGTTTTGTGGGACATGAATCAAAAAGCGCTTGAAGCCCTGAAGGAGCGTCTGGTTAGCAAATACAAAGTCACAATCGATGTGAAGGTTGTCGACATTACTAATGATGAGGACGTAGCTGCATCGTGCGAAGAAGTCAAGAAAAAGATTGGACTGCCTGACATTTTGTTCAACAACGCTGGCATCTTAGGCTATCATAAAGAGTTTATATTTCCAATGAAAGTTTACGACTCTGTGCTGAAGATCAATTCCAGGGCCCCTGTTTTAGTAAGTGTGCCAAAGTTTTATTTTTAAATTTAACATTCAATTTTTAAAGAGTTAACTTAAAAAGAAATGTTTTAGATCATCAGGAACTTTTTGGAAGATTTCATCGCGCGCAACAGTGGTTATATAGTGACAACTGGCTCATTTTCTGGTCATATTGCCGTCGGTGTCGTAAATCCTTATGTAACCAGCAAGCACTGTATTGTTGGCTTTATGGGTACTCTTAGACATTTTCTTAAAACCCGCGGCAAAAACATTAAATGTCTGACTATTTGCCCTAACTACATTAAAACTCCCATGGTAGCCGGCGCTGAATATGAGTAAGTTATACATGTCCAAATTTTCAGAATCAGAGAGACAATTGTGCTCTCACCATCCTTGTTATTTTTCTTCATGTCGTCAACCCCCCACGAGAGAACACTAACCATACTTCATTGTTTAATAATTTACTTTTACAATACGACGATATGACTTTTAATAATGTTTTGCAGTAACCCGCTGATGCCAATGCTAGAAGCGGATTACGTTGCTGATCGTCTCATCGAAGCTATCGAGTGCCAACGTGAGGATATGTTCTTGCCTAAATTTACGTGGATCTTTGTTTTGCTCAAAGGGTAAGCTCAATTTTAAAAAATTTTTTACTAAAGAGCTGATTTTTTGCATATTTTTGGGCATATTCTTAAAAAACCTTCATTTTGTAATATTTTAGAATTCTTCTTTTTTTGGAAAAATTTTACTGACTATTTTTCAGAATTATGCCGACTTCTGTTTTCGACACGTTCTTGGAAATGTTTGCGTTGCACGGCAGTGTCAACACCTAAGTACTACAAAAAACACGATCTTAACCCAATATTTTACCGAACCTCAATTTCAATACATCTGAATAAACTTTATCGGAAACGTTTATAGCACTGTCAAATATCTTCACAAAATTTTGAGAAACAAATAAAATTACTCTTCTTTCCGGCAATAATAGCCATTGCCGCTAGACATTATCAGACCATCGTTTTTTTCGAGACATCTTCTATTATGTACTGCTCACTATTTGATTATGAATTGCGTTTTATTATTGTGTGGTCTCAGAACGAAAACAACTATTCTAAAACGAAACGCCACGAAAATTTGGAAAATTATTTTAATCGAGAAATTTTTATGTTTTTGCCGTTTTTATGGGAACTATGACAAATCGACAAATGATTATAGTTCGCAAATTCAGATTTTGTTTAGTTTTTTTGTCGTGGATTATACAGTTTTTATTTGAAAGGGTTGCAGCGTTTTATGCATTGTTTCTTGTTCAAATAATTTATGCACGCTAGTTGTTGTAGATTTGTAATTTTATGCTTTAGTATCAAAACGTTTTTTTACTGTTTTTCCAACTCAAACATTACGAAATATAATATGTATTATGATTTTTTTATGTGTTTGATTGGCTTTTGTTATATTATAGTGTTTTTTAGTGAATAACTTGTGATCATTTATTTTAGAAGCTCCATGAGCTCCAAACATTTTTTTGTGTATATTTTGCTGGGGCATTTATTGGTTAATCTAGCGTTTTCGACTTTATCACAAAGCTCACCGAGAGGAAATAAGGTTGAAGAAGACGATGAATGGGACGATGATGAGTTAAATGAAGGCGAAAACAGGAGATCAAAGTTGATGGATTTGATTGGGCACGAACATGTAAGTATTATATGTTAGTTTAGATTTTTAGAAAAGATAAAAGGAAGGTTTTTTGGTAAAATGGAGGTGTATAATATATTCGGCTAAAACGGGGAAATATGTTATGCTTGGTTTCGAACTAAGCGTTTTTAATTATGGCAATTTTTATAAAAAATTTTAATGTTATGACGTTATATTTAGGATGACGAAGCAAGGAAAGACATTGTCGAAACTTATGACACCTTAGAAATTGAAAGGCCACATCGTGACTTTATTAAGCTTGCATATGTAACTCCAGTAAGTTTTACCATAATAATTGTTTATAAATTTAGGAATTTTACGTTGTGCAACTCTAAAACTAAAAAATTTTACGTCGTGCAACTCTAAAAACTTTTTAGTGGTACAATCATGGATACGATGTGGCTAAATGGGCGGCCAATAAGTTTACGCACATTGCACCTGTTTGGTTTCAGTTTGCACCAAAATACTTTGGTCGTGATTTGGCTTGTGAAATTACTGGACAACACGATATTGACCAAGGTATCTTTTTTATAATATCTTTACTTTTGGGTGTGGTTTGTTTGAAATCTGACTTTAGAATTTATGAATTGCAAATTAAACTGTAAGCTTGTGTTATTTATAGGGATTATTTTTAGATTGGATGGATGATATCCGAAAGAACAATTCTGATATCAAGTTTGTTCCTCGGTTTTTGTTTGAAACGGACGACTCCAAGTTGGTCGATACATTTTTGAAAGAAGATTTTGCTCAAATTCGATGTGTTGACGCCATCATCAAGCTTGTTCAGGTATGATTAATTTTTCAAAATATTTTGGATTTTTTTGTTAATTTTGGTTTTATAGTTAAATCGTAGCTTTTTAGGAGATTAATGGAGATGGTGTGGTTTTGGAAGCTTTTTTGCAAGTTGTACATGCTGTTCGAACAAGGGAAGCCATGCTTGCAGCTGCTGATTTTGTGGGCAGAGCTTCGCGACGCATCAGAAAACAAAATTTAATCAGCATTATGCCTTTGAATGCCATGGTTTATGATGGGTAAGTTTTTAAATCTAAAAAATGACATTTTGTGGTATTTAGTCGAAATTATTTTTATTTTGAGGACTGAGTAAAGATTTAGTTGTTAAATTCTTAATGTTAAATTTATAAAATAAAAAAATGATAAAATATATAAAGTACGATGTTTTATTTACTATTGCTTCAGCCAGGTTATTATTGATACGGATCTTTTGCAACAACTCTACAAAGACGTTGACTACATCAACTTAATGACTTATGACTACGCGGCTAAACAGTATAAGGGATTGGCACCCGTGCCGTGGATCGAGGCAAATGTTCAATTTTTGGCTGAAACTGACGATAGCCTACTTTCGAAAACACTGCTTGGCGTTAACTACTATGGTGCTTGCTACAAAGATGGTCAAATCACCCACATTTTTGGTCGTGATGCGGCTCGTCTTGTTAAAAATAACGAAGAATTGGTGTGGGATGAAGAAACCGGTCAACATTTTGTGGAGACCAGAGAAGATATGTGCGCAATTCCGACAAAACGAAGCATTGAAATCAAGTTGGACTTGGTACAAAAACATGGACTTCCAGGAATTGCGATCTGGGACCTCGGCCAAGGTTTCAATCATTTTACTCAGATCTTGTAAAATTACCGAGTGGAAATCTGTTGACCTTTTGTGCGAACTTGTTGCCTTATTTTCTATTTGCCTTAATTTTTATCAAAACATTTTTCTTTTCTTTCCGCTTTATTTTTCACGGTTAGCTATGATTTACGAGTATAATTTGGCATAACATTTTATTGTGATGTTAACAAGAAATTTAGTTTAATATTGTGATATAAACACTTATGTATTATTTTTTGAATGAATGGATATCGGGTAATGTAAACAATGGTCAAAAGATACTTACTGCTTCTTTCGCACGTTTTTTTTTGTGTGATTAGTCAAACTTTTTTTGATTTAATTTGTGATCTTGCAGCTTTTTTTAGTTTGCAGTACTGTAAAATGGTGTTTTAAAATATTTTCTGGAACATTGTAGTTTACAATTAAGTTTTTTTTTGTTTTTGATTATTACTTTTTTTAATTGTCATCAAACTAAAATTATGTTTTGTAAAAAATGATGAGTATAAGGTTCGAAGGTGTGGCCTTAAAAAGTCAAATGCACAGAAAAAGGGAAAAGATGACAATAGTTTTTGTATATAAGCATAAAATGTTGTCTGTTTAGAGAAGTCATATTTAACGAAACCGTTAATCTCTAGTTCTTTATTTTTACTTTGTGTTGGTAAACAACTTTTGGCTGTTATTGAATTTCGAAAGCATGTTGTTTTTGAGAAAGAAGGGCGATAAAAACGAAGGGAAAGGCCAAAAATTGCATTTTCGGGGAGGAACGCCATAACACGCGTACTTGGGCTTTAGAACTAGAAGTCTCAGGTGTGTTTTTTAAACTTTAATTATTTTTCTCACATTAAATGTTTAAAGAATTTTCTGAAAGGCAAAAGTATTTTTATGGAAGTTCCCAGATAAATTTTCATGTTTTTGCCGTCATATTGAACATTATGTGTTTCGTGAAAATTTCGGGAATTTAAATAAAGTGTTGTTTAAATTTTATTTAAATAAAAATTGATATATCTAAAAAGTTTAGAATATATAGTTTTTGCAATTTTAATTATGACTGATTACGCGGCGGACCAGATGAACACATTTTTGAAAGAACACAAGGTAAGTATTTGATATCTGTTAATAAATTTTTTTAAATAAATTTTTGAATTAACAACTTGAAAAAATAATACAAAAACTTTTCTTATAACCTTATTATTACAGGATGGAAAGGCGGAGCGCATGACTACGTCATACGGAGTACCAATGCCGACTCGTACTGCTTCATTAACAGCTGGCTTACGAGGCCCAATGCTTCTCCAGGACCACGTTTTCTTGGACGAAATGCAAAAGTTTGATCGCGAACGCAATCCAGAACGAGTGGTACATGCAAAAGGTGCTGGTGCTCATGGCTACCTTGAGATTACTCACGACATTACACAGTACAGTCGAGCTTGCGTGTTTAAAACTGTGGGTAAAAAAACACCAATGTTTATTCGGTTCTCTACTGTTGGTAGGTTTATTCAACTTATTGTTTGTTAAATTGGTATGTCACAAAGTCAATGTGACGCTTACATATATGTTGCTAACTTTTGATTTTTTAGGTGGGGAACGTGGGAGCCCTGATACCGCGAGAGATCCTCGTGGTTTCGCCATGAAATTCTACACCGAAGACGGTATGCAAAACCCCATTTTTTACTACTAGGTGATTTATTACCATTTTATGTTTAATTTGTCTAAAATTTTTAGGTATTTGGGATTTGGTTGGCAACAACACACCAATCTTTTTTGTCAGAGATCCCATTTTATTTCCTTCCTTTATTCATACTCAAAAAAGAAATCCAGCTACTAATTTAAAGGATCCAAACATGATGTTCGACTTCATGTCTCTTCGACCTGAAGCAATACATCAGTACATGTTTTTGTTTTCGGATAGGGGTACTCCAGACGGTTATAGATTCATGAATGGTTACGGAAGTCATACCTACAAACTAGTAAACGATAAAAACGAGGGTTTCTGGGTCAAGTTTCATTTGAAGGTACAGTTAACTTTTCCTTTTGAAAGTTTAAGAAAATTTTAATATCATGTTAAATTACGAAAAATGGTTTGACTAGAATTTGTGTTAATTTTTATAATACTTATTGAACTTCTAATTTTCAGACAGCACAAGGGATAAAAAATTTGTCGGCTGAGGAAGCAGGTCGATTAGCTGGGGAAGATCCGGATTACGCAACTCGAGATCTTTACAACGCCATAGAAGCCAAGGATTACCCGGAATGGAATCTTTTTATTCAAGCAAGTTTTATCTCGAAAACACTGCGGTTTAACTTTTTCAAATTTAAATTTTATGCATGTTTTTTGGTTGTTAAACCAAACTTTTCGGTATTATAGATAATTCCTGAATCAGATGAAAAAGAACTGCCTTTTAATCCGTTCGATTTGACGAAAGTGTGGCCCCAAGGCGATTATCCGCTTAAACCGGTTGGTAAAATCGTTCTTAATCGGAATCCCAAAAACTACTATGCTGAAGTGGAACAAGTAGCGTTTGCACCATCTCATATTATACCTGGAATCGACTTCAGTCCTGACAAAATGCTTCAAGGCCGAATTTTCTCGTACACCGACACACAATATCATCGTCTAGGTATGGTTTTTGTTCTGTTTTTTTTTGTTTTTTAGGCAGATGATTTTTTTTTAATTTTACAAACTAAAATCGGAGTTTTAGGGCCAAATTATCAGCAACTCCCAATAAACTGTCCATTCTCGATGAAGCCTCGAAACACTCAACGAGATGGCCCAATGTGCTTGTTCGACAATCAAGGAGGGGAACCAAACTACTATCCAAACAGCTTTGGAGCTACTCCAGAACCCCAGAATAGGGAACAAGAATTGACCCACAAGTTCGAAATCAGTGGCGTAGCACATCGTTGGGAAAGCCGCGATGATGATAACTACAGTCAGCCTAAAGTGTTTTGGGAAAAGGTACGGCATTTTTATTTCTCATGTAATTTTTCGCTCTTTTATGCCCTCGTTTACTTTATCTGCTTAAAAATTTTAAAAGTGAAAAAATTTTGTTTCTCTTTTAATAGGTGTTGGACGAAGAGCATCGAGACCGTCTGTGCCAAAATCTTGCTGGCATGATTGAGAAGTGCGCCTCTCACGTTCAGGAACGTTGTGTAAAAGAGTTCAGTAAAGTGCATCCAGATTTTGGAAGTCAAGTTCGTCATCTTCTTTGTGAATCCGCTTCGAACAAGCAGGAAGAGAAAATGCAAAAACGAATGTGTTCTTCATAAAAAATTATTTTGTATAAAATTTGAACTTCAACATTGATAAATATTTTAAGCCGTATTTCATTAAATTTGTAACATATGTGGCATTGTGTATCTTATAATTTTTTTTTAATATTACGATTCTAGAGGAACTAGTGGTCTAATTTTCAATGGTGTTATGGGCATTTTTTTAGTTAAATGAAATCAAAACTGATCTTTGCTTCGTATTTATCCAGGAAAATCTGTAGGAATTTTTACAAAAATACGGTTTTTCAATCCCTGTATTCGACAAAAGGGTAAATTGTTTATTGTACTACGTGGTAGGCTTTAATGAAGTTTTTAGTGGTAAACAAACCGGCGATTAGTCTGATCTATCTCAAAACACTAGTTAAGTATAAAAAGCTGCTTTGAAAGGAGATATCGCATTGGCATAGGCTATCGAAAGTAGCAAGATATTTTAATGTTCATTAACTACATACTTTATGGTTTTTTATTATTTTTAGCGTATGTTTTTGCTAATACAGCTTTTTTAGTTGAACTTGCATAAAGCGTTCGAAGTTGCTTTACGATATTTAACAAGATGAAGGATCATGCGGCCAATCAAATGAACACTTATGCAGAAGAAACCAAGGTATAATACAAATTTAATATTTTTTTAAATTTTAAATACAGTGAAACCTCTGTTTAACGAACATCTCCATGACGAAAATTCCGTACAACACAATATTTTTAACAACTTTAAAATCCTTAAGCTGTTTTATATACAAGAGTTATACTATCCAAACCAAAAAATTGCATATTGCAAAATTTTATAGAATTTAGTATAACATTAAAAAAGATGCTTTAGACCTAAAATTTACAAAAAATATATCGTAAATTAGGAAAACAATCAGGAGCGCTTAACAACATCGTACAGCGTATCTATTCCAACACACACAGCATCATTAACGGTTGGTGAACGAGGCCCTATCTTATTACAAGACCACTTTCTTATCGACGAACTTCAACGATTTGCACGTGAACGTAATCCGGAACGAGTGGTTCATGCTAAGGGTGCTGGTGCTCATGGTGTGTTCGAAGTGACTCACGACATAACACAGTACAGTAAGGCTTGTGTGTTCAGTGCGATTGGAAAGAAGACTCCGTTGTTTATTCGGTTCTCTACTGTTGGCGGTGAGCGTGGGTCGGCGGATACAGCCAGAGATCCACGCGGATTTGCTGTTAAATTTTATACAGATGATGGGATCTGGGATCTGGTGGGCAACAATACTCCAATTTTTTTTATCAACGACGCAATGTCATTTCCGTCGTTTATTCACACACAAAAACGAAATCCGGCTACAAACCTCAAGGATCCTAACATGATGTTCGACTTTATTTCGCTACGTCCTGAATGCCTTCATCAAACGTTGTTTTCCTTCTCTGACAGAGGTACTCCAGACGGATATAGATATATGAATGGGTACGGTAGTCACACATACAAGATGATAAATGACAAGAACGAGGGTTTCTGGGTCAAATTTCATTTAAAGGTAAGCTGTTGATTAGGTTTTTATTTAATTTTTTTAATAATAGGAAAAACTGAGTTTAAAATTTTGCTTTTAAGATTTAAAATAAATTCAAATACTGGTCACTAAAAGCGATTGTGACCCCGCAGCGGTTGTGACCCCGCGTTGGTTGTGACCCCGCAGCGGTTGTGACCCAAAAAGGGCGGTTGTGACCCCATATAATTTAAAAAAAATAAAAAATAGTTATATACTTTGACCTTACCCTATTCAAGACTGATATAATATTTTTATCAATTTTTAGTCTGCACAAGGGATCAAAAACCTCTCAGCCAAAAGAGCGGCCGAACTGGCTGGTAAAGACCCGGACTACGCTACAAGAGACCTTTACAATGCAATCGTAGAAAAAGAGTATCCATCGTGGAACTTTAACATCCAAGTAATGCCTGACGCTGATGCTGATAAATGCCCATTCAACCCGTTTGACATGACCAAGGTATGGCCGCAAGGTGATTTTCCACTGATTCCTGTCGGTCGAATTACACTAAACAGAAACCCGAAGAATTATTACGCCGAAGTGGAGCAGTCCGCGTTTGCACCATCTCATATTATACCTGGAATCGACTTTAGTCCGGACAAAATGCTTCAAGGTAGAATTTTGGCGTATCCGGACACACATTATCACCGATTAGGTAATTTTTAAAAAATATTTCCTCAAAAAATTGCAAAAATTTCCTAGTGTGATTTAGGTCCGAATTTTATGCAACTTCCAATCAACTGCCCATTAAAGCGGCCTGAAAACTATCAACGCGACGGCTCTATGTGCAACTACGAAAACGGCGGAGGTGCGCCAAACTATTACCCTAACAGCTTTGGTGCTAACCCAGAGCCCGAAAACAAAATGAAAGAAGATGTATACCAGTTCAATCTGAGTGGTGCAGCACATCGTTGGGAAAACCCTAACGATGATTATTATCGACAACCTAAAGTTTTCTGGGAAAAAGTAGGTAAAACCTAAATAAGAATTAATGATTAAACTAATGTAGATTTTAAACGAAGACCATCGCGACCGTGTATGTCAAAATTTAGTGGAGATGCTACAGCAATGCGCACCACATGTGCAAGAACGTTGCATTAAGGAGTTTCGTAACGTGAGCCCAAATCTTGGCAACCAACTACGCCACATGTTGTGCGAAATCTCTGAAAAGAACGGCGAAGATGAAATGCGAGAGAACAAACGACGAACTTCTTGAAACTTGCAAAAAGATTTGTTTTGGGATTTTTTATATTTTTATACAATTTTTAATATTTTCTACCGTATATGTTGTACAATTAACAACCATACAATATTTAAATTATATTTTCAAGTTGAGCAATAAAAAAATCTTTTTGCTATTAATTATCTGTTTGGTAGCTGTCGTTACTTTGTAAAAATATTTTGTTTAAAATAAAAAGTTACTCTTTTGTTTAATTTTTTAGTTTCTTATAAAATTCTTGCGCTACAAATACTACAAACTATGTATAACACATAATTAGATCAAAGAACCTTACTTACAATGGTTTCAAATTGGTCTTTATTGCTTTCGCCGAAAAATTTTTTATTAATTATCTTCTGAGTTCGGTTTTAGGTCAAAGTTGTTACAACTTAAAAACATCCGTTTTCTCATTTTTCTTCTAGCATCCTTACCAAAGGTCTATTAAAAATGGTTTACAGTAATGAAAACGGTTAGTTCTTAATAATGTTTTGAAAATAAAAAAAATTGTAAAGCTTTACATTTACGTAAAGTATCAGGTTTTTTCAGTGTTTTTGTAACTATTTATGAATTTCATTCAACTGTTTGAAATATTTATCTTTAGGAAATAGTGGATCAAAAGATTGATTATAGTTATAATGTTATGACTCACTATAATATAAAACAGCAAAGATGTACTACCCACGGTTCAATGTATACTTCTTGATCGTTAAACCGATTGCGCGGTTAACAGTGACGTGGATTGACCCCAAATGTTACGGCTTTTTTCTCTATTCAATCAAAGTTTGAAGGGCTTTTTAAATTTTTCGTTTGGCGAACGTTTGCTAATTTGTTATTGTAAAATCCCCTTTGGTCTTGCAACACGGTGTATATAAGTACATTTGATGTTGCTCGTTTTATATTTATATGAATACTGAGTTGTTATGTAAGATTTGCAGATTTTTTTTTCATTTTATTTTTTAAATTTTTGACAAGTTTTGTTTTTCTTATGGTTCAATTGCCTCCTTCTTATAATGATTACTTTTGAGCGTTTTCATGATTTCTTGCGGTGTAAAACTTTTACCATCAGTCCCAAACAGAGGGGTAACGAGAAGGCAAAAGACGGGCTTTCATTTTTTATTATGGGTTTTAAAAATATTAGTTGAAGTTACCGTATATTAAAAATTATTTATCTACCAATCCGCGGTCTAGTTTTTTAAAAGACGTCTTACTTTTTGGTCATATTGGCCAAACTATAAACATTTTAGCAAAGTTTTTCAGAATGTCCCATTTCGCCTTTCTATTTGTGCTTTTTGCCATTTTGGTATCACAAACAACAGCACAGTATGGAATGATGGGAGGTATGTATCCAGGAATGGGTATGGGATACGGAGGAATGGGCGGAATGGGCATGTACCCAGGAATGGGCATGGGTTACGGTGGAATGCGTCACAGACATATGGGTTACGGTGGAATGGGTGGCATGGGATACGGTGGCATGGGAGGCATGGGAATGTATCCCGGCATGATGGGCATGGGTATGATGGGTTAGAAATTTGGTAAGTTTACATTTATAAATATAAGATTTGAAGCATTAAAGTTTACATGAGCACATTGTAATATGTTTTTTAAACATTAGCTTAAAATTTGGTTACTAACATTATTAAATTTCTCGACCTTAAAATTGTTCTTATTGTATTAACGATTTTAGGTTCCGAAGGTTCAACAATCAATGGCACTTTTGCATAACCGTTCTCAACTTAATCTGTGTACAATTCCGTAAAAACTACATACCAAATAATTGTTTTATCTTGCACATTTAAAAATAAAAAATAAATAATGTATTTTCATTTTTAATTTTAATTTTATTATAATTTTTCACACTCTTCATTTAAGACAAACTACATTGTAGATTTTAAATCTTGTTTTTTTATCATACCAGCATAGGCACCATCATCGTTCATTAATTCTTGATGAGTACCGGCTTCGGTAACCCTGCCGTTGCTGATAAAGTAAATTTTGTCAGCATTCTGGATCGACGATAATCTATGCGCTATAGTAATACACGTACGTCCTGTTGCCGCCGTGTCTAGTGCTGCTTGTACTTTTCGTTCGCTTTCAGCATCCAAAGCTGAAGTCGCTTCATCCAGCAATAATATCTTTGGGTTTCGTACTAAAGCTCGTGCGATGGCAACTCTTTGTTTTTGTCCTCCTGACAATTGCGCACCTTTTTCGCCGACTTCTGTATTGTAACCTTGCGGCAAAAATTCAATAAATTTTGAAGCATTTGCTAGTCTAAAAGCTTCCATCACCCATTCATGGTCAATATCTTTAATTCCAATTGTAACATTTTCGTATATAGAACCGGAAAAAAGTACCGGTTCTTGACCAACCAACGCCATTTGAGACCTGAGATAAGATAATTTAAAACTAGAAACTTTGACACCGTCTACATCAACACGACCGGACTTTGGCTCATAGAAGCGTTGAAGAATGTTGATAATAGTACTTTTACCACCGCCACTAGGTCCAACTAAAGCTATTGTCTCGCCTGCCTTAGCTTTGACGTTAAGCCCGTTTGTTACAATTAAATCCGGTCGCGTTGGATACGAAAAGAATAGTTTTTCTACAGTGACGTTTCCATCTATTGAAGGGGTGTCACCGTAGGTTTCGTTATCGTCTACGCAAGGTGCTTCGTTAAATATCGAAAATAACGAATTTGTAGCCGGTACAGCGTGTAGAGCTTCTACTAATGCTAATGACACAAAAAGGATTGACCAACACATTGAAGACATCATGTTACATGCCCTTAAATTGTTTGCAAGTTTTATGTTTTACGTTTATAGTTTTAAGCATAAAGTAAAAAAGATCAGAATTTCACTTACATGTAAATGTTAGTAACGTCCATACCGTAATAATAAATTAGCATCAGACCCGTGGTATAACATGCTACATCACTAACGTACATACAAGATTGTGTAACACAAAACACTACGGAATCGGCCAACAAAACCTAAAACTTTTAAGTGTAAATTTTTAATAAAAAATTTTATAAACTTAAATTTTACTTAGAAGTTATTTAGTTCTTTTCAAACGTACCTTTTTTTCAGTCTCTTCAATTCGTTCTAAGCACTGATCGTATTTTTTTGCGAAGTACGTTTCTCGTGTTAATAATTGTATTGTACGGCTGTTTTCTATGATTTCAACCGCAACTTTAGCACTGTCGTCAGTTTTCTGCACTTTCAACATTCCTTTCTGTATTAAATGCGCCATATAGCCAAGAACAAGCAATACTGTCACATATACCACACTTCCCGCAATGCCAATATACCAAGACATAACAAATGTTAATATAAATTGAACAAAAGTGCAAAACAAATTGTTTAACAAATGATATAGTCGTGTATCCAAAGCAGCTCGTACATTCAAGCCATCGTTTGTAATCCGTTGAAAAAGTTTTGGTGATGAAGTTTGAGGACGGTCAAAGTACGCAGCTCCTTGGCCTAGAACGCTTTGTAAAGCTTTGACTTTGAATTTTACCACAACGTTTTCAGCTGTCCAAGTTAGCAAAACCACCTAAAAATCTTTGTATAGTAAAATTAATAAACAATATTGTAGTATATATATAAAATATGTGTTTCCATTGAAGTTATACGTTTTCAATTTTAACATACACTGCTAAAAATCATAACCAAAGTGTAGATTCCCAAAATAATGTTGAACCATCCAACAAGTTGCAAACCTCCAACATAATCATCCCATGTAACATACTTATTCCGGAACACATCAAACAACAATGTCAAACCAACTACGTACATTACAATTTCTATTCCTCGAAAACAGCAACAAATGCCGCCAATAATTAGTTTTGTATATTCACCTTGACAATTTGAATATAACGCTTTCAGACCATAGGTTGTTTTTGTATCCGTATATTCGTCTTCTGGTGCTATTACTAATATGAAAAAATTAGTTCCAGTTTAAATATATAACAATTTATAAGTAACTTCTAAATTTAAATATATCCCGCTCTCCTCAAAGCATCTACCAACCCAAAGCTAAGTCATAAAAAAATTCTTGAGGCTTGTAAAACTTACCGCTTAACTCGCTAGTTCTTAAACTTCCCCTCAACATTATCGAGCTTGCACCCAATGTGTCCTGCCTCGTTGGTACCTTTGATTCTTCTTTTTCAGTATCTTTTTGAACAATTTGAAACTCTTGTGCCTTTACCAACTGCGCGTATAATCCATTTTCTTGTTCACTTAATTCCTTATGAGACCCGATCTCAGTAACCAAACCATTATTATATACAACAATTTTTTGAACATCTCGTAACGTTGACAACCTATGTGCAATCACAATCGTCGTCCGTCCCTTGCACGCTGTTTTTAATGCCTTTTGTACATAGATTTCGCTTTCCGCATCAAGTGCACTAGTCGCTTCATCCAACAATAAAATTGGCGGATTGTTGACGATTGCCCGGGCAATAGCAATACGCTGTTTTTGTCCACCTGATAACTGAATTTCTCCACTTCCAATTTTTGTATTGTAGCCGAATTCTAAGTTTTGAATAAAATCGTGAGCATTTGCCATTCTGCACGCCGTTTCAACTTTATCCATTGTTATCGATGTGTCTCCAAGTTGTATGTTTTCGTATATACTAGCATTAAACAAGGTGGGTTCCTGTTGAACTACACCGATGATTTTTCTCAATGCAGAAATTTTCAATGTTTTTATATCTTTTCCATCAATTGTAATTCTTCCTTCAGAGTAATCATAAAGACGAGTTAACAGAGAAATCTACAATAAGTTATGTCAATAATCAACGTTTTGTAACTTTAAGAAGAAAAATATTAAAAAAATATTAACTTACAGAAGTACTTTTACCACAACCGCTATGTCCAACTAGTGCAACGGTTTCAGCAGGTAAAGCTTCCCAAGAAACTCCATTTAAAACTGTTTTTCCTTTACGTGTCGGATACGCAAATTTAACGTTTTCAAACTTAATGTGTCCTTTTGACTCTACGATTTCTTCACCTTCTTCATCGTAACAATCATTATCAGGTATCTAAACAGAAGTGTTACTTCATAATAATTAAAACTACAGAAATTCGACCTCATATAATGTAGAAGTCCTTACACGTTCTATCTGTTTGTAAATTACCGCAGCCGATACACGGGCCTTGAATATAGCCATAATATGCGGGCTTATATATCCCAAGAAGTAGATGCTCATCAACAACAACGTGGTTATAATGAACACATCTCCTGATTCAATTTGATCGTTGAAATACAAATAACCACCGTAAACCAAACCGACAGCAAAAAATACGTACAGAACCAAAAAGAAAATACCGTCAAAAAGTCCTTGCCAAATACCACACATAATCCCATAAAACTTGGCTGCAATCAATGACTTTTCATACTTTCTTAGCATTTGCGCTTGTCCATTGCACGACTGTACGGTTTTAACGTTCATCAAGGTTTCTTGAAGAATTGCTCCAGATCGGTCAAGAAGGGGAAGCTGTTTCTGAGTTGAAGAACTCACCATTCGTGCCATAAACGACATAATAAAACAAGAAAACGGTGCTGCCAGAAACATTGATAATGAAACACGGTAGTCAATGTAAAGACAAATTGCAAACGCCATCAAAAGTTGGAAAACACAACGAATTAGAAGGCCAATTTTGTCTCCCATTCCATCAAGAATACGAGTTATGCAACTAAAATAAATAAAGGAATTTACAGAGCACTTTGATTTTAATATTAAAAACGTAGAACTAAATAAATTGTAAGATTTTTTGGTTTCAAACATACTCATTTAGTTGTGCGTTTAAAGCACCAAACTTTTGCTTGTCGAACCAACCGGCATCTTGTCGCAAAATAGATTTTATGAACCTACTCCTTAAATGTGCAGTAACATTGCGAGCTGACAATTTCAAACAATAGTTAGAAACAAACGATGTTAACATCACAGCAACACCAATAACCATGTTCAGTTTCATCATGAAAAAGCCTCTGTCCCATAGAGTTTCTTTGTCAATTGTCTGTAAAATGCAATGTCAAAAAAATCGTATAAAAAATTTAACTTTTATTTAATTGTAATCATTCAGTAAGGTATTCTTTTGGATGATCTTAATAGTAATATTATTATTAATGATTACTTACATTACTATCGAAATCTAACATAGCTGTAGCAAATTTGCCTGAGGTGACGGCTGACAATGATTGAATACATCCAGAGATTATTGCTGTCGTAATACCAGTATATATTAGTAGCTTGTCTGATTTAGAAGCATATTTAAACTAAAACAGCATAACGTAACCTTAAAGCGAAGATTTCATTTATATTTTATAATTTTTAAATATAAAATGTAAACTAGTATAGACTATAATAATATAAAAATGACTTATTATTTCATACCAATTCAGTAAAGCCAACTGGTTTGGCTTCAAATCCTTCGTCTATCAAATCACCCCTACATAATAGTTTGTTCAGCCATTTTTCGAAACCTTTTTGGTGGTACGTCGTACCGTTTTGGTCGGTAAATTGGTCCAAGTTTGTTGGCAACTCCGTTTCTTTTGCCTTTTCATTCATCTTGTGCAGAAGTTTATGCTAGATATAAGACACACAGTAGAGTTTTTTGATTGAAGAAAAATATTTTTTTCACAAATTTAAAAAACTGTCAAAATTAGCGTGAAAAACAAGGAAAGCCTTAATAAAATTATAAAAATATTGTGTTATCAATAAAGGCACCGAAGGTGGTTATCTATTTTTTAAACTGTTACCAAATGTAATTTAAACGTCATTAAAATTTTAAATGATCTTTTTCAAATAATTCAATTAACAACAGAAAAAATTAAAAAATATGTTTTTAAATTAAAGTTTTCCTATTCGAGATCAACAAACCAGTATCCACAATCAACGACCTAAGTTCAGCAAACTGCCGAAACACTGATTTTGAATTTTAGTTATGCAAAGCTGAATGTAGCATGCGTATTGAATGCAAAGCTTTTATCCGATTTTTCTCATTTATATTCGTTTTGAAAATTATTAAACTTTTAGTGCTTTCAATGTTTTTAACCAAATATTTTTGACTATATTAACTACAAATCTACTTGTCTCATCAATTAAACTTTTGTCTAAAAAAGTTACAGGGACAATAAAATCTTCATTAACCATAGTGAAATGTCAAGATGCTCCAAATTGTAAGCAAAATAAAACGTTTTACTGCATGAAAATCATCAAATATTACATATTAAAAAACAATTGTTATATATACTTATAAACCAAATAGTTAAATAAAAATCTCAAATTTTGAAACGCTAAATACAGTAATAAGAGATCATACAAACAAGATAGATTGATTTTATAATCTAAAACTCAAAATTAATAATTGAATACCAAATTTTCATATCAGTCAAGACTTTTTAACTATACGACAAACAATTGAAAGTAGTACTATCAAGTTCAAAATTTCAATTAAAAATAAAAAGTACTAATAATACTTAAAACAGTCGAATCTTTTTAAATCATAAGTTTACCATATTATACTAATTAATATTATAAATCAGAATGTCATAATTTGGAAAAACTGACATAAAAAGTTTTAATTTTTTTACAATTAATTTTTGTGAGTACAGTACAGAAAAAACATATACAAAAGAAAAATAGTAACATACTTTTACAGTTATAATAGTACAATTAGAATTAAAATGTCAGGTCACTATTTTTACAAAATTTAAAAAAATCAAAAATTATTTCTTGTCAAAAATCCTTTTTAAAGTCAATTCACGTTGTAATTGACCCCGTGATGTTAGACATTTAAGAATCCTAAATTGACTCATTGGCCGAGGTTTCAGTACTACTAGGTGACGACACATCTTTGTTCAAGTCCATCGTGTTGTTCAATTGTGATACGACAGCCAATCGTTGCACATGCAGTCCGTATTGTAAGATTGCATTTTGCAACTCTGGCGTTATGTTCCCTGTCAGAGGTTCGGGCGATGTGTTACTCGAAGTCGGTGGAGATACCAAGCCCGGTAGTCCAGTCAACAATGGGTTTTGAAGAGCAGCAAACGCCAAAAGTTGATACTTCTCGTTCTCGAGAAGTTGGTTTTGGATCAATGTCTGTTGCAACTGGTGGGCTTGAATTTGTTGTTGCAGCGCCAATGCCACAGTCGGATTTACAAAAGAAGATGTAGTTGGAATTGAGGTTGGAACGGTTTGAGCGGCCACAAATGCTTGTTGGAATGGGTTGATGGCTAAAATAAAGTTTTTATAATAAAAATATTTTTTTAAATTTTTAAACTACAAAGGTAAATTTCTGCCGTTAAACTATATATTTTTCAACTCGTTGTACTTTTTATGTTTATGTTTATATAACAGTAACGTGTTCTGTAGTAACCAATGTAGCTTATTTATCATTTTTAAAAATTGTTTGTGTGTTTACTGTTTCCTATAAAGTCCAAACATTGTGAACCCTTGATGAAACAATGAACAGTAAATTAACCCCCACTTATCAGGATTGATTGAAGGAACGTTCCGGAAGGTCAGGCTTGTTGTTATCAGCTCAAATTTTCGTTGTAAAATCAGAAATAAGACGAGATTCTATTGTTCAAAACGCATTGTTTCCCACCATATAATTCTTTCACGCTACTGATAAGAAAAGGCATTTTTGTCACGACCTAAGGCAAAGAACGAATCTTTATAACCGTAATGTTTGTTGTTGAACGCAGACAGTTATGATAAGATTACAATTGTGACCACTTAAAGTATAACAAAATATGTTATTTAATTTATGAAATTTTAAATAATTTTTGTAAATTACTTTTAAAAGTACTCAATTCTTTTTTAAAAATTTTTATGGATTAGATAAGTTGTTCGTCGCCTACAAGAAATATTGTCTGACCTTTGCCGGTATGACTGAAAAATTAATAAGTTAATTACACTAATTAACACCTTCTCCGTCATTTTCAGCATTTCATATCAAACGCTTATTATAATTTTTTGTACAAATTTTGATTGAATTAAAATATCGTTGAAATTATCAAATTTTTGATACTTTAAGTTTCATGAGCTCAATTTATAGTAATGTAATTTTTGCCACGCAAATCGTTTATTAAAATGTAAAACAACGTCATCCGCTGATCCGCCTTTTACACCTATGTAGCACTTCAATAGCAAAACAAATGAAAAAACTGACAAGTCATATACAACAGTAAGGCGTTCCTTATTGTGTGTTTCTTTCCATTTCCATTCTTCCATTGTCTCCGCGAGTGTTTTTCGCATAAAAAGGGCCAGGCACAAAAAGGTGCAAAGAAATTCGAAAATTTCAAAGAATATCCGGAACTAAACGAGAAGTTCCCAGCAATTTTTGAATTATATTCGTTTTTATGTCCAGCACAACGTTTTCGGCGCCTTTTCAACCAAAAAAACACACCGAATGGTTAAGGAAAGAATAATGACGGTGTTGCGAAGCCATTCTTTACAACAAAACAATCGTTTTTTTTTTGTCTTGGCGCGAAACCTTGCCAATTTAATTTCAAAATTGAATCAGGGAAAACAAAGGAACTGCGTTTGCATAAAAAACATTAAAGAATATATGATTTTAGATTTTTACGCTCTAAGAACATTTTAAACTATGGATTTTTTTATTTTTTTAAAAATTAACCTACCATTAAAACCTTGTGAAAAATGTGGCAACTGTTGATGCATTTTCGAAGCTGCATGCAAATTAGCGTTAAGAGCGCCAACCGGCTGAGCACCAACCGACGCACGCATGCCTTTGGGCTTTCTTCTAGGCCGATACTTGTAGTCGGGATGATTGCGCATGTGTTGATTCCTCAAACTTTTGGCTTCGTCAATGTAAGGTCGCTTCTGAGCTTCAGTTAATTCTTTCCATTCTTGACCAAGACGTTTCGAAATTTCGGAATTGTGCATTTTTGGGTTTTCCACGGCCATTTTCTTTCGCTGACCGCGTGACCATACCATGAATGCGTTCATCGGCCGCTTCACGTGCTCCGAGCCCGAATCCGTAGAGCGACTCGTGGTTGAGGGTTCGGGTTCGTCGTCCGAATGGTCAACGCTTGGTGGGGTAGAGATGGAAGAGCTGGCTTGGTTGAAGCTGTTTTGGTACATTTCGGGTTTCAGCTGGGGTGAAAACAGCAGGTCTGCCATTTTATGGGTTTTGTACAGATTTTTTATGCTTTGCCAAGTTTATAAATATCTAAAATTAATTTTTTAAATTCGAATTTTTTGTATATCCGGAAAGTCGCGGCAAATATAGTATAAAATTTACAAAGTATAATATGACGAAAACATAATATTTTTTAACTAATTTTAACCACACTTTTTTGATTGTTATCAAATCATGAAAAGAATAAACTTAATCAATTGTTGGCCACGTTTAAAAACAGCTCACGATCAAAATGCAACTAAATTAAAGCGAAAATTGAATAATAATAATCGTGACAAATTTTTTGTTAAATCAACATTTATCAGCAGCCGAGATGAATAAGCAACGACCGTCATAACAGGTCGCATTTTTGTTTGTTAAACTGTTATTAGACGTGACTATAAATAAAAAAAATACAATGGAGTTACAAAATAAATACTGTTTTACTGTGCTGGGGCGTAGTTGACATTGTGAGGAGAAAATTAAAAAAAGTTTTTTTGTAAGTAATGCAAACATTGGTTCAATTAAGGCAATGTATAAACTTTTTTTAAGTATTGAAAGATATTTGTCCTCTACAAAGCATTTTATACGTTTAGTGTCACAAATATTAACAACTTTCAAAACAGTTATTTACATTGAGTCACCAAAAGCAATCTTTTTGTTCAAAATAGTCATATCAGTAAAAATTAACCCCAGATGCTCCCACCTAGTTCTTGTTCCTACCGCTAACACACGCAATAAAATTATTTAGTTATTTAAACTAAATATTTTAATATCTAGTTATGCTTTTTTCAAAATAAAAGCAAAGCAAGTCTTGAATTGAAAATAATAATGCATTATAGCTTTTTTACTAATAATGCGTCTTTATAACAAAAATGAAACATTTATGCCTTGAGCTGTCAGAATCATGTGTAAGATGAATTGAAGACTAATACTGGACAAAACATGCCGCAATGTTTTTTGGTTTTGCAGGTTAATTTCCTAAAGGTTATATAATTGCACAAGATTCTACATAATAAAATTTAAATGGTTTCAAATTTATCAAAGAAATCTGAATATGATACAGGGACGTGAATGGGAAATATGTACCCCTATCCTTCCTAACCAAAATTGCACGCCCGGCATCGCTCACGTGAACTATAACACTTTTTATTCCTTTTTCATTACTGGTTAACCCATTGCAACGCCAAAACAGCCATAATAGTATAATTACTCGTGTGATTCAACACTGATATAATATAAAATAAACACATTCAGCCTTTATTATTCCCTTTCCATCCCATTCAGTTTTTTTTTGTTGTTTTATTCTATAACTGATATGATAATTTTTAAAGTAATAATGTCGTTTGAAACACAACTATTAACTAATAATGAAGGCCAATTGTATTTGAAAAACACACTCATTGTTATACAACATTAAAATTTAAAATGGTTTTAAAAAATTCGAAAATTTTAATCAATTTAAATTCTTTTTCGCAAACTTTTTTCATTTTTATCTCAATACGCTATGTTTTTCAGATTAGTAAGAATTTTTTTAGCACCAAACGTTGAATTAGTGCCAAAAAAATCTCTAATTTATAAAAATCTTAAAGTATTAAAATTCAAATATTTTGCTATATAAAAGTGCAATTTATAGTATATCTTTTATGTTGCATACCTTTATTAAAAAGGAAAAAGTGGAAATACTAAAGCATTGTACAAATTTGTTCTTTATAACGTTAAATAGCAAACTCTAAAGTTAGATTTTATCCTTTAAAACAGTTCTTAAACAATACTCAAGTAGTTTATATTAAGACGTTAAAGTACAAGGAGTACAGTATTCTTAAATCGTTTCAAAACAAAAAAGTAAAAATAAGCATTATGAAATCCACGCCTTCCACCCCAAAAATACATAGCTATACCCCTACTACTACCAAAAATAAAATTGGAAACTGGACTACCTTAACCAATGCAAAAAAAAACTGTTGGCCCTTGTTACCCTTTGCTACCAACCACTCATATACATACCAAAATATAAATTATAAATTAAACCTCGACTGCTATTTGAACTATATACTAAACCCCCTTTCGGAAGTAGGCAAATTACAAAACCAGCAATGAAAATATTATTTCTAACCCTTTTTGACATTAAAGTACATTAACGTAAAAAACGTAATTCAAGTTTTATGGTGGAGGAAAACTCGTTTCGCGCCTCGCAAAAAATAAATTTACAAAACGCGCCAAATTTAAACACATAAACCATTTAAAAAAAGAAGTTATAATGCTTAATGATGAGGCCCAATGATGGGCCGATGCCACGCCCCAAGGCCCCATTCTTATTCCAATCCGTTCGAATTTTGCTTTTGAATCCTGCTGACCACGCCCACTTTTCTGTTTCCCGCAAAAGTGAGTCGATTTTTTTTTCAAAAATTCGCACAATTTTTACAATTTTACAAACAAAACAAGTAAGTGTTTGGAAGGAAACAAAGCCGCGAAAAATTGTTACAATGCCCAACTGTTAGGAAATATATAGTAAAACGGGAATCGGCCTGAAAACGAAAAATCATACTGTAATAGTTGTAATGCTAAATTTGTATTCAAAAAAAGCAGGTCTTTTTTGATTACATTCTCGAGCAAAATGTTACTTTGTTTAATAATAAAGCAAAAAAATATAGTTATGCCAAATATAAAGGATATCATGATTTTACGTTTGCAGGTATGTGAACCTTCTATGATTTTAAACCACGTTAACACCTTTGATTGTTGGTTGATTTAGTAAATAAAGTAAGTTTTTGTGGTATAAGGTATCAAATCCTTGTCATCCCTCTCCCCCCCCCCTTTTTTTTCCCCTTCTGTAGCGCCAAACCCTGATCCATTTTTGCTAAAAACTTTAATAATAACACATTGATGTATCTAACACCATCTTAAACCCAATAAAAACCAAATTTAAACAAAATTTTGAAATTTTGACTAAAACAAGTCCCGATCAACGATTAGAATACAAATTACCGGAAAACGAAAACTTTACAATATGAGCTAGGCTGGAGCGCGAGTTTGAAAAACAAGTGGAAGAAAATCAAGAAATCGCCAAAAACAATATCGCAGAAAAACGTTCAAAACGTGAGTACAATCGAGTAGAAAGGTATTTTTTAATGGTGGTATAAGTTATAATAAGTTTTAAAAAATTTGTCAGCTAAAAAAAATTTTAATTCCCTTCTGTAAAAAATGAACCCCTGGTTGTAAAAAAAAATTTGTGGTTAAAACAGCAAATTTGATTTTTAAAAAATCTTCAGCCATTTAACAAAACCCGTGCTACAAGAAACCGTGTTTTAATAGCAACACACAATCTTCAATAACATATGCCGTCAACACTTGGGGCAACGACTTTAAGCCGCCTTTCCTTTTTTGCGACAAAAACAATTGAGGACACGAAAAGGGAGGCGGGTTTTGGTTTGAATTGCGCGCCAAAAAAGTTTTAACCTCTGGTTCTGAGAAAACTGGTCAACAAGACGGTATGTTGGGGATTGCGTCATTATTAAAGACAGGAAGTAAATTGGCAAATAATTGGGTTAATCATCCTCGTACTTTATCTTTGATCAATCAGCGAGCTATACGGTATAATTCTTAACACTTTTGTGACAGATGACAGATTCAGTAAAAAAAGAAAATTTGAAAATTTTTGAAGTAACACAAAAAACTCTGTATTAAATTAAAAAAAAAATAATTTATGGTTTAACTTCTTTGTTGCAGCAGCTTAAAATTTTAACTTATTTACAAAAGCTGACAAGTATTAAAAATGCAATCTTAACGTTAGTAACGTATCTGCATGCAATGCAATCAGTAATAAAAGACTTTGTGACTGTAAAGGTTGTAAGCAAAACATGCGATACAGTAAACTACTAATGGCATGTAAGATAAAAGCTACGTTTTTTAGTTTAAACAAAAATAAACTACACGGAGTTTTAAAACCAGAGCTCTACAAGTCAACTAGAAACGATGCAATACTACAACAACATAGAAAAGTATCCCAATTTGCAACAACCACTGTATTATTTACCTAAATGTTACTAACATGCAGTTGATTACGAGAATCGACATGCGAATTTGCGTGCTGGTATTACAATTCCGATATTTATAACAATTTCGTAATAATATTGTTGTAAATTTGTCATTGTTTAAGTTACACTGTTTGCTTTCACATGATCAATGACAAAGGTCAGTTTTGTGTTATTTGAAGCCAAAGTTACGGTAGCAATAAGTATCTTATGTTAAGACTAAATATATAAACTAAGTAGATTCAGAAATCGTATAGGCTACAAGATTTTTTAAATTTAAAAAAAACGGGAGGTGGGGGGAGGGAGGAGAAAGGGAATAAAAAAAAAATTTTTTTTCGCATTTTTCTGCTAATAACAATTTAGGAATACGTTTACATTTGATATTAGACCTCGTATACGCAATTATGCAATCCGAGCTACATCTGCCGTGTGTAGTTCAGGTGGTTGCCGCTCCGGATTATGACATAAATGAAAAAGAATGAACCGAAATTGTTTCGTTAGGCGTTGTAATTATAAGGACAACCCGCGGCGTTATCGGTCGATTTAATTCAATACGGATTAGGTTCCGCTGATTTATGTTAAGGTCAAGTAATTTTGATATAACGTCCAAAACGTTTGTAGAAAGGTTGATAAATTGCATAAAATTGTTAGTGAATTGAAATATATAAAACAAAACGCGTACCAAAGTAACTTCCTCTTTAATTCACCACGTATTGAAATCCGCCTTGTACGTTGCTAATCTAATGTCTCTTGAACCAATCGTCCCATTTCCTACCGTATACCTCGTTTACCTCATACCTTTGACAATATATGAAATATATTGATCGTCTTTTAAAGTCAGATAATCCTCGAATCAAATGTGAAAGAGACACGATGCCATTGTAATGTGAGTAATTGAAAAGACGTTTAAATATAATATTACTATTCGAGATTATTATGAATATATTTAAGTAATTTTAAGGTGTTTG